AAAATTGACCGTTATTGACAAAAACAAGAGATATCCATTGAAATTGAATTTGAAGGAACTCGAGTCATTACCGGTTGGTTGAGATAAAAAGGAGAGTCTAACTGGCCCATGAGTTGCAGCAAAAGATGCTCACGTGCGACTCAAAATACAAGAGTCTGTTGTATAAGATGTTCAAATTTAAATTAGCATTTTGGACTCAACTCTGCGTCAGAGCAAGCTTGTTCTTTATTTTAACAAAAAAACGTGTTCAATCAAAATGTCAGAATCGACCATCTCATTTGCGGTTGTAAGGGAGAGTCGCTTCCGACCGGTTGGCTAAAGGGATAGACGCGAAATTTAAAGCCAAGCCGGTTAAGAAAAAACCTGCGAAAACAATGGATTAGCTCAAACAAATCCCAACACGTTAAATTTTGAAAATCATAATTTTTCTTTGCCTCAAAGCTTTAAATATTTTTCACCATCGAAAATGAGCGATAAGATTATATTAATTTTCAGAAATTGAGTCAGCTTCAAACAAACAATTTTTCAAAATAAAGGTCATAAATTGAGTTGTCAAGGAAATCCCGAGGGTTGTTAGCTCTTGAAAGCGATTCTCGTAATTCTAAGGTTTGGTTGTTGTTAGATTTATTGGATTTCCTTTTGAGAGGGCCATGTTTTTCAGAAGATAAAATTTCTTTCAGGAGAAAGAAGCAATAACAGTCTTGTCAGTCTTCTCTGTCTTTCTATCCGTCTCCATCTTTGGCACTTGCTTGGTCACTGATTGCGGCAAACGGAAAAGTAAGTTTACTCATCAAAATATTACATAAAATATATTTTGATATGATCATTTTATCTTTGATTTTGATCTTACAGGCGGTCAACCATCCATTCAGCCAGAAATATTTTGAACTCTAAGGGTTCGTTTTGTAACTCGTTTTATATAACTTTTATTTTCAGTTTGGTTCGTTCACAAAAGGCTGATGAAAACCCACCTTTGGAAGAAATTATACGGGAACCAGGCGAAGAAAAGGCCGAATATTGTATTTACTTGAGAATAATAAACTTGCTCTGCATTAGAAATTGAAAGGATGAATTATCGTTAAACGGAAGTGGGGAAGAACGGTCTATCAAGGATTAGGGGCGATTACGGGAACGCACTTTGCACGAGGTCCCCATAATTGAATGCTTTATGTTTTGCGTGATGACAAAAGCTTCGTTCCAAAAAGCTATTTACCGGTCAACATCGAAGAAAACTCACTTTTCTTGTAAAGCACAACTGGAGCATATTGTTACATGAGAAATTAATAGAACCAACGCGTAACCGTCCGTCGCAATAATGTAATTTGTTGTTTCTTATAAGTATGGCGTAAGTTGATTGGCAAATAACACAGCTTCGCTATTTTTTCTTCATGCAATGTCTGAATAAGGGTCCTAAAAGAGTTAAAATGAAAGCCGCGTAGCGGCTTTTTCAAAAACGAAGCCGCACCGCGGCTTCGCCAAAATTGAAAAGATGACATGACGATTTGAGCGGCTGGTCATTAACCCTGCTCAGGACCCTGAGTCAGGTTTTCTACACAGATTGACGAGTCCATTACTAATGGACCATTAGGGCAACTTCTGCTCAAAAAGCTGTCTTGAAATTTTGAATGCTTGAATTGAGTTTGGTGATTACATAAGAGAGGATTAAACGAATGCGCCTGGAACGTGTGGGTCGCCTTTTTATTGCGCCCAATAATGGGCTGCATAACAACGCTATTGCGGCATGGAAATCAAAATGACAAATTTCAATTTCATGCCGGTTCATGCAGTTGTCCTTTTTCTTGGTTATGGTGATGGAATTAACTCTTACGAGTGATTCCTAGAAGCAACTACCTCGGATGCCTCGTTCAATTCTAATTTCGATTTCTCGGGCCATTTGTAGACGATAATTGCCCAAACTTTTAGTTCTTTGCCTTTGGTAGAACTTCTCCGTTGTTCATTGAAAAGTGAGACTTTTGCGGTCCGACGTAAAGAGCCATGTGGCAATTGGTACGACGATTCTACCAGTTGGAGTCACTCTTGGAAAAAATAACTATTCCGCGAAACATGACCAGTGCGATTACGACTTGAACAAGAAATGGTAAGCTTGCCCGCAATAATGAATTCTAAACTTTGCTATTTAACATTTGTGATATCGACACGGCTCGGCGTAAAACAGTACACATTCATTCGTTGTTAGCATATCAACGATATGATGGTAGTCATAGACCTGCTTTGGAAAGCTAAAGATTCTCATGAATAATTAGAGCCATAAAACTGTATGGATTGTGGTTAGGGTTCTGTCGAATATCAAGTACTCGCAAATCAACTAGAAGAATATGTTCGTTTCAGAAAAGAAGGTACTCGTGGTTGAATGATTATATAAAATGAATTATCTGATAAAGCTGGGCAATTATACAAATTCGAAAATAGACGTCGCGCTTGGCTGATGCTGGAAGTGGGTCCGATCGCGCAACACCAAGGGAATGGTTGTATCATTTGCTCTACTTCTTCTTTTGGGGATCTTTTATGCTGTTTTCATGCAATTGTTGGCCGAAAAAGGGTTGAAATGCAACAGACAATCAATAAATTTGATAAAACTTTCGGTAAATACGCTTCAAATTCATGATATTTTTTAAAGAAAGGGCAATCTTCGTGAGGCGCAGACTCAAATACATGTTATCAAGGAGATTCAATTGGTTCTTATGAAAAATAATTTCAAAAAAAAACGAGATTTATGATTTTTCAGCGCAAAAGGGCAGTTTAAACATTAAAATATGCTCAAAATTTTGATTTTTTGATCGAGGGAGTTAAAATCATGTCGAAATTGTCCTCAAAATGCTGGTTTTTGCCATATTTTCTTATATAAAACTTCTTATCTAATACGAGTTGGTAAGTAGGCCGTCTTGCGCCATAGTTGTATCATCCGTCCCACATTTGGACCAAGTAACCTTTGGAAGTACCGGACCAGAAAAACGATCCCGCTAGATGGAACATAGTCAAGTTTGTCTTGTATAAAATGCGGGTGTTACTGCTCAAATCCGTAACTTCCAAAATCATTCTTCTTGATCTCGGAAAGGTTCAGTTTTTTGCCAGACAGATGGGTTTCTGCCAGTCAGAAGAAGTCTCATCTTTTTGTCGAAAACTTCATCTTCCAGGTCTCACTCGACGTCTCCGGTTATCTTCGTCTTGTTCTGATGCTTTCATGAAATAGAGAAAAAGCTCATTCATACAAAATATTCTTTGAAAAGAATGTAACGATGAACATTTGAGGGCTTCTTCCTTCACTTTCGCTTCCTCTCCTAGCATTACTGTATATAATTAAAGCAGTCGTTTAAATACTGATTAGAGCATTTTAAAGTGCGTCGCCACAAATCCGGTAAATATTTCGAAAATTGCGACTTTCGCCAAGTGCCGCCAGATTTTCAAAGTGACTCAATTTACGAGTGGATACCAGTGGCTTTGGATCACGCCACGGGCTGCCAGGGATGAAAAGTTCTAGAGCGGATACGTACAGATGCACCGCTTTAGCAGTAAAATTAGAATCCTATTTTTGAAGAAGGGTTTCGAGCGAAAATATACAAAAATAGAAAAAAATCAAGCGGACTTTTCATGTTTTATCGTAAATATAGATCTTTGACTATAGTCCATATGGATTAAATTCAATTAGACACACCCTGAACCTTTTACTGTTCTTTTACTCCTTTAGTTCATTGATGAAGGACTTCTTATGGCTTCCGAAAATTTCTCAGAAGTGCTTAGGTTGAAATTAGAAAAGAAAAAATTATGAACATGACAAGAAAATTGCAATATCTCGGTGAATTTGCATAAGGAGGTTTTACTGGAACTAGAATGGAACTGATTGAGATTTTCGGAACGCTAGCAAAAAGTACTACCGGAAAACGGACTAGCGATAACCTAAGAATAATGAAATCATGTTTTCTTATTAAAAATGATTCACATTTCATGTTTCCTGATGCGTTTTCTACCTATTTAGCTCAGAAACACGCATGTAATAATCGAATGAAACAATAATCGTCAATAAAAAATGTCTGGGCAGCTTTGGGTAGTGTTCCGCTAATCAGTACGTAGCTGCCTTCCAAGAGCGGGGGAATGTTTGTGCGTTTTTGTTGAGCAGCGCCGTACTTTGCGCGCGCTACTCAGGTGGCGCTCCCGAGCGCCGAGTACCCGCGCGGTACTTCTCTGCGGTCCGAGAAGAAGCAACCAAGGAGCGCGAGAATCGACGAGATCTTCATACTCCAAAGAAGCAAAATTAACGATTTTCAATCAGAGATTTATTTACTCTACAGATAGACATTCTACAGCTGCTTTGGATACTTGAAGTAAAAAAAAACATTGACATTTTTTTCAAAAAAAAAAGAAGAAAGAAGAGCTATAGCAAGAGAATAAACAAAGAAAAAGGGTTCAATTGACGTATTAATCATAGAAAAATTTAATTTAAAAAGCGTGTTATGTCATCGAGAACAATTTAAATCAGAAAATATAACGAATTTTCATCAAAAATAACATTAAAATTGACGAAAAACGGCGACAAATAACTCGATTTTTCGCGACAATTTTTTCTGTAATCTGATTCGCCTACCGGCCGAAAGCGGAAATCTGATTAGTCTAAAATTTGACGGAAAGTTTGGTCCGATTTGTCGGACCTTTTAGTCGTTTTGTGCTACTTCCCCAAAATTAGCTCTTTGGTCTGGTCAAAACTCTTTAGTTTCCAATTTCGAGCATTACGGTTAATCTTGTGGTTGATATTAAACTTGCTCTCTATCAATTTTTGCTTTACAAATGCCAAGTGGTTTCTCGATCACTCCCGCGCAAAAGTAATTTCCGCAGCTTCTGTTCTAAGAGCTTACCTTTTCAAAGCCGTTTTTGGGCTCTCTGGGAAAATTTCAATCAAGGGAATTATTTCTGCCGCGTTATTAAAATTTATAATTAAATAAAAGTTGATGAACCCGGGAGAAGCTCATCAAGACTGAATTACAGTCATGAGGATACTTGCTACTACAGTATTGGCGGCGGCCATCGGTGAGTTTACTGTAACTGTTGTTGCATAATCGTAATTACGCTCTTGACGATCGGGATCGTGAAGTGAATCAAAGATAATTGCTTTTACATAAGAGATAAGAAAGATTCTTCAAGCTCAAAAACAGAGTTGTTTCATAACTATAAAATGTATTATTTTTACAGCCGAAAATTTTAAAGGATAAAAAAGGGGTGTCTTCAAAGAAGAAAGCTCAATAAAACTAATAAATACCCTAAATTAAACGAAAAAGCACCAACCGTTTCCCAACAAAGGGTTTTAAGAAAAACCCAATCAAATAAAGAGTGTCTTGAAGAGAAGCCTCGCCCAAATTGTGTAAGAACGGCTCCAGATTAGCGAGCAGTGCGCAAAAATGAGCGTTATGCAGCGAGTGGTCTTATTCAGGATAAAATGGAAAAACTCACGTCCACTTTCTCATAATTGAACCGCAACCAGAAGCCTCAACTATTTTGATTGCTAAGAGAAGGGAACCTCAACTTCTCAGTTCCAGTAGCAAAAAAATCCAAGTTAAAAAATAATCATCAAAATGATCGATTTTAACGCCCAAATCAAATAAGGGGTTGCCCATTTTAACGGGCAAATTTTTCTAGATTTCACCATTTTAGCGGATTTCTCAAGAGGGTCACCATTTTAAAGGATTTAAGGGCTCAGGAATCCGTTAAAATAGCGACATTCTTGAGAAAAAATAAATCCGTTAAAATGAGGAGACCCTTAAGAATCTTCCCGTTAAAAAAAGTACCCCTATTTGATATTCAAAGAAGCTCTATAATAAAATCTACGTGAGATGAACGATCCAGATTTTTTGCATACCTCGTAGCTCCACCCTTTTTTTTATCTTTTCCGGTTTTGAAGTGAGGATTACAATACAAATCCTCGGTTGCCCGAATCTCTCTTTCAATTTTGGCTGACGTAACTGGGTTCAATCAGAAGCGAATTCAAACAAACTTAGATTTAAATTAAGCGGCTCTTGGTTATTGATATGAAAATATAAAGTGAAAAATCTCGTTCCTCCAAATTCTGCGATTTCGCCGCGGCCGTCACTTTTCCTTGAAGCAAATTCTTTAAAAATGAAAATTTTATAAGACAGGTGTTCGCGAAGAATAACTTAGACTTGTTCAACTCACATTTTTTTGAAGAAAAAATGAGGTTAAAAAGCTTGAAATAGTAGTTTTAAAAAAGAAACAAAACATGTCGTTAAAAATTTCCATATTTCTTTTTGCGCGAGCAGGTTTTTCTTGAGCCAGTGCGAAATTGAAGATTTGAAAACGTTATTACTTCACGGCAATTTATTGAACGGGGATCAGGAGCGATTCATTCTTTTTTGAATGATTTTGCTAATGTAAGAGTCGCACACGTTGCGAGATTTTAGAGCTTTTTTTTGCTGCTCTAGGGATGGTATATATTGTGAAATTCATAAGATGAGGGTTGGTCTTAACCCCTGCCCGCATATCGACCTACGCGTAGGTAAATTGTCTTTAATCCCAATTATACTTATGGAAAAACAACATTTGTTCACGTTTGACGCTGGATATTTGAAATTTGATCATGTCCAGAAGATAGCTCAGCTTTTATCTTTCCATTCAAGTCCTTTCGAAAATTTTATCACGACTGAAAGACCCTCAAAAGGCCCGACCTACGCGTAGGTCGATATGCGGGCAGGGGTAACAAATTTTCCATGCGGGCAGGGGTTAACTTTAGGGTGAGGGTTAGGTATGAGCTCTACTGCTCAATAAAAAGAGTATAATTCGGATTAGAGTTCCATTTCGGCGTTCAGTTAAACGTTAAACTTCAATTTAACTTACTGTCGTACCCTTAAAATTAGGGGTTAGACTACCCTTAATTCTATTGAGAAAATTAGACGAATATTTTCAATTTAAACTATTATGAAAATTGTGAGTCGGTCATTTTTGTTTGAAAAATACTGAAATTTCGATATTTGGCTCAAAATAATATAATAATAAATAAATATAATTTATTTTCAAAAAAATATTGGTGATAAGCACATTATTCTGATTATTGATTTGAGCTTTGAATTATTATTCCTTAATTGAGCAAGAAACATGTGACATAAAACATGTCGTGACAAATTTCTTCAAAAACAAGCAAATTCGTTGTCTTTCTATGTATGTTTGAGATTATTCTATTTTCGAGCGACACATCGCTTTCGTTTTCATTATTCCTTTCTGGCTCTTGTTTTGGAAGTGATAAAGGGGCTCATTAAATTAAACGTTATTACGTTACGTTTAAGAGAACTCGCAACGTTCAATTAATTTCATTCATCTTTTCGGCGAGAAGCGTGTTAGAAAATAATGTTTTCGTTTGTTTTTGATAAGAGCAGCTAGTTTTTAAGGTCTTTGCCGCTGTTTTTCCAAAATTCTAATTTTTTGGATAACGAAATTTTTCTAAATGAAAAATGTTAAATGAAGAGAAAATTTCGCATTTTGCCCTAAAAATTTTGTGACTCAATAAAATCGCAATCTAAAAACAGATTAAACAGCGCGAAAAGCGAAAATCTAAATCGAGAGGATAAGTTCCAGCTCCCAGATTAGTTTATTTCTAAATCAAGAACTGAAAACAAGAAACGGTTGGTTAGGATTCGCGAGTTACGAACAGGGCGTTTTCCGTTTTTCTCTACGTAGAATATTATCGAAACTCCTTGAAAATAATCCGGGGCTTAAGGGATCCCCCGTTTTGGCCATCTTTGACTGGAAATTCAGCCGATTTGCGCTTATGAACTTGGGCGTGCAATAGCTCTACGGAAAGCTTAGGTGCTATCCGCTATTCTCTAGTACAGAGAAGTTTTTTGCTAAAGGCAAACCTACCACTAGGAGGGGCCAAAGTCCGAGAATTTCGAAAAAACGCCATTTTAGGCCATTTTTGAATCGAAATTCAGCCAATTTGGGCTTAGATAGACTCCATCTGAGAAAAGATTCGGATAAAATGGAGCCTAATCTTCAATCTCTAGTACAGAGAGCCAATTCGGTCAAGTAATAAAAAAAATTCTTATGAACAACCATCTGTAGCCATTTTTGGCGTTTTTTGGTCTTTCATTGCTCTCTAGCGCCAACAAATGGGCAAAAATTTCTAATGCGGTTATTATATTCTTAATCGGCAGATTCTAAGCTTTCGAAAGACCCCTTATATGGCTTATTTGGATGACATTAAAAAACCGAAAAAAATCCGATTTTCACGCTAAGTACAATTTATATGCATCTTTGCTATTTTTGAAGGCTAAAATCTCGGGGATAAATGTTTGTAAGGGGGTCATGTGACACATCAAAATGATCCTCAGAGAACGGGGAATCTAAAAATGTCAAACATAGACCCGTACCAAAGACTTGAAAAAACAGGGGGGGATCCCTTAATAACGTCAGAAACTGAGATATTGAAGCACAGCCAGTAGCTTACTTATCTATTTTTAAAAAGAAAGGATTAATCCGCCTGTAAGTTACTGTAGTAATGATATCAGCAATTTTGATAACCGAAAAGTTATTAACAGCAAATTTGAACTTCGCACCTCAATTCGCTTGTCAGCGCGAATTTCTGCCAAGACAAGCCTTAAAAATTGCATCGATCTTCAGTCGACTAGGACTAAAGCGATAAGTTCAATTGGTCATTTCGGCGGTCTCTTAGAACATTTGTCCATAACATCTCTCAAAAAAGGATTAGACCCGGAATGGTTACGTAATCGCCTCTTAGTGCGAGTTCTGACGTGCCTCTCTCTCTCTTTTTTCTGAAGCGATATGGTAACTGAGCACATGGACTCTAAATGGAACTTGTTGATCTTTAATTTTTCCTTTTTGGATACAAAAAATAAACTTCAAGAAAAATCATAGACTCGGTTTTAAGATAGCCCTCTCAGGACCCTGACTCAGGTTTTCTACACAGGTTGGCAAGCCAAAGACAGGGTAGACGTGGTAGTCTCCTTTGCAATTGTTTCCCCCTTCACATTTTTTTTTCATAAACAAAGTTTGTCACGATTCCGCGCTTTCCTTCCAACAATCTTGCAACAATCATTTTCTTGTTCCGTCATTTCTTTCTAAAACTAACAGTTGTCTTGTAGCCTCGGAGTGCTACAAATGCATCAACGGCCTTTACGACGAAGATTGCCTTACGGAGTCGCTCTCGTGTACCGAAGATCAGGTTAGTTCAAAAACAACTCTCAACCGGGCATTAGCGACGTAACGAAACAAGACGCAAAAATTTCACAATTTCCTTTGTTCGCCTAATTGCTGGCCTAAAAATGCTTTGATCATAAATCGCCACTTTGGAGAGGAACAATACGTAGCTGCCGGAAGACTTTACCATTCTCTATTTTCAGTGCGGTTTAGATAAGGGACTCAACCTCGATAAAACGAGATGCTAAAAGGGGATTGATATCGATAAATAGTATAGAGATACTTTGTTTTAGAAAAAAGGTTTGAGATAATTTCTTATCGAAGCTTTCTTTTAATAAGAAATTTCTGAATGGATAAGGGGTTTCATATTGGATTCAGAATTACGGTCATAATCGAGAAGCCGCTTGCGGCTTCGAGTTAACAAAAAAAAAGCCGCGCTTGCGCGGCCTATTGACTCTCTTTATGTATTCCCCCGTAAATATTCCTAGGACCTAGGAAATTTAACTTGTGAAAAGTCAAGAAAAATTTGGCGGAAATCCATATTCTCTCGCTCCTTGCAAAAAGTTGTTACGCTTAGGAATGCATTTCTGAGCCTTGATGTTCCAGCAGGTGCATTTCTGAGGGTCGTTAAGGCGACGTTGCCGATTTGCGCGAAGGGAGAAATATGCGCGTTGGGACTCCACGAATACACAGACCAACCGCAGTCGGCCAAAACAATCGTCACAAAACTTGTTTCCTTCAAGTTGATCTGCATTAAAATTTGCTGACACGACGATTAATCCCTTTCGTTAAACGGCAACATGGACAAAAATACGTTTTATCAAAATTAATAGCCGCATTTGTGGCGAGCAAATCCACCCCGCGTAACCGACCGGGCTCAATCTGTTGCAAAAATCAGGTCTAAGACTTTTGGATCTTTCTTGCAGTAGTCTTTTTCGTACATCATTAATGCAGCAACTTTCGTCATGCCTGTCATCTCCACGAATTTCGTTGCGATGCTGCTGACCTCGCTCGATCAAATTTTTTGAATTGTTTTTTTCCAAGAAAAGACGGCCAGTCGGGAAACATGCAGTACGAACAGGAAATGCTTCATGCTCCTAATCGTAAAAAACTATTTGGAAAGAAATATCTCGACAAAAATTATCGTCAAGTTTACTGACGGACATTTTTTGTCACATATGATATTGAAAATTCTCCCCTAAATTCTGCATTTTTACGCGTATCATGATCTTAGAGTCTGATGATCAATAAATATTCTAATATTATTAAATATTATATTTATATATATATATATTATATTATATTATATTATATTATATTTCATATATATTATATATTATATTATATTATATTATATTTTATAATAATATATTATATTATATATTAAATATTATATTATTTATACATTAAATATATAAAATACCGAGTATTTCAGACTCAAAACCCGTGAAGCGCCGCCACTAAGGCTTTCCAGGGCTTTGATTGGCTGATCAGCAAACTTGATTTTCAACCAATAATTTTCGCTCAAATCCCGATAAGCGCCCCCACTACGAGTCTCGAGCCTTTTGATTGGCTGCCTTCAAATTTATCTCCATATATCCTCACAGCGGAAAATTTTATGTTTGCCTATGAAATGAAAATAATTAATATTTATAGAAAAATGTAGCGGCTCAGTAATTGCCATCAAAATTAATTGAGCAGCATTAGTACTAACAGAAAACAATTCCCTCAAGTCGACCAAAAACAGCCAAAATAGTCAACTCTATTTTGACTTGATTAAACCCGTTTTACCGTTTCTTTCACATGTTGGCGAAATAATGGACTGGCCCTAACGAGCCGTGGAAATTCGCGGAATGAGAATGAGCTAATGGCGTTAGAATTCGCGCTCTTGGAAGGGTGCTCAACAGGACTTGAATTGCATGTGGCGATAATTATCTAAAATGGCAGATTATGATGAGCGAGCATTTTTAGATTTGAGACAACGTGGGTGAAATTTTCAGGAATTTCACGCAACGCCTGAGATTGAACAAGACTAAATGAGCGGCTGATATTTTGCAAGGAAATTTCATCACAGCTCCTAAAGTGCATCTTGTTGGGGTTCAAAAGGGGCAAATAGTACTTATAATCATTTATTTTTTAGCTTTGCATGACGGAATTCCGACAAGAAAACGGCCAAGTTCGGATAACAAAGGGATGCAAACAGAAACAAGCTTGTGAAGTTCAGGTAACTCTTCATCATCCATCTGGAGCTACTAATCGAAAGCAGACTTCGTTGAGCCACAGGGGTCAACATTTTACATAAGCTGATAGTTGTAAAACTAACAAACTGAAGAGCTATCAAGGCCGCAGTTATTTTCCGTCAAAGCCACGAGTGAATAAATCATCTGCCCTATTTCAGCACCTGGATTTTTTTGCTGGCAAAAGTTCATGAAAAAATATCTTAGGGTTTTAGAAGCTCTGCCAAAGCTATTCCTATTAAAAAAAATATCCCAAGGCTTCGACGAATAAAACATTATGTTACGAATATCCGTACGTTCGAGTGTGTCACAGCTGCTGCGAAGGTGACCTCTGTAATGACGACATGGAACTTCCTCCTTTCCGAAAAGGTAACTCTCCAAAAACTACGAATCGAAACTTGAAAAACTTGAAACTTGAAGTTGAGCGTTGTTCATTGAATAATTATGCAAATTTTTCGTTTCATTATTAAAAATCTGGAACAGTAAAAATGAAGCGCGTGTGAATCCGCTTTTTGGCTGCAGCATCTCAGCGACTGTAAATTGCAGCCCGCTTTCCTCGAATCGTTGCTAGTCTTTTTGGCTGCAAAGATAACACCCTAAAGACTGAGTTAAGTTGACCGCTAGTGCAAATGAGATCACCTCCACCTGCTCAGAAATATTTTCATCAGGTGGCGTAATAATCCATAAATGGAATAATACACAGATTGGAGAACGAGCAAACGTGAAGTTCAGATTTTAAGATTCTTCTCGTACTCGTCCAGTGGGATTATCCAGATTTTAAGCGAGTTATTAATAACACGCGTTACACAATTAGAAACTGATTAAAATACAATGGGCAATTCATTTTAGCATATATTTTTTCAACAAATTCACCAAAATTTAGTTGGAACCTGTGGAAAGCCAGCAATCAAACCTTTAATCGGAAATGGACGTCTTCTAGACAAACTTCGAAGTTCATTCGGCGTACCGCAACGACGTTTTCCTATTGCTTCTCGAGGCCGTCGATCGGTTTCGTCCGAAAAGCTGCACTACAACCCCGTCGCTTCCTGGGGCATGACGACGACTAATCTTGGAAAAGGCTTCGATCTTTTGCCGGTGATCAAAACTGCTATGGAAGAGGAAACAAAGCATAATGAAACGACGGTTGATGAAGAAACAGGATTGACGATGGAACAAATTGGAGAAATGAGCGACGTCAATTTGAAGATCGCAGCTGGGCGCCCGTCAGTGCCAGGTTAGAGAAAGTGAAATTTTTTGTGTTACTGGTTTTCTTCTTGTTGATCTTCGAGTTGCTAAAACATGAATTTCAAGCAGCAGCTTTTAAAAAGTACAACCTTGACAAAGCCAGGATCGATGCTAAGCAAGAGGCAAGCTGGTGATTTAATGTCATCAAGGGGCCCTCCCTCCCGTTGCCACTTATTAATTCCATGATTTCAGGCTCGTGGGCTTGGGTGGCTCAAATCAAGTACTGGCGCAACGGGCGATACGAGTTTGTGTGTGCGGGAACGCTGATCGCCGATCGCTGGATCCTCACAGCCGCTCAGTGCCTCTCCGACGAGTAAAATCCATTTCCTCCATTCTGCTTAATTTCTGTCATTTTACGTAACGCTCTAATTTCAGCGAATCCGGCGAATATGATGTCACGAACATGGTTGTCGTTCTCGGGGTGCACACCCTTAGAGGAGGCGACGAGGGAGGAACGGGTCAGATCATATTTTTTAATCCATTTTGGGGTGTCGACAGAGGATGGTTTACGACCTAAAGTTTTTAGGCTTTTTTTGATAAGGGGTCGTCTTATATCACCGTTTTCCCGATTTTCGAGAAAGCGAACACGTTAGTTGCGGAGCACGAGAATCGGATGCTCTCGTGCGGTGTCAGATAAAGGAGTCCGAGTCTCGAGTCTCCCGCTGAGTCTCCTGATAAGCCCCTAGCTGCGTAAGTTCCAATCAGACTGACATTGTGTAAATAATCAATATTATCCTTTTTATGATGTCCGCTTATCTCCTTTACTGCTTATCGTGAAGAAAACGAGAAATCATCCCCTTATCAAAAAGTAAAGTCAAAAACTTGTTTAATCAAGAAGCTACGTTTTTTTTCCGAAAAAATCTTGAGATTTCCACGAGCTTTCAAAATTCTCAGATCAACTGAGGAATTTGATTCAGCGGGCGGCTGGAGCAGATTACAGAAATTAGCACTAGAAAATGACGTATCAGCGGGGATCGGTGAATGTCACGTTTGCAGATTTGTCGATTTCATGACTATATCTTTCTTTTTTTCTCTTCAAAACCATAGAACAAGTTGATAAAAAAACTCCCTCAAAGCCGCTATTCTCTTTATCAGCGACCCAGACTGACCCAAAACCAAAGATCGGCGTCAAACCTTCGACGTTTTAGAAACACGAATTCACCCGAACTACCGGATCGAGACAACACCTCGCAACGACGTGGCTCTCTTGCTGATCAACGAAAAGGAAAGGGGCGCATGTGACGGCCGTTTGAATAGAGCAGGGCTCTTGTATCGATACACTTGTAATTTGCGTGCGCAGGGAGCAAAGATGCGCTAGTTACGTAGCCATCCAAGTCTGCTCCATCGATCTTGAATTTTTCGTTATTACAGTCCATCTGGAAATGATTCATACGTAAGTCAACGTCAATCCGTACTTGACTCAAATCTTCGATAATGAGTTTTAATTGTCGCATGCACGTTGCCAAAATTACTGGCATTTCACGCGTCTTAACCCACTGCCGCACGAACTTGATGAATACCGCGCGGTTAATTCTAGTGCTTACCTCTTTCTTTTCGGATTTGTAGTTACAAAATCGGCCAGGTCAAAAGCTAACCCCTTGAAAAGGTGGAGTACAACGAGTTCGTGCATCCGGCTTGTCTTCCATACGGTAGGTATACTTCAGAATATTCGGCCGTCGAGGCCGAAGCCAATTTAGTAGAGGACGCGGACTACTGCTGGTTTGTCGGATGGGGTTTTACCAAGCCCATTCCCAACTACGAGCAAAAGAAGCCAAATGATCTTGCTCGAGTGCTGCAACAATCAAGACACTACTTGATGGAGCATCAAACCTGTGACAACATTTTGGACACTTGGAACATCGACAAGAAGGAACATCTCTGCGCTGTTGGCTACGAGACTGCACCGGGCTTCATCGGACATGCTTGCGAGGTAGAGATAAAATATACAATTAGGAATACGTGTAGGATCCTTAATTTTGAGAGAAGGTGCTTGACGGCGCCTGCTCGTTACTAGAACACGTCGCAAGATCGGATTTGAGATTTGCTCTTAGGGTGACGGAGGAGGGCCTTTGGTCTGCCGACACAAGGACAATAGCTGGTTCATCGCGGGAATCGAGATTGGGCAAAGCTCTCACTGTGGTCAAGTAAGTACCATCGCTTATCGCTAATTGACTCTTATCAAGCTCAATTATGATTACGTCGCAATTTTATTACAGTAAGCGTTTTTTGAGTTCACTCAAGAAGATATTATCATAAAAAATATCGTTCAAAGTTTATAATTCCATGAGCCTAAGTAGGTTAAATTTTTCTATTAACTATTCATGACGAGTTTAACGGTATTTTGACAACATGTTCGTGGACGTAACCTCTCCTCTTTTCAGAGTCCCTACGAACGTCTTCCATCCATCTTCTCCCGCGTCTCTGTTTTCGAAAACTGGATCAACAAAGTGATCTTCTCGCCAGTCGCCGTTCCGGTCGTCGAGAAATCATCATTGATTGCCAATGGCACCGCTGCTCTATAAAATGATTCAAAAGGAGTCATTTTTTTCTAAGTCAATTTCTGTTACCACAATTTGCAAAATTTCTTCAATCGGCTCTCAATGAAATTCGGAGTCGACAATGCCAAATGTTCAATTACCTATCGAGTATCACTTGTACAAAGAATAAAGTAAACTGTAAACTTTCATCGTCGTTGTCTAATCACTTCTTGTTCTGGTGTAGAAACTTGCAGTGGAATGCCGTATGTTCCTGGTTGGAAGGAGGCAGCAGTCATTTGCAAAAGCGGATTAGGGAATATTTACAATTAGAAGGAAGTTTGGCCACTCTCCGTTCTGTGAGCTGACCGCAAAAATCGTCATAAGATTCCAGCCTTTAATTTTCTTATGCAAGAGCATTTCGTAATGTTTTCGTCTGGCTAATAATACCAATATGAAAGCAAAATGATGACAGTTTATCTATCATAATTGCTCGGACATGATTTTCCCGGTCGGACGCCACAAAAACCACTCGGTCAATATTCTCCGCGCATTTTCGGAAATCAAGGCATCCTGGATGCTCACATCATACCACAAGATGATCGCACTCAGGAATGTCTGGAACTTGAAACTGTTTAGAAACAGCTCTAACCTTGTTCATAAATTATTTATTGTCCCAATTTTCTAGTAGCCTAGTATCGACGATTTCTAGACGTTTCATGAAGCAAGTAAATATTTTCTCTTTGAACGGTGGAGCAGAGAGAAAACACGATTTCTACGATGGCGGTAGCTGAATTCAATGTGATTTCATTTTCTAAACTTGTTCAGAAATTAGAGTGGAAGGGGACGCCACGTTTGGAGAAAAAAGAAGACATAGAGGTTCTTCTTATTGGAGACTCGATAATTCAAAGAATAAACTGCGAGCAGTTCAAGAATACTACCTGGTTTTACTCGTATCCTGGACTCGACATGGAAAAAATAAGACACGAACTGGAGAACAAAGTTATTCTTCCACCACCATCAAAAATTGGAGGTACTGTTTAGATTATTTCCCGTCCACGGTCAACTACCACTTTAGTTGTTTACGTCAACGTTGGAACAGACGAAATAACTTATCTTCAAAAGACAAACCAGGAGCCGACCTCAAAGATATTCAGCCCGAATCTGATAGGCGTTATTTCCGTTGTACGAAAACTTTACAGAGGCTCAATCGTTCTCTGTGGGTCGATTCTACCGCGACTGGATGATTGGAATCCTCGACTGAGAGAAATCAATCTTCTGACGAAAGAATTTGTTGCCAATGCCAATTCGAATCAACTTCAGTTCGTTGACATGTGGCTGATGTTCGAGGATAAAGTTGATCTTTACAGGTGATTATTGACAATTAAGAATTTATTGAAATAAAAATATTTCAAGGCAGAAAACGGACTACACCAGAAATGACTGTCGGCGAGAAGATACGAGGTCTTCTAAAGTGCATTTGAACGAAAAGGGGGCGCTCCTTTTTCAGAGAGAACTGAAAAGACACATTGAGACAGCAGTGGATCTAAAATTCATGCAGAAAGATAAATTTCCGGTCCCAATGACGCCGGAAGAGTGGATGCGTTTTCGAAAAATGACGCGTTCTAGCAACATTGAACCATTGTTCAAAATAACAAATTACCCAGAGGGTGCGAATCGTGACGATCAGCTAATACCATACAACGGTATCGAAATATCTGAAACAATCTTTGAGGCTGATATCTTTTAGGCCCTCAACTCTCAACTCAAATCGATGAAAGCGAAAAAGACTCAACCTCAGAAACTTTATATTGCCACGGAAAAGAAAAATTCAAAGAGAGGAAATCTGCGAAATCGAAAAAATTAAAGCATCGAAAACGGACATCATCCGAAAGTACCGGTAGTCCACCCAGAAGCTCTCGATCGAGGAAAGAGCAAAAAGAGCCGCGTTCAAGAGAGAAACGAAGGCGGAAACGATCCCGATCGTCATTTTCCGAGGATAAACGAAAGCGTTCAAAAAAGTCGAGGAAAGAAAAATCGAAAAGAAGAAGTCGAAGCAGATAATTTTTTCTTTGAAAACTAGATTTGAAATAAATTACCGTGATAGATATTATTTCGCCTCCACGTCGTTGGTAGCAAAGATTTTTGCTGGAGAGAAAGTGAAGTCGCGGCTAAGAAATTGCTATTTGAGTGGTTCACTCGAATTTTCCAAAAAATTGCACGTTGCGTGAAACTCTTTCGCGCGAATTGCCATTATATAAGCCCGTTGGATTGGATTTTCGAGATCATTAATCCAAAATCAAAAAGAGAAAATCTAAAAATGGCCGTGGTTTTTGTTCTTGGTGTTCTGATGTTTCAAGTTAGGGTTTAAATTAGCTGATCGATAATGTTTTGAAAAAAGAATAGATAATATTTAACCCTAAAAAAGGCGATGCGCAGACAACAAGGAGTACCAGATCGTTGCGGCAGCTAAAAGACCTTATTTCAAGAGGCACAATTTTAAACTTGAATAATGTGCGTATATCATTTTTAATTAAACGATAACATTATCTACAGCTTGTAAACTATGGATGCTGGTGTGGAGAGCGAGCGATGAAATCTGGCGACCCAAAGGATCCTATCGATAAAGCGTGCCATCTTCACTACAGGTACCACAGTATATTTCGCAGGTTGATTGAATATAAAATGTTCTTAGGTGTACTCAATGCCTAAGTCTCGACTATGGAAATTGCGATCCGAATCGTGAATTTTATAAAGGGCCAGAAATGGTCGCTACATCTCCTACTCAGGTAAAAACAGACGTCTTCTGTCAGCAAAACCGACTATTCAGTATCGATGTCGGCCGAATTCGAGCAGATGCAAGGAAGATTTATGCGAATGCGATGTCGCTTTTGCAAATGCACTTTCACTTGCTCAAGGTAGAATCATTATTTGACGTGTTTTCCAAAAACGTTGTTGCTTCAAGAGAGTTTCAATGCTTCGATGATAAACTTGCGCCCTTCCGAATGTAGAGCGCCGCAGATGGGAATTGGCAAACGATCGAATCCTTTTGGGTAATAAATTTAACTTAAAACCAAACCATTACAATTTTAAGTGATTTCAACGGACATGCAAGTATGCTTATCAACACTTCGGCCTTTCAATGTTGCGGAGAATACCCAATGGTTTGAGAACTGCTTAAATTCATAAAGAATATTTTAAGCGTTTTCCGTATATGAAAACATCCACTGTTGCCTGCTGCGGCCCGAAGACCTACAATCCAAAAGTACTCGATTGCTGCGAAAGCAATATTATTCGAGCGGTTGGTTCTTGTTTTTAGATTTATTGATAGTCTGTAAATACAGGTGCGTTAAAAAACTCTCTGAGAATATCGGGATTTATTTCATCTCATACATAGATGCGATGTCATTTTGTCTTTTCTTATCGCGATCGCCGTTTTCTTCTGATTTCCTCCAAAAGAATATTTTGTCCCAATTGAATCCGGCTGTTACAACTTCTTGTCCATAAGAGCCCTCATTGTTTATCAGCACAATGCTTGGTTCATCCATTCTTGAATCTCGTCCTTTCATCTGTTTTTTTCTTTCAATACTGTCTTCAAGATCTCGCTTGAATATTTTTCTGAGCGTATTTCTAGCAGAAAACCGCGCTCGAGGCATAACAGAGTCTGCTTCAATATCGCGAGCATCTTGGTTCAAAATATTCGTGTTGGTCGTCGGTAGTTGATACACAGCAGCAGCCACACTTTCGGAGGAAATATGCGATCAAAACTATTGCAACACAGAATGCAATTAGTCCTATAATTCCGAAAACTTCATTTTTGAAGACAGAAATTTGTATTCCAATGTCGAGTCCCATGTCGATTTGAACCTAAAATTATTATTAGTTCCAAACCAAAACAACAAATTGTTACCTGTAACATGAAATCAACGAGGACATCCACATCGACTTTTGCATTGACACCGAATTCTCCTTCGGCTTTATGGATGATTTCTTGCTTGATATGTTCGTAGTGATGAGTGGTTGATGGTGCTTGGTGGGTGGTTCGATGGCAGTTGAACCAACAACCCATTGCTGAATGAAAAATATCAGGAGGAATTATTTTTCAAAAATTCAACTTCAGGATTTGCTTTTATATTCTTTGATGGTGATTGATCATTCTCCGTTTTCTCCTAATACGGCAGTCTGGCCTACGTAACGTAAATATTGAAACATTTCAGACTGCAAGTACAAATAAAACGTAGCACAAAGTATTTGGTCTTTGGTGATTGCAACGGCATTCTCAAATGCCGGTATTTATTCTTTTTGACTAGCTCAACGGTCTTAATCATGCAGGACGATATAAAAAAGCTTCGGGAGTAAAACTTTCAAGAGAAAAAACATGGGGAATCTACTTAAAAAGTTTAAACCTATCCCGGCAGATTATACGATCAATGGCGATGTTCATACAAGCCATGACGTAGACTTGACCGCTGATACGAACCATGAATTTACTGGAAACTTTAACTCACAGCATGACATCAACATCAACGCGGACCCGCTATCGCTCCAAGGACACATTTCAGCCGACACAGAACACCACGAAACAAACGGTTAATTTCTTCTATTTGCATAACATTAATTATTTTTAGAGATACGGGTTAGCACTTTTGAAAATGAAAACTATGGCTTGTTCGCCCTCATCGCCTTTTTCCTGACAATCATTTTGGCTATAATTCTTTTGCGAAGAGCAAGCTGCTGCAACACGGATAAAACTCAATCGAGACAAAGTGATGAAAGCGCTGAAGATGCTCCACCAAGCTACAATTTCTTCGATAAATTTTCGAGAACCAACAAGTCTGGCAACCTATTACTGCCGAAATACTGTGGCATCCGCTACTAGTTGGCAGTCCGAAATTCCGCTACAAGTTGGCACCCCGCGCGCTTTTCGCCTTGATAAGTCAGCCTAATTCGGGAATGAAAATAGAGTTTGCGCTAATCAAACCATTCAAATTTGAAATTTTTCGAAAAGAACCACTTTCGTATTGCGTTTTAGATATCGAACCACCCAAAAAAGTCCGAGTTATTTGCATGATTTCCAGCTGGGAAGGCAAAATGATCCCGGACCCCGGTGGGGCGCGCTCACTGCTACTAGTTGGCAAGAGGGGCGCTTTTGACTGCCAACCAGTAGCGGATGCCACAGTAGATGAGAAGTTTTTTTTTATTTGAAACTGTGCAAGATAATCTCAGTAATAAATACAGTGGCTATTCACATCTTGAAGATTGAGTGGAGTTTGTCTTTCCTGAGGCGAAAGAATTAGTAGGAGTATTTCTGGATAATCCCAGCATGCTAGAAAAGGAGTTAGAATAGAATAAAGTGGATCAACGAGAAGCTTTCTAGCTCTAAAAAGAAGGATAAAAAAGTGAGATGGATGTGGAAATATTCTTTCGTGATGGCTTTTGAAAATTAAATGACTTTGGCGGATCAGAAAAGTGGATTTACGAATATTTCATACCCAAATTGAATCAACGAGCGTTGGAGACCTGGAGAGTGTTAGTAAGTTTTCATTTGTTAAAAGTTTTTAGCGAGTAATTTTGAGGCCTTACGAATGAGTAGCTTTGCGTAGAAGTCGTCGATATTCAGCTTGAAATCTGAAATTGAGTTAAGAATTAGGTGATCCGCATTGGATAAGACCTGGGATAAAGAAGGCAGTACAAAATTGGATTGACACAAGAATTGAGCCAAGTGATAAAGCTGCACGTCATATGGAGTCTCGGGTCGAGGCATCCTTTGTTGGGAAGAAGGTTTATCACCACGGATGGAATGAAGAGCATTGAGTACACTAGAAATGAACACATCCTAATTGACTCAAGTAGTCTACCTGAGCACATAAGCACTGAAATGAGAAGCAGTCGCCAGTTGTTTTTCCTCCTTTGCCTACGAATGCTTGATATTGGTTAGTGATATATTTAAAAAATACGATTCAAAGTCAAGAGATTCTTTGACTCTTAATTTTAAAAAAAATTTATGGAATCAAGGATGAAAAATCGCAGTGAAAAGAAGTGACACCATGGACTGTGCATGAATACCTTCGGAACTCAACAAGACTCCTTTGTATAAGCGAAAATTTGTATTTATGCTTGGGCTTTGCCCTGGCTAGAATGTTGTATTTTTGTGGCGGAATATAAAACTACCTGCTTTCAGAAAAGGAGTGCGAAGGAGATTTGTCCATTGATTTGCGGCTTGTTCGGCGACTTTTATCTGCCTGAAGTGTTGGAGGTTTCAGAAGTTGATTTGATGATGTCCTCGAGACATCCCAAACTAAAATCTTGACTCGTTGAAGTTTTAAAATATTTCTTACCGGAGATTGTGTAAGAAACAATCATAATACAGGCGGGTACAAATTGGAATAAGACTCTCATCAATTTCATGTAAAGCTCGAATTTTGGCTCAAGATTTGTAAATGTACATAGTAATTGATCTGAATGGATATTTTAGCGCTTCCAGTAAATTTGAATCCCGTACCTTCGCGCCAACCCATCATCTGAGTCCCATCAGAGTTGGAGAAGATCAAAAACGGAAGAAGAAAAAGAGGTGCCACGAACCAACAGAACACAATGGCAAGCGAGGTACGGCATGAGCTGAAGAAACGCTAGAAAGAAATGTCACGTGGGAGGAGAACTTGGGAGTTCAAATTACCTTGTAATGAAGAGGGTAGACAATGCCGACGAGTCTATTGAGCGTGATTGCAACTAAACAAACGACACTGGTGTACCCACAACAGAAATAGATGTAAGCCTTACGTAAGACTTAAAAATCGATTACTGAGAGCAAATTACAGTAAGCATTTGATTTTCAGAAGTCTTTCCTGAAAAGCGCACATCCATTGAGGAAAGGGCCATTCCATGAGGACATATCCAACGACATGCAGAGGCATCATAAAAACCGCCGTTAGGAAGTCAATAATACTGAACGCTACTGTTTATAGAGGGCTTTGTTTATCAACGTAGATAGCTGTGAATGACAAGCGATGTGGGGATCTTACCTCAGATTGACAATGAAAATGTTGAAGGTACTCCAAAGCTTCTTGTTTGTCAAAAACGCCGCAATTGTCAGCCCGTTGCCAAATCCGCCAACCACGATGTCCAGAATTCCAATGATGATGCCGAACCAGCGGAATTCTTCAAGCTCGTTTTTTGAAACTTAAAAAAGTTGGTGTCAAATCATGATGTGATTAATTATATCATGACTCCAAAATTTTGCATGGAAAAAGAACTTACTGTGATTTTGACAGTCGTCATGTAAAAAATCGAGTTCTGTTCCATTTCCGGTATCATTTGCGTTCATGCTTGTAAAGTAAGTACTGTTTCTGTTCTCGATCTGTGTATAGTTTTCATTGCTGCATAAATTGCCCGGCCCAATCTGATGATGTTCCTTCCTCTTTCTCTAAGGTAACAGTATCGTTCTCTTTGTCAGATGCTGGTGTTACAGTCTTTCGCAGTTACTGTAATTTCGTTAACGCGATAACGCTATCTTCGTTTATTTTCGGCGACAGGTTCCTTTCTGAACAAATAATGGTTACTGTCAGCAGCGAGTTCAATTTGAACGTTGTGACTGTAATAAAGATGCTAGCGCTAATTTACGAGCACAGATTTTCGAGGATATCCAAGTCAAAGAGAACGCAATAACTCAATCTCAAATGGACCTAACAGGTTTATAATTATAGATTCTTCCAGGTAGCAGATTATTTTGCGCAATTACAAGCTCAACATCTTAAAATACTTCGAAAAATAGAAATCGAAAGATTGGTTTTTCTTAATGAAAATTTTGAATCTCAAAATTTGTCGCAATTTTTCCCCCAAAAAAGGCTTTTTCTCTGTCCAAAAAATCGAGCGTCGATTCTTCTGAAGCAAAAACATCCTGATTAATACACCTAAATTAAATTATCAACTGTCTCGATTCAGTCAAGACCGTTCGTCCGCAGATAACCCTTTAATAAATCGCCAATTTCGCTGGAGGATTAATTCTCTTATTTCTGTTTTATTCTTTCTGTAAAATTCTACGGCTCAAGTGAAAACGAAGGAAAATTGAAATCATCGAGGACTCTTGAGTAGCACTTGGGTTTTTTGTATTTTCTCAGATAAAACGAGAAAATCAACTGACCAAATTTCTGAAGCCATTTTCTCTGCTTTATTTATTGAGCGAAAAATTCTTCAGCTTTGATATTTGCCCTCTGAGAATGTGGCTCAGAAGAGGCGCCTCTGGTTTTTCTCAAAAGCTACTGATAAAAACCACTATTTCGTGACGTTTAAATTATGCTTGAGCTTTTTGCTCAGGCAAGCAGAAAGAGAATAAGATTGAATCACAATCCTGAGGTCTTTGAGAGGGAATTTCTAGTGCAAATATGAGACAATCGAATTTCTAATCCTTTCAAAATTGAAACTGAGCAATGATTTAAGACTTTCCATAAATGAACCCTGGAAATTAGCGTGGTGGAAATAAATTGAGAAAAATCTCAAAAAATATCTCTTGAAATCCCTTAGTTCAACTTAGAATTTTCTTGCTGCCTGTCGATTTATCTCTCGCATATTTCGCTCAATTTTGATATTTGTCCACCTCTTAAAATTCCGCCTCATCTAGCACAACTTACGTAAGAGCAAACTTACTGTAGCTTGTGTCTGTGAAGAAAAAAAACTCGGTCTCTCGAACTTTCATCAAAGACAGTGCATCTGATGACGAGCATGCCTGTGGCGAGTTCGCCGTTACCGCATTCAAAACTTCAAGTGGCCAACAATCGTGCCCAACGGCCTAAGAGAGGATAGCCCAAGATTATGAGGCGATGGAATACGGTTTATGAAGGATAAACCCTCGATAAATAATTGAAAGAAACTGTGAATCCCCTCTACTAGCTAATTTTCGTAAAACAAGGGAGCTCTCTAGGAAAAATTTCTCGACGTCTCTCGGTAATTGAAAATTTAATCCAATTGTTGAAAAGACCAGTTGTCTCACTTTCTCGTCGTCTTGGATAAATACGAAAGTCCTTGCTTCAGCATATTTCACAGGCTATTTAAAATTGCCTATTTTTAAATAGGTATACTTATCGAAAGAAGATTAACTTTAATAGTCTGCTATACTCGGCAGATTATTGACTGAAATCCTGCTTTGAGGTTCTGGTTAAGGGAATCTAAGCGCTTCCCATTAGATCTTATGAACTTGACGCATAGATGCGGTCCATATGCTTTCACATCTGTACTTACAGGAGGACAATGGTCGAACTAATCAAACAGTCTTCTGTCGTTTTCGATGGATAAACTGCTCTAACGAATGTTTCTTCTATGAATCAAGATATTTAGCCTGTGTTTCGATGATTTGATTAATTTCTAATTTGTGTGCAACTTCCAACTCAATTAAAGAACATCGCTCACATGTGTCAACTGCTCTCCTTCCTCAACTTTAAGCTCTAACTCGATTGACTCCTCAAATTTAATCCGCGCTTTTAATTTCACAAATTTATAGATCTGCCATGTAAACTTCAAGATTCCAGACAAGTTGCTGATAGTCCATAGTTCACAAATTTAGCCGTGAACATTTCCGCCTGAATAAATATTGAACAACATACGATATTAAAAACTACCTCCATCTGTACTTTCTCCTTGAGTTCAGTAAAGACGGCGTTTATTGGTTTTCCATGAATTTAATATAATTTATTAAACAATAGAAGTACAGCCATTGATCAGAAATAATAAAATTGATTGAAGATATGCATTTAAGGTTATACTTTGAGAAATACATTCGCATTGCCATGCGGGATTGAAGAATGAACAAAACAAAAAATCAAGCGCTTGAAAAAGTGTGCTACAGAACTTGTTAAATAAATAAGCATCTAGCGGTTACTTTGATAGTGCTTTTCTCGGTAGAAGTATTGGGCGCTCGGCGAAAAAGTATTTGCGAGTACTTTGATGATAAAGCGCGGTAGAACAGACAAAAATGCGACCATGAGTACAGTCAGCCAGGACCACAAGTCGGAGAAGAGATACTCCATTATCCAGTATTCATTTTGACCAGTTGAAGGTAGCGCGTTTGAAGCTAAGCCGATTACGAGAAACAGAGCATATGAAAAGATAAGAAAGAAAATATGCACCCAAGTCCAGCTCATGGTATCGATTCCAAGATGGAAAAACGTCGCCAAAAGACATCTTGGAATAAATTTTAGCCGCTAGAATGACTTTAAGTCTTACCCAGCTGCGACGATGGTGCCAAAAGTCCAAACACTAATAGTGCTTTCAATAGCGAATTGATTTGCATCATAGAAAATCCCAAGCGGAATGAAGAATTGAACAGAAGCTTGAAGAATTGAGTCGAGCATCGCGACCCAGAAAAGAAAAGGCTGGTATGATTTGTTCTCTGCGCAGTATTGGTATAAACTTGGCTCTTTCATTAGAAGTTTTGAAGGGAGAAAGCGATCTAAACCGTCGTTAATGCTTTTCAAACAAAAAGAACTTACCGATAGTTGCGTTTATGATGGGAGGTATTGAGTTAAAGAGAAGCATAAATAGAATCAGATACAGGTCAGGGATGAAATTGGCACCAGACCAGCCGCTGAAACCTTGGTAGATGAAGATCAAGAGGATGAATAACGCGTTTTTGTAAAAGAAGTATTCTATGAGCTGAGCTATTCTAGCGTAGTTCCAGTGTCCGTGAACGAGCAAGAGTCTAGGAAGCATCCTAAATCGAGGCATGGCGTAGTCACTAGCCATAACAGCTTGGCGGCCTTCGTGCCCTGAAATGCCAACACCTATATTTGCCTCCTGAATCATCGTAACATCGTTCGCTCCGTCACCGATGCTCAAGCTTCTTAAATTGAGCACCTGTCGCACCGAAGCAACAACATCTCCTTTTAATTTCGGCGTCGTTCTGCAGCACAAAACGGCTCCAAAGAGGTTGCAGAATTTGATGAATTTCTTCATCTCATTCGCCAAAATATACTCCAAGTTGCTGCCTGAAATGACAAGGACGCTGCTAGCAAGTTTATCTGGATCGTCGTGACCGCGCATCTTCAGAAACTGTCTGAGCGCATCGTCCACATCTTCTTGAATCAGATATTGCAGATGATCCGTGCGTTTTATTAAATTACAGCTACGGCCTACTTCAACGGCTGTTTGAACTTTATCTCCCGTGAGGACCCATAATTTTATCTTTGCTTCTCGGATTATTCTTATTGATTCTTCGACCTAGGGTCGGACCCCTTACTAAGGTTTCCTTAGTTACTAAGGGTATGGGTTTTGATTTTGATGAAAATCAAGAAAGGCCTAAGGAAGGACTAAGGGCCTTCCTTACTAAGGCCTTAGTAACCTTAGTAAGGATTTGATAAGGTACGATTTGCAAAAATGTTCTTATTGATGAAAATAGCATTTATTTAAGTCAGCGACCCTATATTTCGAACAATTGGTTATTTTTTTGCAGTCAGTAAGTTGGCAAGAGACATTTTTCTTAAATTCCTTCACAACTCGTCCTTAACCCTGTCTCGAGCATTCAAAATTATCCTATCTCGAGCGCGAGCACACGGCCGTGAGCTCGCCCATCTAGAGAAAAAATGTCATTTCATTCTCTCTCTTGTCTGTGCGAAGGGCATTAATTGAAAAAAAGCTGGTCTGTAAGACAGTAAATAAAACAGTCCTGATCATCGCAAGCCTCTTTGGTCATTTTGGGGGGTGACCCGTCCCGATCCGACCGTGAAAAAGGGTGGTCGGCGCCGACCCTAGCCCTCAGCACAGACAAGAGAGAGAGAGAATGAACTGACATTTTTTCTCTAGATGGGCGAGCTCATGGCCGTGTGCTCGCGCTCGAGATAGGGTTAATTCCTTTCCTTACTAAGGCTTGTGAAATGGTTTTTTAATAAAAGCGCCCTCCAAATGCGTAGGCCGTCGAAAAAATACTTTAAATACTTAAAATCCTTAGTAAGGAAAGGAATTAAGGAAAAATCGCTAAGGATTGAAGATCCTTACTAAGGATCTCTGAAAACTCAGAAAGGAACTATGGTAAGGATTTTTTTCAGCTGAAATCCGAAAAAGGGTAAGGAAAAAATCCTTACCTTACTAAGGGAAGGACCCTTAGTAAGCAAAAAATTAAGGAAGGAAGTCCGACCCTAGTCTTCGACACCGTCTTGAAGCCGGTCCTCGATCGCCGTCGCACCGACCAAGTGAAGATCTTTTTCAACCAAGGAAAATGCAGTAGATAGGGCTTGCTCGTCTCCAGAAATCTCTGCATCAGCGAGCTCTTTTATGATATCGAGCGTTTCTTGCTGCGATATTCTTCTATACGCAAGGCAAAGTGTTCTCAACCCTTCATCAGCGTAAGAATCTACGTGATCTTTGGTAACATCAGAATTGTTTTTCACTCTTGAAAACACGGCAGAATCTGCTCCCTTCGTCAAAATTAATGATCCACTTGGTTCATCTGGGTCTTCCAGAATCACACTCATCATTTTCCTGCTCGAGTCAAACGGCAAAACATATCTACACTTGAATGTTTTCACCCCTTCGCGCGGCCACGTGATACGCACGCTGCGCTCGCTCCGAGCCATGAGTGTAACTCCGTACGCTTTCGATGCGTATACAAGTGCTGCTTCATCTGGACTTTCTGATTCGTACAAAACATCTTTTTCTTTCAGGAAGTCTGCTCTTTCATTATTGTCATCCGCAAATATGAGATGTTTAGGTGCCGTAAAGTCGAGTCTAAGTTGCGCTCTATCAACTTGTGCTCGAATTGGAGAGTCAGGAGAAAAGGTAGGATTTGCAATCCCTTCGACTTTCCGTTCCGTATCAACAGTATTTGGCTTGATAGCTCTTTCATTTACAGTAGTCAGATTCTCCTCGGGCTGTTCGTTAGATTTTTGCGATGATTTACTTTTCTTTCGACGCTTCATTTTCTTTGGCACACTTTTCAGTTTCCGCCCGAGAGTTGAAAAACTATCCCGCACAGAGTCAAGAGGTGTTCTAGTTTTTGGCGTTTCCGGAGCATCTTTGATCTTCTTCCCACGCTGCTCCATCGTAAGAACGACAGAATTACAGCAAGACAGGCATAGGAAGAAATTGCGAATGTCCACATCGGTTTCATCGAAAGATTTTAGCTTCAAAAGAAGCTCCGAGTCAGGAAAGACATTGATTTCTGGGTCATAATTCTCAGTTTCGCTTGGCTCCGGACTTTTAGTCGCATGTCGTTGATCTTCAGTTATTTTACGAAAGTGAGCTGACTTTGGTTTTCGGACAGATCGGCCACCAGTTTCGAGGTTCTCGCCGTCGGATATTTCTGTTTTTGACTTCGTCTTCAAAATTAATTTGGTGTTCGCGGCGTGTTCGTAATTGGTTTCTTTCACAGACGCGCAGCGGAAGATCATTTGGTTTTCAGTGAGTGTTCCTGTTTTGTCTGAAAAGATGGCTTGAATGTTTCCAAGTTCCTCGGTGATGTTGAGGGAGCGGCAAACCACACCAGCGTCGAATTCTTCTGAGTACATTTCCAAATCGTTGCTGATAAAGAAAGCTTGAAAGAGCTTGACGATCTCAATAGTAATATAGAGCGACAATGGGATGAGGATCTGCAGAAGCACAATCATCCGAAGAAACATAAAGAATCCAACTAGAAATAACTCGGTAGATGTGGCATTCGCGTTGTCTTCATCTTCGTTTTCTCGTGGAATATACCAATTTCCTTTCAGCTGGCTCGTATGTGCGTCTCTTTCCCATAGAACTCCTGCGACTGCGCCACTCATGCACAAAATCAGGAGAATCACGACGCACCAAATAACATCGCGGTTCATGAGGCGCTCCATGTAAGATGTTTTGCTGAAAAAATAATAAATTGCAATCAACAAAGAGAATCTTTTCGATATTAGAGATATTTACCTTGGTGGATCATTATTGCTCAATACAGCTTTTGTGTTCTTCCCAGCGTAAATAATAAGCGCCTCGATTTGATCAGTATTGCGCAAAATACACCCTCTGTAGAGTACGTTTCTATTTTTGACGAGAATCTTGTTTTCACATTCTTGTTCGGATTGGTCGTAAGGCACAAGATATCCTTTGAAGCTTGTAAGGTCTGGATTGGGCTTGTCAGTTTTTAAAATAAAGGGAAACATGGCGCAAGTATTTTCTTCTTGTGCGTATTCGTCGACATCGACGACATCTTTTTGCTTGAGGTTGGTTTCTCCGTCTAGATTGGCCGTTTCGAGGAAACAAATGTTCGCCTCGTTTGAAGAATCGATGAGTAGACAATCGGCTTAACAGATATTAAAATATGGGGCTCAATTTTAACAAACCTGGAATCTCTTCATTGAGTCCAATTTGAATAATATCGCCAACTTTGAGCGACTCCCAGGACTTTCGGACTGTTGTATCTTCTGAAGTTTTTACAAGGCAAAGTTGTGAGTTGATCTGTTTGTCTGATAGGTGTCTTCGGTAGTCTTCGACTGCATCTTTGATTGAAGTAAAGGCGAGAATGCAAATAACAGGCACCAGGGAGAGAAGGGGACTGATCGCGTCCACTTGCGGAACGAAATTTATGATACATATAAACACTAAATTCAAATGATGATTCAAGCGATTGAAAGCACGCTTACCGAAATATATATTGGCGAAACGATGAAACTGTTCGAAAAGGTTCTTCGGTATGAATAACAGGAACGAATATTTAGTTGTCGAGATTGAATTAGGAGGAAGTTTTAGCTGCCTGTTGATAGCGGCGCTGTATCTGAAAGCGAAGTTAAAAAAACCGTAAAGTTCTTTAAAAAATCAAATCTAAATATTTCGCCAACGGATATTAACCGACGAGATTCAGTTAGACTTCCTAGCAATCATAGTGCCGATTAAGTGTTACCTCTTCTTAACCTCCTCAAAAGCATGTAACTGTCGAGGGACGACTTCATACTCTCCCATCGCATTCTTAAAATCCCATCTTCGTTCCTTTAATTTTTTTGAAATTTTAATAAATATCTCAGATTGCACACATGATCATAAATTGCAGCTAACTTTACAGATAAACGATAATGCTCGATGAAACTAAACTACAGAAAAAATTGAGTGGAACTTTTTGAAAAGACTTTTTAATTGGTGAATTTCGCTATTCATCTTTCTTTTGAGCGAGTGTTTTCGCTTCTGCCGAGCTTCCGACAGACTCACTTTCCGATTCTGCTTCCGAATCTGAACTTTCTGAGTCTCTTCGCAGTTTCTCTTTTTCTTCGTCCTCCGCCGAAAAGCCAAATTCATTAACTCTCGATTTATCGACTGGATAGAGGTATCTCTGATTTCAAGGATTTCACACTATCCTAATATTAGCTCTCTTTCCTATAGAGATCGCTTACGGAGCTCATTAAAATTAATAACGTCGTATTACAGAGGTTGTTTTTTCATGCATCACGCGCTCGTAAATATGTCCTAATAAATCCTTCCCTGGTAGAGGTAGCAGAAGAAGACGATGTCATCTCGGAAACAGGCGATCCTGTGAGTTGTCGGCATTTTGATGATGAAGGCGAAAACATCATCGATGAATGTGTTGAATGCTTTGTACATAAACGCTTTCCATGGAAGATGAGCAACAGATTTCCTAGAAAAATTAATAGCAAACTTGAAACGGGTTATTTTCCTACATTTTATAGTTGATGAACAACTGCGGAAGCATGAATAAGAATCCAAAGGCGTAAACTCCGTTGACCAAGCTCTCGAGAACCCAGCCGTACCAGCTCTTGTGTGGAACATAAAACAACGAATAAATAGCACCACCGACGCAAAGAGGAACCAACACATACGAGAGCTTCTTCATAATCTCTCGATCATACTCTTCCGTCTCCGAGCCTTTGTCCATGTCTTGTTTTCGTAGACCCATGGCTTTGATTAGCTTCCACGCTTCGATAAAGACGCTGAAAGGGCAATTTTAGTGTTCTGTATTTTGATTTTTCATTACCTAACTCCCATCGGACCGGAAACAAGTAGCGAGGTGTCTTCGTGGAGCAAATGGATAAAGATTATCAGAGTGGAAATTGTCTGGAAGGCAACAGATCGAATTGAAAGGCCAGCCATACTCTCTCGTTTTCGCCAGTAAGAAACATCGTTTTTGAAAGCTTGAAACAAATTGAAAACAAATTAAAACTGCAAACTTTTACCAAGAGCGTCGAAAAGAAGATGAAACGCAGAGACAGTGAAAGTGAGCAAAAGAATCGACATTTCAGTATCGACGATCAGTCCCTTGACATCGTCGACATCTTTCTCCTGAAATCCCATATCCTGAAACCCTAGGAGAGAGCGCTCCATGTTCGACATAAATCGGAATTTTCCGATTCCCACGGGGCGGTATCGGATAGTAAGCTCCATTTCGTCCTTGTTTTTCTCGATTTCCTTGAGTTCTTCAGTTCGGAAATTGAGCTAGTAATTCATTACCGGTAGTAAGAAAGATATAAGTACCTCAGAAACATAGACAACAGGCTTGTAGTGAATTTTCTCTCTGTCAAAACGCATCAAATATCGAATCTCTGGGGGAACTTTGTTCTTCGGAAAGGACAACTTCTCCGTCATAACATTGAACTCCAGTTTTGATCTCAAATGGGCAGTTTTTTCGAAGCCAGACTGTTGGAGATCCTCTCCATCACCAAGCAAGTTAATGTATCGGACAGGCACTTGATGAGAAATCATCTTGCCACCGTGAGAAACTGTGTGTTCTCTTTGGCCATTCGGATAGAGATCTACTCGAGCAAAGAAGGTTCCGTTTTTCATCGCAGGAGCTGGCAATGTAACATTCATCTTGTGGATGAATTCATCAGCGCGGAGATCGAGATCGACAATTCTGTGGATCATTTTATCATCGGAGTATTGACGCTGAAACGATCTGACAAACCAAATCTCGGCAGTGAACAATTGATCCTCGGGAAAACTCATTGGCCTGACACAATCCTTCAACTTGGCGTCTTGCTCGCACAACTCCGGAAACCAAAACTTGCCCAAATTCACGATATTGTTCCCCATGTAAGCGAGGAACAAGACCGAGACCAAATTGGTCATGGAGAGGTAATCTCCTAACATGACGATTTCTTAACTGATGCTCTTATTAAGATGAACACAATTCGAGTAAGTGGATGAAATTTAATCGAGGGAAATTTGAACATGTAATAGTGCAGAACAGGAATTGCAAAATATCTTGTCGTCAGAAGTTTCAGTCGAGGGTTTTTATTGACGAGCTCGGGCAACCTTCTCGTCGTGGTACTTCCAGTGAAGCTCCTTAACGTCCATCCAGCCGCAGTGCTCCCAGCCAGTTTCTTTCATGTGGTACACTTGAAGGTAAAGTAAGAATTAGGGAGTCAAATGATAGTCTTACAGTTGACAAAACCGCCAGAAGCAGCATCTCGGTAGGTGGCGTGGTAAATCGAGCGGACAGCGAGGTCCTTGGCAGCTTCGACCTCAAGATCGTAGGAGTATCCTTCGTCAAGGACACCATAGGCGAAGAGAGAACCGGAACCGACAGAGAAGAGGGATCCTTAAATTCATAAATGCTTTACTCGATAAAAGAAATTTACCCTCAAGTCGCTGTCCGCCATCATCGACGTAGTAAAGACCAGGTCCCTTCTTGTCCCAGCCGCAGACCATGGTTCCCATAGAAAGACCCATTCCCTTGTACTGGTAGACCATGTTCGCCAAAAGCTTGGAAGCAGCGGCGACAGAAATTCGTTCCTTATTTCGGAGTTCGTAAAGGCGGCATTCCATGGCGAGGACCCGTTCCCAGAACTGGCAATCAGCAGCACCGCCTGCCATTGTTCCCAAAAGATAGGGGTTGATTTCAATGACCTTCTTGACTTCTTGAGAAGCGATGTAACCACCAGCAGTGGCTCGGGAATCGGTAGCGACCATCACACCGTGCTAGGATTTTGTTTGAAGTAAGGTGAGCTGATAGCAGATTTTACCTTGAATTTAAAAGCCAAGCAAGTAGTACCGTGGTTGAACTTGATCTTGACCGGCTTGTCATCGCCAAAGTTCTGGTCCAAATGAAGCTGAGGGTTGCTGAACGGCGGGCTGACCATGTTCTCTGGTGGGCCTTCGACATTTCGGAGGAAATCAACGTCCTTCTCCTGGACCTTATCTTCTTCTCGCTCAAAAAGCGTCGATCGGCCGCCAATCCAGCTCTCAGTCGCGCCGGAATCCCAAAGAAGCTGCTCTAACGCCATTTTCTGAAATATAACTCGTTTAGTATCAACCTCGATCGCCTTTTTACAGGCAAGAGTCTTTTTCGCTGAGCACAGCAGAAGACAGAAACGAACAAAAAATGTATCACTGGAAAAATGCCCAGTCATCTTGTCGCTTTTGCTTTTTTTCGTTGATCTCGTTGAAAACATTTTCTTTAATTTTATCCGTGAACTCCATGTTTTGCTGGTCGAACTCTGGGCCGAAGAGCCACAAATTTTCGAGGTTGTATAATTCGCGGACGTCTTCGTTCATTGTGTGCACGACGATGTTTCCTAATTTATAATATAACCTGTTCTAGAACTTTCGTTGAATCGAATCTGACTGTACCTAAGTCGATGACAGTCCACTCAGGCGGTTTCGTTCCATCCCCAAGTCCTTCTACATATTTTCTTTCTCCAAAAACTTCTTTGTACATCGCACTCAAGGCAGCAGGAACAGAAATCAGCTGCGAATCATTCCTCGGGGAGCAAATGACAAAGTACTCGACATATCTCCTCTCCGGTGGCACTTTTATTACACAAAGATCGAGAACTGCTTCTTGCTTCAGAATTTCGACGACTTTTTCGATGGAAAAGACAGATTCGCGCGTTCTGATCGCCGATTTCATCTCCATCTTTTCAGCGTCGAAATTTCTGCGATTTCGGAGAGAACTTGTTTCAACAAATTTGAAAGAATGAGAAATTTGAATCGCTCGACGGCTGATTTTCCAAACGCAGAGGTTTTTCTTGAGCCCAAGCGACAAATTCGACATTTTCTTTCTTTTTATTGAGAGATTCTTCTTCTATTGGGTCGATAAGTAAATTTTAAAAAAAGCAAACATAAATCCCAATCACAAATTGACCCAGACCTAAACAAGCAAGAGCTTTTCTATTGTTTATGCTATTCTTCCGAAAAAAGGTCAGTCGGGGTCTCTGTAACCTCACTCTTCTGCCTTCTTGTCTGCAAGGCCACGTACGCACAGCTCTGGTTGGCCAAGCGCGCTCTTTGGTGGCCAATCAGCCCGCTCCATTGATTTAGTGACTGGTTGGCTTTCCTTCTGCTGAAATAAACCTTGATTGCGCCCTGTTTTGGCCATAACCTCTGTTGCTTATCACTACGAGCTGATAAGCACATCTCAAGTCTATTTATCATTAGAAAAGAAATAATCTCTAGTTTACCATTTTCCATTTATTCGAAAATAACGAAAAAGAGATCAAAAGTCAAAAAAGATGGACGTCAATGACGAAGAAAGATCTGGCGTGTCCAGGAATGTTTTCCACATAAATTTTATAAATGAAATTCAAGTTGAATAGTGCTAAAACGTTCAATCTATTTCAATTTTAAAAAGCGGCTGTCAACTTTTGAAATTTGTCGACTAATCACTATTTATTGAACAATCCGTAGTGATCAATTTATCTTCGATTCAAACGACAATCTTTTGCTTGAAATTTCGAGGGAAAATGAATAATCCCGAGAATTATAAGTTAAAAACCATAAATCATGAAGAAACTATAGCGTTCAAACTTATTCACTTCACGTCGTTTCCTCGGTCATAACCTTTATTTTTTTCGTTTTATAAGATGAGAGAGTCAGACTCGGATGAAGACGGGGATGAATACTACCCCCAGATATATTACCCAGATCTAAGCGAGGTGGAAAACCCATTTAGTTCTCAAAATTCACGCCACACTCGTCCATCGAGCCCGACCCAGAGTCACTCACATTCACAAGCCCAAAGTAGGGAAGTTCTTTCCGATTCTTCGACACCCATCGCCGAGAATTGGTGCGTCACAAAGGTAAGAAAATCAAATCCTTTCACTGATAAGTTATCAGAGAATTCGATATTAAGGGTAGCCGTCGGCTTCTAGCCGATTTCGGCTTCAAGCTGTAAAAACGAATAAAGCAGCATGAAGTGCGGCTTCCACCCGTATCACCAATATTTTGATGCTAAGAGAAATAACTTATTTCAAAGAAGGGTTGAAGCCGGACTTCGTGTGTCTTTTTTTTGTTGTTACTTCTGGCTATTTTCGACAAAAATAAGTTCTGTTTTTGTAGGTGATTGTGCAAAAGTTCTCGTACAAATGGACGATCCACAACTTCTCGTTTTGCAAGGAAGAAATGGGTGAAGTTCTGAAGTCGTCGCAGTTCTCGGGGGACCAGACGGGCGACAAAAAGTGGTGCCTCAGAGTCAACCCAAAAGTAATCTTTCTCTTGAAAACGCGAATTAACAAAATTAGGGATTGGACGAAGAAAGCAAAGACTACCTATCACTCTACTTGCTGCTTCTTTCGAACAAATCCGAAGTCAGGGCGAAGTTTAAATTCTCGATTTTGAACTCGAAGGGCGAGGAAACGAAAGCGATGGAATCTCAGCGAGCTTACAAGTAGTTATTTTTAAATGAGTATTTGAAGGAATTTATATTTATAGATTCGTGATGGGCAAAGATTGGGGGTTCAAGAAATTCATCAGAAGAGACTTTTTAATGGAAGAGGCGAATGGACTTTTGCCAGATGATAAGCTTACGCTTTTCTGTGAAGTTTCCGTCGTTCAGGTAAATAATCGCTATTTTCTTGTGCGAAAATTTTCTTTAGGATTCTGTCAACTATTCCGGACAATCGTCTCTTTCGAAAATTCAAGTGCCAGAATCCACGCTGAAGTCCGAACTGGGCGATTTGCTCAAGAATCAGACCATGTGCGATGTGATCTTCGAGGTCGACGGCTTCGAGATCCCGGCGCACAAGGCGATTCTGAGTGCGAGAAGCGAAGTTTTCAGGTTTCTTTATTTGCGAATATCTTCTCTTCAATACTTTAAGGTTGATGTTTTGTCCAAACTCCAATTTCCGCGAAGCACAGATGAACACATTGATTCCAATCAAGGATTTGGAAAGAGATGTCTTTCAGTAAGTCACTTATTCCAAAATAAGATTTTTTCAAGACTACCAAACAAGACAGATTCTTGCTATATTGACTATTCGTCTTCGGAATCCGAAGTTCGGATGGTCTTGTTCGGGAAATCTTTAGCGCTCAATTTTAACAATCTGATCTTCAGAGAAATGCTTCAATTCATTTACACCGGCGAAACGGAGAAACTCTCCCACATGGCCGACGATCTTCTAGCCGCCGCGGACAAGTATCAACTCGACCGTCTCAAGGTAAGATCTCCCCCTAGCCTTCCAGTCCCAAAAAATTATTGCTTAGGTGATGTGCGAAGAAGCGCTCGCCTCAAATCTGACAGTTGAGAACGTCGCTTCGATTCTGATCATCGCAGATATGCACAATGCGACGCAGCTGAAGAAAATTGCGCTGCACTTTTGCAACTCAAACGTAAAGACAGTGCTGGAAACTGAAGGATGGAAACAGATGATCTCCCAGAACCCCTCGCTCGTCAGCGAAGCCTACAAATCTCTTGGTAAGGAACTGGTCTCAGAATCCATTCCCAAATTTAATTTCAGCTAATCTCCACTCGTCAAAGGAGCAATCAAGCGAACTCTCCCCGGACACACCTCCACGGAAGCGGATCAAATCTGCCCAAAGCTAGCAGTACCTCGTTTTCATCAAACTGCCACCATTCCCCTTTTTTCTGCTTGTTATTTAGATAGTAACTAGTACCGACGGCTGGTATATTTTCCGCGACTTATTGAGATTCATCGACGACGGCGCTTTTTTTCTGTGCCAGTCGTACCTTTTCAAGTTAATTTTCTTTTTTAGACACACTACTCGAGGTCAGAACTAAAAGGAACTCGTCAAGTTAACTAATTAAATGTTTTTGTGACACTATTTTTCTGCACTAAAATAACGAGTTTCTTTCAAAAAATAGGTGTTTATCGACCTTCAGATAAAAAAAAAATAACGGACCTCAAAAGACATAAAAAAAAACTCTTCGGAGAAAATACAAAACTGAAAAAAAACTTAACTCAAATCATTACCACTACTGTATTTCGTTTTATTGAAACTGCTTTTTATATTTTTGCTTATTTCGTTTCTTATTTTCCTCGACAACAACCTGCTTCCTATCAACAAAACATTAGAACTCGCTTATGAAGCTTTTTTCTTTAAAATTATTTCTCTGTCATCATTATTTCTTCACCTACCGAGTTGCTTTTATATTTATGGGCTTTTAAAAAGGCTTTTTATTTAATGAATAAAAATGACTCCAAGATTCTCCAAAAATTCCACCTTTTCCTTTTGAAATTCTCTAGACTCGCTAGACCAACTTATTTTCATCTCCATTCTCAGTCATTCATAGAGAGAATCGTTACAGAATGAGCGGCCAGCCAAGCAAAGAAGAACTCATCCAGCACTTTCAGTTGCTTTGCAATCAACAAAGACAACTCCAGACCAAGCTTGCGGAGATTCGAATGGAAAAGGGCGAGCACGAAATTGTTGCCGAGACATTGAAGAACGTTTCCGCCGATAGAAAGTGCTGGCGACTTGTTGGTTCGTATATTATTTCTTTGACATGACATTTATACATTTTCTCAGGCGGCGTTTTAACAGAGCGTAATGTTGGCGACGTTCTTCCTGCGCTGGAAAATCAAGTCACTGGCTTGGCAAATGTCATGACTTCTTTGGAACAGCAGATGAATCTCAAAGCCAAAGGTAATTATTTCTCAACTTTCTGGCTCTAACTCTCTTTAGAAATCACCGCTTACCGAGAAAAGCACAACATCATGATCAAGGGCCAAGCTCCACCAGGCGCCGCTCAAGCCGCCGCTAAACAGCAAGGTGTCCTCGTACAGTAGCGAAACGAACAACCAAAATATGTCAATCTGTTTGAGTGAACCTATATCACAAATTTTATTCCAACGCACATCTTAGATTATATTTTTATTTTACTTGACTATTCAATACCACTGTTTGCCTTCAACAAACTTATTATTATCCATCTGAAACACACGAATCTACCTTGTTTCTAGTTAAATCCCTCTCGTGATAAAAACGTTTCAGAGTCAGAAAAAATGTCGATTGAAATGAAATTCCACAAGCTCTCCGAAAACGCCACTACTCCTTCTCGGGGATCTGATTACGCCGCTGGACTGGATCTCTACTCTGCCGAGGAGAAGATTGTTCCTGCCAAGGGTCGAGCTCTGATCAAGACCGATATTCAGGTACGAATTGGATTTTTCTTCAAATTTGTAACAATTTTAAGGTTGCGCTTCCCGATGGTTGCTACGGCCGAATCGCCCCACGATCGGGCCTTGCTTACAAGAAAGGCATTGATGTAGGCGCAGGTGTCGTTGACCAGGACTATCGAGGAAACGTTGGCGTCATTCTCTTCAACTTTGGCGAAGAGGAATTCAAGGTAAATTTCACTAACCCGAGCAGCTTCTTTTACCGTCGGATAGGTAGGGGAAATCACTAATAATTAAGCTTTTTTTCTGGCTTAGAAGGGTGAGGTTATAATACAGATTTAGAATCCCCAGAAGCTGGGGATCATTTTGACTATTGATAGTGGGGGGTCAACTCGTACCCTGAGGGCATTTAGGCACCTCTGAAGTCCCAAAATCCGGCCAACTTCGGAAATTGGAATTTTTGAACGCCCAGACCGCCCCTTTAGAGCCAGCGACTGTACTAGAATTGTAGCCCAGGCTCTGACGGTCATTTTGAGATATAGAAAAGTACTGAGACCCGGGGGTTCCTGAGGAGCTAGAGGCTCTTGAAGTTCGGGAACTCGACAAAAATTGAGTACTTTTTCACAAAAAGTACACCATTTGTGTCACAAATGCCTCCAAAAGACTCTTTATCTATGTTTCTTCATTAAAAAATGTTAAAGGAATCATTTGGGGTCATCCGAGGTCACTCTAGGTCAGAAATTATGAAAAATTTGGAAAACTGTCATGAGTGACCCGATCTGACCTCGGATGACCCCAAGTGATTCCTTTAACATTTTTTAATGAAGAAACATAAATAAAGAGTCTTTTGGAGGCATTTGTGACACAAATGGTGTACTTTTTGTGAAAAAGTACTCAATTTTTGTCGAGTTCCCGAACTTCAAGAGCCTCTAGCTCCTCAGGAACCCCCGGGTCTCAGTACTTTTCTATATCTCAAAATGACCGTCAGAGCCTGGGCTACAATTCTAGTACAGTCGCTGGCTCTAAAGGGGCGGTCTGGGCGTTCAAAAATTCCAATTTCCGAAGTTGGCCGGATTTTGGGACTTCAGAGGTGCCTAAATGCCCTCAGGGTACGAGTTGACCCCCCACTATCAATAGTCAAAATGATCCCCAGCTTCTGGGGATTCTAAATCTGTATTATAACCTCACCCTTCTAAGCCAGAAAAAAAAAGCTTAATTATTAGTGATTTCCCCTACGGATAGGTCGAAAAAGGCGACCGAATCGCTCAATTCATTCTGGAACGCATCTGGATGCCAGTTCTCGTCGAGTCTAGCGAAAAGCTTGAAGAGACCGTCCGCGGCGAAGCTGGCTTCGGGTCCACTGGCGTTAAAAAGATGAAGTTGGACAACGAAGCTGAAAACCGACAGCCCCTTGTTGAAAACAAAAACTAAGTTCTTTCCTTTACTCAGTTATTCACTGCCTTTAATATGTTGTATTTTTCACAGATCGGCCGATTTTGAAGAATAAATTCCAAAATTATTTACTCTTGGTTTGTTTCTCGTCGAATAAACCTCGTTTTTGAAATTTGCACCAGAGCATAATGCGCAGAGAGGGTGGCATAAGATCCACAAGCACAGCGATTTTTATGGAACATTAAAATGAGAACGTGATCTAATCCCGAAGGATGGATTACTGATCTTTAGAAGATTACTGCAGCTGTAGTACACGTTTTTTATTGAATGAAAAGCATTTGGTTCTTTTTTTCAGTAGTGCAAAGTTTATCATTTGATAGCTTTAGCATTTTATTCAAATTGAATGGGGATCTCCGTAGCTTTCTCTTCTTTGGCTTCACTTTTCTTCTCAACTTCTCCACGGACGATGATTTTAGCTCCAGTAGTTTCAGCTTGAATCGTCTTCTTATTCGTTCCAGCGGGAATCGAAAATGAGGTTTTAAAGTGGCTTTTGCTCATGGACTGCTTTCCGTTGTTCATTTCAACGACCTCTTCTGAGGCGCCGATTTCGAGGAAGTTTTCTTTGCATTTAACGCCAATGTTTGAATAAGAGTGTTGGGAGTTGAGAGGAATTTCCTTAAAGATATCGTATCATTTACTGAGAATAAGTTAGGGTTGAGGTGTCACAAACTTAAAAGCACTGTCTTAAATTTCAGCGGCGAAAGTGCCAGAGCTTAAAGTCTAAAGATTAGAATCTAAACTTTCTTCGATTTGAAAAGGGTCACCTGCGCTTTCAGCGCGGACTTGAGTGTCATTCTTTAGCCTAAGCTCTGCTTGAGTCTTTTGCTTACCTTTTCCCAGTGTGTCTCATCTGTCCATTTGATATCGTTAGCAGGCGCACTTCCGATGGAGTCCATTGGGAACCCGATCCTGCTCGACGCTCCCAAGGGCATCATAGTGCTGATGGATGGCGGGGAGCCACGATCGTTTGAGTTAAAAAGGCTTCTTGAGTTACTGAAAAAGTCGTCGGCTTCTTTAAAAGGGTTGGATCGCTGGAAGAGTGAATTCGATGAGCTTCCTGTCTGGGCGCGGTCGAAAAGGGAATCGCTTCGAGCTTGGAAAGAAGGTCAGAAAGGAAAAAAGAATCAGTTTTTGAGTAGCAAGGCCTCTTTGACGGATTTTCCTTTAGGAGCTATTATTGTTAACGCGCTTAGGATTATTGCAGGTTATGGTAAGTATCTTAGGGAGCTTGTAGAAAAGCCGGTACACGACATTGGTACAACAATTAGAAAACTAGCCATAAAAGCTAAGACCGGATATCTGATGCAGATTTATTCGAACCCTAGGTCTTTACTTCTTATTTTTATGAGCAAATAACTTTCAGATATCTACCTGATCCAAAAGCCGAGTCCATTCTTGCTCGCATTTCTTGGCTGTGTTTTTCGAAGGTCTTTTCGATGTCGTCGTCGGAATCTTCGAAGAAGATTTTTATTCGATTATCCATTTTTTATTTCGTTTCTCTTGCTTCTTTTTGATATGAAGATGATGCCCTGGAAGAGTGTGGTTAAATACTGAAGGCGTATCAATCACCAGGTCTCGTCCAGACGAGTACAAGCCAGAAAAATACAGAAGCGCGAAACGCTGATTAGGTTCAATGTGTCAATGACGAAGGGTCCATTGTTTCGTTGTAGCAAGAATTAAGAGCTGTTAAGTAAAATTGCGCCAGAATCGTTTTTCGCAAATAAAGCAAATCTCAATACTGAGTCATGGAAGAATCATGTCGTTGTTGATTTCAATTCATCTTTTCGATTGAAAATTACGAAGAAAGGGTCAAAAGGACATGTCAATGAGCTGATGTGTTCTGACAAAAGAAAAAACTGACGGATAATCCCTCTCGAACATAAAAGAGCTTTAGGCTCATCATGGATCAACCTTCCATATAACATTACATTACAGGCCCGGCAGGTGGCGCTCCCTAATTGCCGATAAACTTATTCTGCCTGAAAAAAATTAAAAACATTCGAGGTTGAAAATAATTACCAAAAAATAAACGATGGGGGAGTTTTCAAAAATAATTTTCACAGCCACTTTGTTGGGAGTTTTGTTTTCCGCGATTTGCTTTAACTACATGCAAACAGTCCATCACACAAATTTGAGAAGATCAGTAGAAGAATATGATATTGAAGAGAAACATGAAGAACAAGAACTGAGAAATCATTGGGAAATGTACGAAAAAGTTGTTGAAGGGACCAACTGTTCAGCAGAATTAAAACTTTTTGGAGAGGATTCAACTCATCCAAGAGTCGCGATATCCAGTTTTCCAGGTACTTTGATTTTCGACTGATAAATTGTGACCTAGAAATCTAGATATTCTTTCATCAAAGGGTACTCGCCAAAAGTCCATTTTTATTTCGGTTCCAATAGAATCTAATCTCGATGTAAAAATAGGTCACTTTGATGATACAGATTAGCCTAGGATGGCGTAGAAGATGCTCTTTGCACTATAAAAGAACAAGAAATTTGCAAGTCTTGTATCATAGTTATTCATAGAGAATAATTATTGATTCTTTTTAAATGAAACTAAATTACTTATAGTCTCTGAGATTCGAAGGCACGACTTTTATAATTGTCTGCAAATATTAACCAATAAATAACATTCTAACTTATTGCTCGAACCCTGTCTTTAATTGAAAAATATTTGATTGAGTAAGAAAATATGTCGAATTTAGGGTCTGGCAATACTTGGGCGCGTCACCTTCTCCACATGGGAAGTGGCTTCTGGACTGGTAACAGGCGCAGTTCTAAAACGCTCAAAGGTAGTTGTTCGTATCAAGTCAGCCGATGCAAAATTGATTGCACAAGTTCTTAAAAATGCAGCCACCCTCTCTATCGATTATTCTAGCGGCCGGCTGGTTGGCGGAAGACATCGACTGCAAGGACAGACGCACCATCGCGCAGAAAACTCATCGACTTTCCAATAACAAAGGTTCATTCAAGATTCCTTCATCGTTTTAGGTTCTCGATTTTATACCGCGTCCTTAATCATAATCAAGCACGTTTGATTTTTCATAATGCGGTCTAAGTGGCGATTATCCCGTCATCCTTCTTATACCGTATCTGCTGCGTCTTTTGACACGTGTTTTTAAGCCTGCGAATTCGAGCGAGGAGTGGTACTCATTCGTAATCCATTCGACGCGATTATGGCTGCTTACAATCATCATAAAGACAAGTTTTAAAGCTTTGTTTAAAATTCTTAAAAACACCGCCGCAATCTAATATTGTCACTCATCCAAGTGCACTCAGAAAATGGTTATTTGCGAAAGTGTTTTATAATCCTCCCTTCTTGAAAAGAAAACTTCTCGAAGCTGGGAAAACCGGAGAGCCGGACTTATCCGTCTACTCTGGCGAAGACTGGCCACGTTTCGTCCAGCAATATGCGAACAGCTGGCTCCGCTTTCATACTGAATGGTTCACTACTTTCGAGGGTCCAATTACGGTAAGTTGCTTCACGGATTTAGTCAGCGATCCCGTCAACGAAGTGAGCAGGTGGCTCCAGGCAATGGACTTTGACGACAGAAGAGTGGGATGCATCGAGCATGATCCGGTCGGGCAGGAAAGGGTCTTCAAATTAATCATGAATTTGAATTTTCTCAAAAAATTTTGAAAAGCATTTTTCAATCTTGAATTTTCACCTAATTTCCTTTCCGAGCCTAATTTATCAAGTTCATTCGATGACCCTCCTGAAAGTTCTACCGACACAAGACAAAGGACTACTCTCATCTTTACCGTCCAGCCGAGGTCGAAATTGTCAAGGAAAAAATCGCTGCGTTATCTGTAATGCTCCGAAATGCCAATCAAACAGACTGTACAGAAAAATTTACTTATACGAAATGCTGCTAGAAATCGTTCGAAAAGAAAAGACGATTTTGAACAAATTGTAAATAATAAATATCCAAATATCCAAGATCAGTTCTTTTCGTTTCTGTTGTTCGATGGGTCGATCATTTTGGAGGTATCTGTTTTATTCATGCTTTGAACTGGGAGTATCGACCGAGCGGTGCTTTTGTTGTGAATGAATATTTGACCCTTTCCTGCTCGAATCAATTTTAATCACTCAAGGAAGTGTCGAATCACTCTTTCTCACTTGCAGGTGCTGCTTTAATTGATTTTTCTCGATTCTAGCGCCAGCTAGAAGCATGTTAAAGGCGCTACTGTCGAGGGGAATCGCAACAGTCAATTATTCATGAGCATTTGGGATGAATTAGCCAAAGCATTCTTGAGAGCCAGAGACGCTCCGGCCCCGGTTTGAGCGACACTTTCACTTTCGATCCAGGCATTTTCTCGAGAACTACGGCATCGCTTTTTTGAGAGACACCATAATTAGGCGCCTTTGACCGGAAAGCGGATCATACAGTGAAACAGGGATAGAGAGATCGAGGACTTGCAAATATCTTGTAGACGGAATGGAAGACTAGTGATTTTGTTGACGCGTAATGAGATTGTCAACTCACACTAGTTTCCCCTACTGCTACAGATTCACTCGACGACTGTTACAGTGCTTACGCTTGCATTTAATTAAAATCAAAATCAAAGAATGTATGGCTCTCTTATTTATTACATGACAGTCCTATTCCCTCAGAATTTTAGGTAACAAAGACCTTCCAAAAAAACATTATTTCCAAATTCAGGACAAAAAAGGTCAACAGTGTCGACTCGACACTGAAAAAATTGTTAGAATGAAATATTTGAATAATTTATGACAATTGTTGATATTTTTTACTGAATCAAAGTAATAGTAGGTTTCATTTCTTTTCGCAAATTTCGCTTGTAAATAAAGTTGGAGAACGCCAGCCCAAGAATCTACGATAAAACAAGTCGCTGGTAAATGTTACCGGCCGCTTTTAACTTACCAAAAGGAGTATCATTGTTACGGGACTCAGAATGAGATTTTTATTGTTTATTATGTGAAATACTTATTATTATCAAGAGTCTCGCTAGTCGTTCAAAATCTCTTCATAAAAATTATGTAAATCAGTGAGTGAATAAATTTCTCTGACTCTGGATGCTCTTCAGCTTTCTCTTTCAAAATTTGAATAAAAAGATAATGAATAAAGAGAGAACTATAATGAATAAACTTACCTTTTAATTCAACCGACATTATGCAGGACTAAATCTGAGAAAAGAACACGCTCACTGAGTCAAATCGCGTGATATCACCAATATACTCGATTCAACTTTCAAAGAAAGTTCTCTCTATTCGTTTTTTTGTACTGTAAGTGCGACTGTATCTAGGCAATTGGAATCGTCGAGCTGTCTGGATTGCGAGTTATTATACTGGTTATTGAGTTAGTTAGCATTTTGCAAGATGTCAAGTTCAAGAAGAGAACGCGAAATACAGTAACTACTGTATTTTAAGGAACATCTTTTTCATTAAAATAAAACGAATCTTTACGAAATGCAAAATGGCTATTACATCCGACAATACCGGACAACAGATGCGGCTCTTCAGTCGACACGTAAGAAGTCGAGCAAGTCCGATTAGAGTTCAAAGAAAGGAAGTCAATTAATCTTCACCTCTTCTCGAGTATCGTCTCTTTTAAAGTCATTTTCATTTGGTAGGCACTATCAGACGATCTTATTTGCGATACATACGGTAACTCGTGAATAGTATTTCTAAAAATTTGGTTTATAAACTAAGAATAAGGAGCCACTTTCGCTTAGCGTCATACCGCGTAGAATAAACCAGTTCTCGTCCGATCACTGAAGTCAAACTACGACGGGCGGGGTTAGTACTTACATGGGTGACCGGTTGGGAATACCTCGTGCGCTAAGCATTTTGACATTTTGGAAATGTCAAAGCTTTTTCATTTTATCGTAAACTCGTTTAACTTTGATGATTTATGACTGCCATCATAGTGAACAGTTTGATTCTGCAATAAAGTCTTTTGTTATCTTATGATTCTAATCTGTGTAGGGCAGCATAGTGGGAGAAGCATTTAGCGCCATCTAGCGCATATTGTTCTCAGAGAGATCAAAATTAGGAACGCGCAGCGACAAAACGACCTCGAAATCAGGCACCTCGGGTCTTCACTCATCCCATTTTTGAGTCCGATTTCGATTGTCTAACAGGTAAGAATCGAATCCACGCCTCCTTCTCTCCCATCCCTCTCGCCTCTCACAAATAACTTGATTAATTCAACGTAAAAGTGAATTCACTTTTCTGCTGAATCGTATGAGTCCCACTTCCGATTTCTAATCGTCGGCCTCTAAACGGAAGAATTTGGCCGCATCTCAATCGCGAATTAGCGGGGACGCTCGATTCGTGTACCAAAATTTTTTGGTATTCGAATACCAATTTTTGATTTTCCAAATCCAAGGTTTTTGATCAGAAAGGTCTCTTTCCGTGAAATTGCTACTAAATCACTACCAAAGTCTCCTTCAAGACAGGCGCGAAGCGCATAGGCTCTCTTTTAGTGCACCAAATTTTGAATTTTTGAGAAGATTTGGTATTCGAATACCAATTGGTACACGAACCGAGCGTTTCCCCGAATTAGTACTTCTCGGTCAAGTACATTGCTAGTCTTGAAAACACGTGTTAAAAGACGTTTGATTTCACATAATGCGTACTAAGTGGCGATTATCTCGACATCCCTCTTATACCGCATCTACCGTGGTGAGTCTTTTAACACGTGTTTTCAAGACTAGCAAATTGCTACATTATGTACTTGACCGAGAAGTACTAATTCGCGATTGAGATGCGGCCAAATTCTTCCGTTTAGAGGCCGACGATTAGGAATCGGAAGTGGGACTCATACGATTCAGCAGAAAAGTGAATTCACTTTTACGTTGAATGAATCAAGTTATTTGTGAGAGGCGAGAGGGATGGGAGAGAAGGAGGCGTGGATTCGATTCTTACCTGTTAGACAATCGAAATCGGACTCAAAAATGGGATGAGTGAAGACCCGAGGTGCCTGATTTCGAGGTCGTTTTGTCGCTGCGCGTTCCTAATTTTGATCTCTCTGAGAAGAATATGCGCTAGATGGCGCTAAATGCTTCTCCCACTATGCTGCCCTACACAGATTAGAATCATAACTTATGATACATAAGATACCAAAAAGACTTTATTGCAGAATCAAACTGTTCACTATGATGGCAGTCAGTGATGTACATTCGCAGCGCAAAATCCGCAAAACAGCGCAAAATGCGGGAATTTTTGCGAATGTACATCCCTGATGGCAGTCATAAAATCATCAAAGTTAAACAAGTTTACGATAATATGAAAAAAGCTTTGACATTTCCAAAAAAGTCAAAATGCTTAGCGCACGAGGTATTCCCAACCGGTCACCCATGTAAGTACTAACCCCGCCCGTCGTAGTTTGACTTCAGTGATCGGACGAGAACTGGTTTATTCTACGCGGTATGACGCTAAGCGAAAGTGGCTCCTTATTCTTAGTTTATAAACCAAATTTTTTAGAAATACTATTCACGAGTTACCGTATGTATGGCTACAATGAAAATGACTTTAGAAGAGACGATACTCGAGAAGAGGTGAAGATTAATTGACTTCCTTTCTTTGGACTCTAATCGGACTTGCTCGACTTCTTACGTGTCGACGTAGCCGCGTCTGGTGTCCGGGTATTGTCGGATATGATGTCGAATTTGCGTTTTATAAATAATCGTTCTTTTCTGTAAATAAAATTGTTCCTCTCGTCCTTATCACACAGTCACTGGTCAGAAGACTGGGCAATTACACACTCAAGAATTTTTTTACACTAAGCTCAGTATTGGCCAAAACGGCACATGTAGCCGCTCTGGAATTCCTACTGGGTGATGACCGCACTTACGCACCTTAGGCAAACTAGAATTTATTCCCATCCAATCTTATCCAAGAGCGAGTTATGGTCTTTCAATCATTATCATAAAACGGCAAGAAATTTTAGAGTTTTCCTCTCTCCGAATGATTTTAGTTTGTGTTTTATCTTCTGATGTAATTATTTTGATCTTTGATGATAATTTGTGCTGTTTGACAGATTCAAAGAAATTTGGTTTCTATGACAGCCCAATTGTGAGGAGCGGCTCAACCATGTTTTACACACAAGAAACGATTAAGCATAAAAAGAGCGTAAAAACGCCCAAATCCAGAATTCTTTGAATTGCGTCCGTGAATTGACTTTTTCTTCCAAAAAGAAATATAAGTGCGGGAGAATCCGGATCGCCCTGGGGCGCGTGGAAGCGACATTTTCGGAAGCTCAAAAGCGCTTCAGAAATACAAGTGTTTGGCCGCTGCGTTAGATTTTAATTTTAAAAGTTATCTTTTGGAGAAAGTGTGAAAGAGATACCAGAAGAAAAAATGGGCAAAGATGAGGATGAAAATTTTAAGCAAAAATATGAAGGTAATAATGCTGTGAATTTCACTTATTTTGTGTTTATTTGATGATGAGTTGTTTTTGATGAGAAATTTCTAGCAATGAAGAAGCTAAACGAGCAACAACGAAATCGATTGGAAAATTTGGAGAAGAAGTATTATCGCGCAGGGGTACGCAAATAGCGTTCGTTTTTATGATAATTGTACGGTACATAATCGAATATCAGATTGTCTTTGTGATAATTGAATTGGCATTTCCTTTTGTTGGTTTTGTCGATCAGCTTTTTCTTTTTGTCTTTTCATCAAGAAATCAGAAGATTTCTATGGACATAATACACTGTAATTCCTTTGGAAAAGTCAGATTCGTGTAGAAAAGGGTCATCGGAAGGCTGAGTCGATCGGAAGAGACCTTCACGTTACTGTAATGAATTACAGTAACAGTTGATGACTAATAGGAATTTAAAGTTTAAAAATATCAAATTAGTGATTTCAAGTGTGTCTTTCTTAATAATTTTTTGAAAATTCTTATCCGATTTCGTTATAAATATAAATTTACAGTTGGTAAAGTTCTGAGCGCAAATACAATTTCGCTCTTCAGTACGCCATTTTTCTTTTGTTGACCCAAGCTTGAAAGATTGCAGAACGATGCTGGCGAGCGGAATATTGGCACGGGTAGTCAAACAAAAAGTGACAGCTTTTCAGAATTTTCCAGTTTTTCGGGAAATTTATGAAGAGTTAAAAAGTTATTTGCACAGTTGTTGATTTGTCTAGCCGAGGGATAAAGACGCAAAGTTTGAGCCGATCATCAATCAGAGAGACATAGAAGACGAAGATTTCGAGGAGTATCCATTTCTTGGAAGATCGCCGCATAGGAGAAGGAAAAACTCTCCGAGGAGGACAATCCCTGCTAGAGCGAATAGAAGGATGCTGTCTGAAACTGGCTATGGAAGCGATTTTGATGGAACGACTTCTACTTCTGGCAGGCACGCTTCTCGAATTTCGCGCAAAATGAACTCATTAAAAATTTATATAATTGAACTAAGAAGGCGATTAATTCCCGCTGATCCGTCTCTCACATGTTCAGAGAAAGTTAAGGTGCAATTGAGAAGGCGTTTAAAAGCCGCCAGAATCTAAATTTAGCCGAGAGTGGCCGCCAGCTCAGGGATGGTCCTTTGGCTAAGCGCATTTTAGCCCTGAAAGATTTGAAAGAGCAAGCTAGGGCTTAAAATCGAAATAATCCACCCGGGTAAATTTCGCGGAATAAGCTGCATAGACCGCTCTTCTAAAATTTAATTCGGATTAAAATTGAACTCTTATCAGTTTTATTTCTGTTAGAATATCCTTTAGCACAGACTTTTTAAGCCTTTTAAAAGCGACTGATCTTCAAAATCAAATCGAGCAGCAGCGAAATAACATGAATCAGACGACCCGTTCCGTAGCTGAGGATGAGATGAGTCTGGTCGAGTCAGAAATTGCTGCGCAAAGGGAAATGCTAAAAGAAGCGGATACCACCCTCAACAGCATTTTGAACAAAATGGAAGACGATGTTGTCGACGTTTCCGAACGTGATCCGGGTAAGCTTCGATTGCTATTGTTACAAAACTTTGCTAAAGTCAATGTTTGTCTTTCTTGAAAGTTTTATTTGTTTGTTTCTGATCTCTTAACACAGAAGGCTTTCCTGTCAACGTGATTTCCGTAACCGATATCATCTTGCTTACTCACGGTTTATTTTGACGAGGTGAAGGGATTTGCTCAGTAAACGGGTGTATCAAAAGATTTGTTAGTTGAGGGCCTCTAGATCAGATTTTATATCAAAGAAGAGAGCCTATTTTAGCGAGAATAGGGGGTATCTTCATCTCCCTAAATAAGGAGCCTAGATCTTTTTGGAACCTAAAAATGGATTTTGAAAAGAAAGCTTTGTTGAAGAGGCCATTTTCTTTTCAGACATTCGCGAGCTTCGAAAGTTCTTGAGCGAGCAAAACCGTCAGACAAAAGAAAAGCTTCAAGAGTCGCAAGCCGAAGTTGACAAAATAGAACGCGAAAAGCGAGATCTTGAGAAACAATTCAAAAAGTACAAAGAGGAGGCAGAAAATCAAATGGCCAGAATGAGATCGCAGCAGCAGAGCTTGAGGAAAATGGAGAGTCCGAAGAAAGTTGATAAGCGTACTGATGAGGCGCTCAGAAATGTAAGCCAGAAATCGAGGTAAATTGTGATTAGGGTTTTAGGAACAAGTGAGAATGGCGCTGGAAGAGAAAATGGCAGAGATGTGGCAGCCTGAAGCTAGGGTTTTAGATAAACAAATGTGGAAGGCCCTTTTTTGACGTAGATAGAGCCCTAAAAAGGGCTTTGTAGTTGTGGAACAGACTGAACCCCAGTCACTTTTGACACTGTCTTTGTGTTTGATCTCGCTGCCCGGGTACTCCGGGCAGGCGAGGGAAACACGCAGGCCCCTTTATATACGGTCCCCTGAGAAAGACGCTGGCTTCTAGAAAAAAGACAGAAGCGCGAGTTCTTTCTTTCTCGGGCCTAGGAAAAAACCCTTACCAAAGAAGTCCTCCAACGCGTGGCGACTTTCGTAAGCTCCAACTTTGCCGACACAGGCAACGATGAACTTTCGGAAGCGCTAGAAAATATTCGAGCACGCGCTGCGGAAAAGAAGATCTCGCTGTTCGACGCGCTCACGCAGAAGCACATGCAAGAAATGCCAGGCTGAAGAAACCGGACCAAGAACTTTTGAGGAAAGTCAAGGATTTGGAAGATCAGCTCGCCGACAAGGTGGATTTCAATAATCACTGTTAGATAACATGTTTTTCAAAAAGCATGAAATGGATAAACGAGCGGTGCAGGTTTCCTTCAGGGACAGAGAGAAAATTGAAGAGCTAGAGCAACTTGTGAAAGATTTGAGGAACAAGGTCAAGGAGGCGAATGGGAAGGCTAATGAAGCAGAAGGTGCCCAGCTTGCGCAGGAAAAAGAGCTCAAACGACTCAAGGTAAAACTCAATACAACAGAGCTTTTTTATGACGAAACTTTTAGGCCAATCTCAAACTATCGCAACAAGAAAATGACGATCGTCAAAAGCGAATGGAAGAATCGACAGGAGAAATGAACTTATTACGGACATTCCGCGATCAAGAACTCAATACAACTAAAAAGCTTCAAAATGAAAACGAAGCTCTTCAAAGGTGCGCTAAAAATTCTCAAAATAAAAATATTCTTTGGAAGAAAACTTCATGACGAAAACGCAGCGCTTCAAAGAATAATTCAAGCCCAGGAAGACGGGAAGACGCGAGAAGCAATGCTCGGCGCTCAAGTGGCCGAAATTGAAGCCGAAAATCAACAACTCCAAGAAGAGTTGGAAGACAAGCATCAGCAAATTAATGATCTTGAGACGCAACTTCAGGATGTTGAAGAAGAGGGTCAAAGGCATCAACGTCTTGCGGCGTCAAGAAAGAAAAAACTCAAAGAAATGCGCAAGCTTCAGACAGCTCTGGAAGATGTTCGTGATTTGGTCAATAAAGCGATCGAAGATAGAAATCATGGCATGAGGATGAACGACAGATTCGACGAAATTTTGGAAGCGCTGCGGAATCTCGATGGTGAGAACTATAAACCACAACCCTTATACTTAGATAATTATTTGAATATTTTTCCTGTGAGAAAAGACTGGACAGTACACTAGAAACTTCGAAGATCTCGAAAAGACACGCTCAAGGAAAGATGTTTAATACTTATTCAGGTCGTATGAATCAAAGAGGACACAGAAGAACAAATCGTGTCCTTGACGCGATCGCGGAGCTAGAATGCGGCCTCGACGACCTTCAAATTCCAAGTCACTTTCACAAACTAAATAAACGTCTTACGCGCTTACGGGATCATCTGGAAGCTGGTAAGCAAGACTGGTTACATAGAAGAGTCAAATTTACATTTCAGACGCGAATAACAAAGACGACGAGTTCTTTTTTGTCCCATCAGGTTACAGGCCCAAAGAAGCTCCCGGAAATGACGAAAAAGTGAGGGTAGATGAAAATGCAGAGTTTGAAGCACGTCCGCCAAAGTTCAAAGGATATATTCCCGTGAAAGTCCACAATGGAGAAGCAGTTTATCCAGTGACGCTGAAAGTTAAAAAGAAGAAACGACGCCAGGAAAGGATTAAAAAATTAAAAAACGTCAGCGAAATATGCGCGGATTTCTTATCCCCTGAAAGCCAAAATACGATATCACAATCACTAGTGATCCGATTCCTCTCGCCCTAGAAGCGTCTGCCCGGCAATTGCACAAACTTGGTTACTGAAAACATTCCATGTTCAAAATTTCTTATTCTATTTTTTATCAAAGTAAAAAGTTGCAAACAAATAAATGCTATTTCTTCAAAATGGATGGATTCCCACACAAGTCATCGTTGATATTTTTATTTTTTTTATTGTCTTTGAAAAGTTTTTGAAATAAATAAAGGATTGCACTTGCTGTGAAAGTAGATGTGAGATAAATGGAACGTTGACAGTAAATGAAGCTTGGTGATAAATGGTAGTGTTTGATAGCCAGAATTCTAGCTGCTTAGGTGAGACTTTGAATTTCTTAGTTTGAAAGAGTCTTCTGCAAGATCATTTGCTCTGAATATGAAACTTAGTAGCTATCGAAAAAAACGGCTCAAAACCTGATCTGGTTGACTCCAACGAGATGGCATCCATTTCTTCTTCCAGAAGAAAGTTCGCATTTTCTGTTGTTTCCTCTTCTTTTTCTGTCTTCAAAAATTTTGGATGACGCTGGATTTTGCCCGTTTTGATGGCTTCGATGATTTTCTCACGCTCTTCTTCGTCGGCCTTTTCGATTTCTGCTCGGTTTTTCTTTCGTTTGTACTTGGGAGTCGTCGGACAGTCCATCATCTTGTGGCGAATCAACTCGACCTTTGAGGGAAAGTAGATGCGGCAATGTCCGCAACCGTATTTTGCCCGATGATGCAGGTGGACTTCGAGCTCATGGGCGACCATCTCCGACACTGTGTCTGATCCGTGGCCGCATGTTAGGCAATTGTGCGCTTTCTCCACCGTGATTGTCGGCCTGTGATAATAGTCCCAGACTATTACCTCTGGCGGCTCTGGAGTCGGAACACTTTTCGCCTTTCCTTCCATTCTTAACAATCACAAATCTCAGCCTTTTTATCAGAAAATTAAATTATTCATTAGAAAAATAGATGTCAACGAGTCAGAATCATCAAGAGATCACAGAAAAATCAATCAATAAGTAAGTTTGAGGGAGGAAGCTAAATTAAACTTTGCAACTTTTCAACTGCCTCGGAAATTAACGAGTAGTCGGCTGATCTGTGAAAGACGGCACGAACATCTTCTGGGTTAGCGCCTTGCTGAAGAAGAACTACGAACGCTTAATTTAGGAAGCTTATTAATGATTTGTATCATTACCGGATAATTCGCCATGCGCCATCTTTTCAATAATCTCCAGCGCAGACGTTTCATCTTGGCACTTGAAGATGACGATATTTGTTTGTGGCGCATCCACAGATATTTTCTTTGAGAGCGCTGGAATGGCAGAAGCCCATACTTTCGCCATTTCATGATCATTTTCGATCGGAGACAAGTCGTCTAAACTTTCCAGAACAGCCGCCGCCGCGATTCCTCCTTGTCTCCATTGACCACCGATTGCCTTTCTCATTCTCCTCGCCTTTTGAATCACGTCTTCGTTTCCAACAAGCGCTGCTCCGAAAGGACAGCCCATTCCTTTCGTAAAGCACATGGTTGCAGTATCTACTAGCGAGCAGTAATCTTTCAGCGTTATTCCGGTGCCTATCGATGCGTTTACAAGTCTAGCTCCATCCATGTGAACATTGCAGCCATTTTCCGATGATAGTTTTCGAAGATCCTGAAGATATTCAAGAGAAAGCGGCTTTCCACCGGTGAAATTATGGGTATTCTCAACGCAAATCAGTAAAAAAGGATTTTCAGACATTCAAAAAACAATCATAGTACTCGAAAACTGCTCAAAATCCTATCTTTGCTATGCGACATGTGAAAGTCATCGTTTGAAAAGTATCCTCTTCTAAGGACATCTTCAAGGCAGACTGTGCCGTCAGGCTGATTCTTTACTTGACGCATTCCAATACCCGTGAATTGAGAAACATTCGACTGTTCATAAAGCCCGATGTGGCTCATATCGCCACATAAAACCTCTTCCCCGCGGTTGCAAGTTGCAGCCAAGCCAAGGAAATTAGCCATTGTGCATGTTAGGACGAACAATGCGCCTTCATGTCCAGTTAGCTCAGCAAGGCGAGATTCAAGCTCAATAATCGTCCTGTCTTCTTTGTAAACATCATCGCCACAAATGGCCTCGGCCATTCTGGCGCGCATCGCGGCGGAAGGAAGTGTAAATGTGTCCGAGCGAAGATCGAGAACTCTTTTAGCGACGGAATTTCTTAGCACTTTGCCGTATGACATTCTGATTGCAAGAAAATAGGAAAATTCGAATAAGATAAAGAAGAGTTTTTCAATTGCAATTGCGAACCTTTTTGGAACTTGAAAGAGAAATTACTGTTGCTAGCATGCTCTAATACTAAAATTACTGGAAGGAAATTGGAATGTGTGTTTTCAGTGATAGAATGGATAACCTGCGAAAGGAGAGATTTGGGTAAGACATGGAAACACTTGATAGAATTGTTTGAAGAGAAGAGAAATGTACAGAAAAGGGACCACGAATCATGTTTCTTTAGGTTGTCCAGCAACAGAGCAGAGATTGATGCAGTATCGATTCCCCTTCTTGTCTGGCAGATTGTGGCCCAAGTGAGTGCCCGCTATAAATAACAGTAAACCCGAAAAGAGGAAGATTCCACTCACTAAGAGAAACCGCTTCGCCATCTTTTAAAGTCCTGACGTTTTCCCAGACGACTTCTTCGTCTCTGAAGCTCGGCCATCCATGCGCCTTGCTTTCGTCGACGAATTCTTTCCAAGTTCTGCCCAAGGTCTCGGATTTGGTGTGATCCGCTGTGCACGAAAACATGTCTCCTGAAAAGGCGCACAATAAGATGTGCGCAGGTTTATTCGATCACAGAGGAACTGTGATCGATGCTCGATCACAGAATTGAAATTTAGTCTTATTTGGATCACAGATTTTTTGTGATCCAGAATTCCTTTCGCCCGACCCATGAATTTATCACTGAATTTCATTAGGAAAACTATTCATACCAGGGGCGGATGATAGGAATGTCCGATAACGCGGCTTCGACCTTTGAGATGATTCAACAATCCCTCGTTATGAAAGCCTGAATTCCCATCCCTTATTTTTGGATCACACGAATTCTGTGATTGAGAGCTGTGATCGGCCACAGCAAATTTGTCGGTGTGCTCGACTGAATCACAGCCTTTTCTGTGATCCGCAAATGCTGCGCACATCATTTTGTGCGCCATTTCAGGGGACTCATTTTTGCGCACAGCGGGTCACACCAAATCCGAGACCTTGGTTCTGCCTTTTGGAGCGATGAAAAGAGGCTTTCCAGTCACTTGAAATCAATGTCTCTGAAGAATATCTCAAAATAAACTACCTGAATCGTAAAAGGTTATTTCGGTGCCCTCTTTTGTCTCGTTCAAAAAGCTAGTTTCAAGAAAATAACCAGAATGCTCGGCGTAATGGCGATTGAAGTTGCAAACGGAATCTGCGGTATCATAGTTGCATTTCCATCGCAATTCCTAAAAATTTCATTAAAAAGAATCAAATTTTTATTACTAACTTTCTGAACAGGAGCATCAGAAGTGCCGTGCTTTTTCTGGCTCATGATGCTTTCATCACCGACAATTGGGTATTGAGACATTCTAAAGGAAGCAGAGGAAAGATTTTGAGAACGAATGGGATGAAGTTTTCAGAATTATTCAGCGGGCTTGCCAGCAACTGAGACCAAATTAATGCAGTATCGATTTCCCCTGTTATCAGGCAAATTGTGTCCCAGATGCGAGCCTTCTAGCGAAACAGCCTCCCCATTTTCCAAGCACCTGACATTCTCCCAAACGACTTCTTCGTCTCTGAAACTTGGCCAGCCGTGATCTTGCGATTCTTTTAGAAATCCACTCATCGTTCGTCCGATGGGCGCCTTGAAAAGCGGCTTTCCAGTGACCGAATCGTAAAACGTAATCGGCTCAGTCTGGAAAGAAACATAAAATAAGGGGTGAAGAAGGAGCAATCCACCTGTTTGATGGCAAAATCATAAAAGTCCGTGTCGAGCCAATATCCGAAATTCTCGGCCCAGTGGCGATTGTAACACGTGATTCGATCTGCCAGGCTTTGATCGCAACCCCATCGCAAATTCTAAAGCAAAGGAAAGCTGAAAACTCAAGGCAAGAAATAACCAGCTGGACTCCTTTCGGGCAAGTTCCATGCGCCTTCCGAGCCATGATCGATTCAGGTCCGTATAATGGATACTCTGATAGCAGCTGAGAAGAAGTTGAAGCTGAACAAGTCAAAATCGGCGCTCCGAGCACTGAATTTAAGAAATTTGAATAAATAAATATACCGTCGAAGAAATAACTTACTGGTGAGAAATTTTGAACTACGCTTCAGCATTTTCTTCGCGGCTTTCTCGTTCGATTTTCTCTATTTTTTGAGTCTGAAAACATGGCCTGGAGATTTGGAGAGAAGCTTTCCATTTCTGTTGCGTCAATTTTACCATCCGCCCTAGCCAATGACCGAGCGAGAAAATACTGGAAAGAAGGAAAAAGTACAGTTCGAAGAGAAATCACTCTAGTGACAAAATTTCTGTTATAACAGATATCTGTCTATGGTTTTGGGAAGATCCGTGTGACTACGAAAACTTAACAAAAAATGATTGTTAATATCAAATGAGTGGTGGTTATTCTTTTTACATACGAACATTATTCAAAAGCAATTATGATTTTCGAAAATATAATTTTATGAGCCCTAACTCTGAGTCGGTCGATAAACTACGCGGAACGGAACGGTCCAAAAATAAGGTAACGAGGTCGCCTTGTGAAATTTATAGAAAATAAAAACGGCCGTTTCGAAACGCCCCTGAGCGCAAACTCGTCCGATCAGGATCAGCAAAAACGCCGCATTCTTGAGCAAACACCAATCTTTTTGCCATTTTCGAAAGAGCCCCTTTCTTCAGAAAAGCCTTCCTATTGATCGGGCGATCAGAGAGAATTGAGTGGTATTGATCCTTGAAAGAAATTGGGAAATCACGAGATGACCTTGTATTGAGGCGATTCTGGGACAGACTCGTGGGCGTGGCTGTTTGATGGGAATCTGTCTTCTCTCAGTTTTTCAGTTTTTCTGAGCTTTTTTGAGTTTCTATATAAGGACTTCAAAGAGAATTTCAACTTGGTGGCGCACTACTACACCTGTAAGCCCTGGCTTATCTTTCTAAAGAGTCTGTTTTTAGACTTGAAAATGCGTCGAGTTCTGAGTTTATCAAAGCGAGCTTCGGCTGCAGCTGCTGGGGTCAAGGACAACCCAAAATTCTACGCCATGGTTTTGGAATTTACAGAAGCATCTGCAGCGATCCTCGAGAAGAAACTTCTTGAAGATACCAAGGCAGAGTTCGAAATTCCCGCGACCTTTTGCGGGTGCGGGGGAGCGGGAACTATGACTGAAACTTTTCGCGGGGGCGGGGAGCGGGAGCAAGGTCGAAAATTTTTGCGGGAGCGGGGGAGCGGGAGCAAGTCCAAAAATTTTGCGCGGGAGCGGGGGCGGGGAGGAGGTCTAAAAATTTTGCGCGGGAGCGGGGGCGCGGGAAGGATTCCCCTCTCTTTTGCTCCGCGGGAGCCCGCGGGAAAGAAAATCAACGTGAGGGCTGGTTTAAAAGGTCTTTACTAAGGAAGAAGCCTGGGTCAGGCCTCTTTGATAATTCGACAATTGAGAAAAAAATTGAAAAAAATATATAAAAACCATAACAAAGCTAAAAGCAAGAACAATATTACTTTGTTTTGATCAACTAAGACTTCCCCGGCCTTTGTCAAGCCTCTTGAATTTAAAAACCAAGGAACGGGGCTGAAACGGCCCGAAGGGCCGTCAAGCCTCTTGAATTTAAAAACCAAGGAACGGGGCTGATACGGCCCGAAGGGCCGTCAAGCCTCTTGAATTAAAAAAACCTTCTTCCCCGCTGCTCCCGCAGCCCCGCGGGAGCATTTTTGAGTTTTCGCGGCGCGGGAAGGGGCGGGAAGAAGGCGGGAAAGAGCAATTTACGGCGGGAGCGGGGGAGGGGGAAAGATCACGAGAAAATCTCGAGGGAGCGGGGGAGGGGAAAGAATATCCAAATGTCTTGGGGAGCGGGGGCGCGGGAGAAATTTTGCTCCCCGCTCCCGCGGGGGCTCGCGGGAGCTTGCGGCGCGGGAAATTTCGAACTCTGTACCAAGGTCGAAAGTATGAAGCGGAAATCATTAACCGAAGCTGTAACACTTGAATCTTTTAGTTGGCAGATCTGAAGATATCAAGCGAGAGCAGATGGAAGCACTCCAGCGATCGGAAGATCAACGAATGAAGGAGATTCAGGGTATTTTCGACTATATGATGCCCTGCGCTTCTGTTTTGGAAACCAACTTCAGAGTCCGAATGGATGATGGATCCTCCCAGGTGATTTTTATGATGAAAACATTATACTTACTTCTTCCAGGTTATTTCCGGCTACCGAGCTCAGCATTCGCATCATCGTCTTCCGACAAAGGGAGGCATGCGATACGCCCCCGATGTCGACATGGACGAAGTAAAAGCCCTCGCTGCCCTGATGACCTGGAAGTGTTCCGTCGCCGATGTTCCATTTGGCGGCGCCAAGGCTGGAATCACCATCGATTCGAAAAAGTACTCCACTCAGGAGTTGGAGCGCGTCACTCGAGGCTTCACTCAGCAGCTCACCAAGGTGAAACTTTTTTCTTTCCAAAAGCATGTTTCACGAAAACTTGTAGCACGGCTTCCTCGGGCCTTCCATCGATGTTCCCGCGCCAGACATGTACACAGGCGAGCGCGAAATGGCGTGGATGGCGAACGAGTACTCCCGACTCAACCCAACTGATCTGAATGCGCCTGGCTGCGTCACTGGAAAGCCCATTTCTCAAGGAGGTGTTCACGGTCGAGTTTCTGCCACTGGACGAGGTGTTTACCACGGAACGCACATCTTCTGCAACACAAAAAAATACATGGACATGGTCGGCCTGGCACCGGGAATGCAGGGAAAATCCTTTATTATGCAAGGTTTCGGAAACGTCGGTTTCCACAGCAGCAGATACTTCGTCCGGGCTGTAAGTAACATGTTTTTCAGTTGAAGAACTGTTGCTAATTTTTTCTTCAGGGCGCGAACTGCATCGGTATCGTCGAATACGACGGATCTCTCTACAATCCTGACGGAATTGACATTTATGCTCTCGAAGACTACAAGTTGCGAAACGGAACTATTGTCGGCTTCCCAGGCGCTAAAGCATGGGACGAAGCGAAAGACGGACCTCTTATTGAACAGAAATGCGACATTCTCGGCGCCTGCGCCAAAGAAAAGGTATTTTTTTTTATTCCAAGCCTCAATTTTTCCTTCTTAAGGTCATCACTGCCGACAACGCCAGCCGAATCCAGGCGAAAATCATCTGCGAAGGCGCCAACGGCCCAGTGACACCTAAGGCCCAAAAGATCCTTCTCGACAAGAAAGTTTTGGTTATTCCCGACTTGTATTTGAACGCTGGTGGTGTCACCGTCTCCTACTTCGAATGGCTCAAGAACTTGAACCACGTCTCCTACGGCCGACTCACCTGGCAGTTTACTGAGGATCAGAACTTGGCTATTCTCCGTAAGAACTAAACGAAGGTAGAAATTTGTTAACATCAATTTAAGAATCCGTGCAAGAATCGCTTTACCGACACCACAGCCAGTTCTCGAACTTGTCCGTTGTTCCAAACGCTGAACTCAACGTAAGAAAAGACTATCAAAAATAATTTGAAATAGCGACTCAATTCAAGTCAATGCTGAGCCCTTAAAATATACTTTCAGCAAAAAATCCACGGAGCGAGCGAGAAAGACATTGTCCACTCCGGCCTTGCCTACACCATGAAGCGCTCAGGTCTGCGAATCATGGACACCGCTGAAGAGTTCGACCTTGGTCTGGATATCCGAACTGCCGCCTACATCACATCTGTATCCAAGGTCTACAATGTCTACAAGGAAGCTGGATTTGCCTAAACTGGAGAATGTGTCTGAATGTTGAGCTTTTTTGCTACTGAATGTTTTTTCTTTTTATGTTTCTTTTGCTTTGGCCTAAATCTCTTCATCTTTATGTTTCGCTCAAAATCTCTCCCTCGCTCTTCACATATCCTTATTTAATTCATCTCTCAAAGGCAACAGCTCATGACTTAAAATTTTAAAGTTTAAAAAGTTACTTTTGCTTCAATTCAGTTTCGACCAAAGCCCAAATCTACCGCAACAATATCTTGAAATTTAAGTTTTAAAACGATCAATAAATAAAAAATTTAAACAAGGTCAACTTTTCAACTTATCAAGTTATTTATTTACAAAGGTTTAAACGAACGGGCATGTGATAGTTTCTTCTGTTTCATTATCGCACGGGTTTCGTAATAATTCAAGCAGCGCAAATCGCAATGACTTCGCCTTGCAAGCATTGAATCCTTTTTTGTCGAAATCTCCTTGAAGTTTTCGGATCATCATGTTGACCACAGCCATATCGTCAGTTTGGTATTGGTACTGAAAGTCTTGCATTTCGCAACAAAAGCCTTCGACAACGATGATCGTTCCAGTTTCGACATCTGTAAAATTATCTGTTAGAGTCTGAGTAACTTCCATTCTCAGTACTTTCCTTTCAGGGCAGCTGGCTTCGAACATTTCCTGAAAACCCGCGTTCTCGGTTTAAAAGCAATTTGATCCCCATCAATCCACATATCAGTCAAACAAGGAGTTATATAATTCAAAGGACCACGGACTCGTTGTAACGGAGTTGACACAATTTCGTACTCTTCGTCTGAGTCTTCTTCATTCTCTTCATTTGGTAACTCTTTTTTCTCTTCCTCCTCCTTGACCAAAATTGTCTCTTCGGCGCCTGAATCGGAATTCATTTCTTGTTGCACTTCCATTTTTCGTTCTTATTTGCCCCGTTGTTATACGAGGACGCGTGAGTAATAAGACCAAAATTAAAATTTCCTGAGACTTGGAGACAAACTGCCGTAAGGCAAAGAAATCTTTTTATTGTCTCTCTACTCTCAAGGGGATTTCTTCGGAGCTCGCTTTTGTTGAGTATTGGGTGACAAAAAGGAAAGTTCAAGTTTATCTGTTAAAGGTCGTTTGCTACTGATGGGGTGTTGGATAGCGGAAAAAATCTCATCGGAGCCTGGGTTGGGCTTGTAAGGCTAGTAACCAGACATCCCACTGACGGGCGCTCTGATTCGTCCGTTTAATTTTTCTCGAATTTTCCATAAGATTCACGTAACCCGTTTTTCCAACATCTGACGAATCAGAGCGCCGACCAAGAAAATGTATGGTAACTGGCCTCACTAGCCTAACTCAGGCCCTCTTGAGATAGGCACTCTGATTCGTCACAGCGCTCTGATGGAAATTTCGCTATCAAACACCCCATCAGTAGGAAAACGAGACGGGACACCGCGTTTCTTTTTGAATATGAAAACTGAAGTTGCTCTATAATTGTGGTTTTTAGAAGTTGATGAATATCTGCGGAGTTTGCGCGAATCGTCTTCTCGGCTGCAATGATTTCACGAAATTTTACGAAACAGTGGAAAATCTTCCTGTTGAAAATGAAAAATTGAGAAAATTCGTTGACCCAAGTCGAACATGTATCATGTGTTTTGGCTTTCTGACCCGGTCGAGGTTTGCTGAGTACAAAGAAGAAATCAGAAAGTCGGTAGAAAACTGGCCGCTGGAGAAAGAACATGTCGTTAGGGACTTTCAAATGTTGATTACAGTTCCGTCGATAATGCCACTCGTCGAGAACATTGTTTATTATTCGATAAAGCAGGAAGTTTCAGATGTTGTTTTACCAGGAAAAGCTCGCTAATAACACCAGAAATTATCCTTCCCATACTTTTTTCAAGCTTTGAAAGACAACATCAACCTGAAAGAAATTCTCAAAACGATGTGCTGCAATAATCTGCTTGAAAACGTCTTCATCAATGCCGAAAGCGAGCTGAAGGTTTCGCCCAAATTCTTATGCGAAGAATTCGAGTCTCAATTCATCACTGGATTGATCAACAACCCCAGCTTATCAAACGAAATTTCCTATAAATTGGAGGCGATTTACAAAACGAGAGCTGGAGGAGGAAAGAAAAAGAAATGGGGCAAAAAAGCGAAGAAAGAAAAGGAAGAAGAAGAGCAGGGCTGCACAATTGGATTGGAATCCAATTGGTTTCCAATTCCAATTGGATTGGATTGGTAAATTGGTTGGAAAAAAGGCGGGAAAATCAGGGTCTGTCCAATTGGACAGCCCTTCCAATTGGAAAATGGGGGTCCAATTGGCAACTGGTCGCCAATTGGTAAATTGGCAAAATGATTGGATCGAAGCACCTCTTTCCATGCGGAAATGCCAGATTATGCTTGAAACAGTGGCTCAAACGACCAGTTGGGCAATAATTTTCGATCTTTAAGTCAAAAGAATTGGACTGATGGTGGGATTTTCGATAGATAAGGGCTAGAAAAATAAGTTTCGAGGGACTATTGATTCAGTTAGAGGAGCAAGAGGGCAAAAATAGTTGTAAAGAATGCAAAAATTAGCAAAATTTTGGAATTTTCTTCGGCGAGGGCTTGCCAAACTGCCCGAAAGCGCCGAATTGCCCGAAAGTGCCCATATTGCCCAAATGTCCGAAATGCCCGCTCTTGCCTGGCCAAATTTTAGGGGCTTAGCTCCGAATGCTCGGCCGAACGCTTTTTCCCCGAATGCCCGATGCCGATTTGCTTTAAAAATTCCCTCGTTTGTAAATTTTAAAGGATTATTTTAAATGAACTCATTAAAAAAACTGATTTTTCCAATTAGAATCCGATTTTTTTCGCGGACCAATCGGCAATTGGAATCTTGCTTCCAATTGGCACGAGTTTTCCAATTGGACAGCCAAATTCCAATTGGAATTGGAATTGGATTGGAATTTGGTTGGATTGGGAAAATTTGGGTTGGATTGGATTGGCAGTTGGTTGGAAAAATCCAAATTTTTTTGCCAATCGTGCAGCCCAGAGGTTACGAATCTGCCGCCAACGATCAATGCCAGTACTGTTTCGCAGACTTTAAACATTCTGTCGCCTTCCGACTTGCTCAGTCTCGGCGAGTACCTTTCATCTCTTTCTCCGTCGCACAAACTGACAGTCGAAACGATCCACTCGCCGATCTACATCGCTGGAAGATATCAGAAATATTCAAGGACGCTCCCTCAAACTCCCTGGCTCGTTGATGGCAAAAGACATTACAGTGAAACTTCTGTCGAGGAAATTATCGCAGCGCCCTTTGTAAAAGCGACTGGGGCGCAGAGAGGAATCCTGACTTCGGCAGGGAGAGAAGATGTAGATGTTAGAACTCTCGGTAAGTTTAATTCGTGCTTGAATGTTGAGTTGGATTCTATTTTCAGGAAATGGAAGACCCTTCATTGTGGAGCTGTTGAAGCCCCGCAAGCTGTTGACAAGCAGTTGTGCGGAGATTCTAGCCGCAGAAGTGAATAAAAGCTCCGATTTAAGGACCCCCCCGTCAACAATTTTCCTCAAAAAATCGAAAATCTCAAAGCAGCCATATTTTGGCTTCTGAGTGTGCCTGGAAGTTAAATTTATCATAAAAACTTGTAAGGAGCACTTTTTGACCAATAAAAGTCTAAAATTTAAGCAAAATTGGGACTTTTTCGTCATTTTTCGTCAAAAAGTCCGATTTCCAAACGCGATTTTGAGGGTGTTAGAGTCGAGATAGACCCCCAAAAAATGAAGCCTCAAAATCGTTTTTTGACCTGTAGAATCCATTTCCGGGGTCAAAATTTTGAAATTCCGAAAATAGATTTTTCGAAAATTGTTGACGGGGGGGTCCTTAAAAATAAAAGACGTTTGCATTATTGGAAAAAGTGGATGCAAAACGCTTTTGGAAGGAGAAGTGGACAAGAAAAAAGAGTATCGGGCGTTTTGCTACGCTGAAAGAAAGATTACAGAGGAAGATTTGGAAAAATTAAGAATGAGCGAAGTAGTATTGAAGGTAGAAAGAAATATTTGTCCTACTTCTTATCTTTTATTTAGCAAAAGACTCCTATCCGAGTATTGCATCGGAGAAACAATGATACGAGACCAAGAACGATTCATAAGTAAATTTGACGCCCAGCTCTATTTCCTTTAACTCATCTTTATAGAGCAGAAGGGAAGAGATGGGAAGGTAGATCAGAAAACTGGTTCTATATCGATTTGCTTACTCAAGCGGGCACTTATATTAAGGTACGAAAAAGCTCATAGTCAGTGGATGACTTTCTTTTCTAGGAATTTGTTCATGGAGATTTCGGAAGAACGAAGCCAAATGTTTCTGAAATTCTCGGATGCGAATGTGACATTGTCGGACTTGATGTCACTAACGTCCACCTTGATTGGCCTCCAACTGCGCCAGAGCAGATTGTCGAGAAATCAAGCTAGATGCAATTCAAAGATTGTATTTCTGTCTTTTTTAGAATGGAAGGACACCGCTTTCAGGCTCTGCGAGCCTATTTATCGAAGACCTCGAAATTAGCAAAAGAGGATTTCGAAGCTAGTGAGGAACTACTCGATCTATTACAGAACGAAATTCGCGTTCTTATCGTCGGCGCAGGAGGCCTTGGCTGTGAAATTCTGAAATGTATGGCTCTCTCTGGCTTCGGCAAAATCGACATTATCGACATGGATACGATTGATCTTTCAAATTTAAATCGTCAGTTTCTCTTCCGGCAAAAGGACGTCGGACGAGGCAAAGCAGACGTTGCTGCTGAATTTATCATGGGCCGAGTTCCAGAAGCGTCGGTGACGCCGCATTTTTGCAGAATTGAAGAAAAAGATTCCGATTTTTATCGACAATTTCAAATAGTCATCCTTGGACTCGATTCTGTTCAAGCAAGGAGGTGGATAAACGCGAAAATGTTTTCGCTTTTGATTCATGATGATGACGGAAATATTCTTCCCCAGTCGATTCGGCCGATTATTGATGGAGGGACTGAAGGCTTTAGGGGCCACTGTAGGCTCATTTGTCCCACAATGACTGCTTGTCTTGAGTGCAACTTGGATCTTTTCCCGCCACAAGGTTATTTTTAACTCTTATTTTTCCTCACTTATACAAATTATAGTAAATTTTCCTCTTTGCACCATTGCTTCGGTCCCACGTCTTCCAGAACACTGCATCGAATGGAGCAGAATCATCGCTTGGGAAGAAGAAGATCCATTCCAAGGAGAGCCCGTCGACGGAGACAACTTTTCTCATATAACTTGGTTGACGGAAAAGGCTCGAGAGCGAGCGGAAGAATTCAACATTGACGCTAGTGGGATTGATTTCAGAAAGACGCAAGGTGTCATTAAAAGGATCATTCCTGCTGTGGCTTCTACTAATTCTGTGATCGGTAATTACTATAAAAATGATTAATCGCGTGATTTATTTTGTTTGAAGCTTCCCAATGCGTGACAGAAGCCTTCAAACTAGCCACATATTCGTTTGATAACATGGACAACTATTCAATGCTGAACCAGAACGCAGGAATTTACCAGTTTGTTTATCCCGCTGAAAGGAAAGAAGACTGCGTCGTCTGTGGAAAGAAAAGGAGGGTTATTGAAGTGGGAAAGGTAAAATTCAGGCATTATTCAATAAAATATTATTAATTCGCTCAGGAAAAAACTCTTGGTGATCTCATTGCGAAGCTCAAAGATGAAAACGAATTATCTGGCCCTGCTCTAGTAAAATTATCAGCATCTCGAAAGACTTAACCTTATTCAGACAGCGAACATAGAAAACAGCGAAAAGGTTCTCTTCATGGACAATATCCAAGGAACACATGAGAATCTATCGAGGACCCTTGAGGAGCTTTCTCTCGGAAATCAGGAGATTCAAGTTACAGGTAGATCAAATTCTATCATCTGAATCAAGAGAGCTCATTTAGATAAAGCGTATGCCGCTCCTGTTACGATTCAGCTTCGATTCACTGGAGAATCGTAGAAAAAATATATCATCATATTTATTCATATGAGCCTTTTTCATGTAGTTATCGTATCTACTGCCACACACAACTAATGTAAAATGTACATACTCTTTGTAAGTATATTCTATGTCATAAAATTTGAAAAGGTTAGAATGGAGGACTCTGGGGAAGAAACAGCAACCGCATCTCATCTATTCGGCCGCCTGTCAAGCAAGGAAGACGATCCGTTCGGCGAAATAGCAGCCAATAACGAGTCGACAGATACCACTCCGAACCTAGAGAATATCCAAGAAATGGACGACAAAGAACTGATAGCGCAAATGGACGCTATTGAAATTTCAACAAGCGAAACTCTAGCGAAGTCAACTTCAGTTTCAATATCAGATGAGTTCAAAGAAAAGGTTAAATCGATCTGGCCGGCGCCGAAAAAGTTTCTGAGAATATTCAAAAACAGAAAAGATGGAAAGCCTCTCATCAGCTCCGATTATTCGTTCATTTCCCAGCCAAGGTAGATTTTCAATTTTCGAGCTTTCTTCGTTGATTCCAAAAATTCTTAGACTTTCTACATTTGTCGCCAATCCTTACGTTCGATACGATATGGACCCGATGGACCATCTTGCTCTATTGCTCAAGCGCGAAGATTACGTAGAAGTCATCAACACGACCTCGATGATCATCAACTCTATTCCCAAAGATGAAGATCCGCTTTACTTCGCACATTTCTTCGATCTCTGGTTCTTCAGACTTCAAGCCGCTCTCCGCCTAGTCGAGAACAAGGACGAAACTTATCTGAAATTAGCGGAAATGGAAGCAGCGGCATTCGACGATTCTCAGTATTCGAATTTATACAAACAATTCTTTCCTTCAAAATTCGAAGGCCAAACGGGGAGCATTCTGCCTTTCCGGTTGAGATTGCTGTCCCTACAAATTATTGCCAAAGTAGCAGCTTCCACGGGAAACGGAAAAGAAATTAATACGGCCATTTCAAAGCTCTTTGCTCTGATGGAAACGACGAAAGAGGTTCTAAACGAGAGCCATGATTTTGTAGAAACGGAGGAAGAAAAATCCTATTTTCTTAAAATTTGGGAAAGAAGAAAGATCGCAGCGGAAAATGCCGTTTCTTCCGCCTTCGTCCAGGCGAATAATCACACAGCGGCACTCGTCTTTCTTGACAAGCTCGGCAGGGAAAATTGTCCTGCTCATCTTCGCGAAGGTACTTGCCAAGAATGGATAAGAGAAATTCAATACAATTTCAGTTGCGAAGATCCAAATCCACGCAAATATGGTCGAAGAAGCCGAGCTTACTTACTCGAAGATTTCTGCCCTGGCCGACTCAGTTCAGAAAGAACGATCGCTTGCAAAATGCAGGCTCATGATCCACACTTTCAAGCAGAATTGGACACAGGCGGAAAACGGTAAGCAATCATTCATGATCTTCTCATTGATTTTTTATCAGAAGCGAATGCCCTGATCGCGACGGAAAATGACTGGGTCTCACGGAACAACCTCGGCGTCATTCTCTTTCAGCAAGAGCGGCTCTCCGAATCAAGTGCAATCTACAACACCGAATTAACTACTCATCTATCCAAAGTAGGAGTCATCGCTCCATCCGCTATTTTTCCTGTTCAAAGAAACTTATTTACCCTGAATGAAATGTACAAAAAATAAACTTAACTGTTATTCAAAATCATTCGCTTCTAGAGCATTTTGTTTTCCTAAAAATGCCCTAGGAGGCTGTGGTTATAAAAATAGAAAACTTACGGCAACTACTATTTTCAGGAGTTTGAAAAATTTGGAATAGAATTTTTGTAGTCATTTTTTCATTTTAATTTCAAAAGTGGAGATTTTTTTTTCTGGAACTGTTTCTCAAAAAATTTCATCGATTCCATTTGGACCAAAAATAACACCTTGTTCAAACCCATTTTCAAGGGTGTTAAGGGCCTCCCGGCCCCCTAAAACCCCGGTAAAAACCTGGCTCGGGGCCTAAGCTTTATTTTGCCCCAGTCAGATACCCTTAATTATTACTCTAACACCCTTAAAAATCGGTCTGAACAAGGTGTTATTTTTGGTCCAAATGGAATCAATGAAATTTTTTGAGAAACAGTTCCAGAAAAAAAAATCTCCACTTTTGAAATTAAAATGAAAAATGACTACAAAAAATTTACTCCAAATTTTTCGAACTCCTGAAAATAGGAGCAGCCAAAACTTACTGATCTTATCGAAGATCAGCAAGTTGTTTTATTAAATAAATATTAAGTACAAAAATAAAATAAATAAGTGGAGAACAGAATAAAAATTCCAGCGCTGATTTTGATGGTAGAACAATCTATCGGCGAAGCTTGGAAGGATCACTAAAGTTTAATTGTTAGTTAACTGTTTCAAGGATTTTGTCATTACCAGACGGCCCACTTGGGCTTTGGAGTGTCCGAAAGTCGTCGAATTTCGGCAGTCTTCTTCGTCACTTCGACTCGACGTTTGACGCTGGCAACCCACTTCTTGTCAACCTTCCATCCTTTTGGGATCTGCTCGATCTAAAATACGTTGCAGTTTAAACTGAAATCCAGTAGAAATGTGTAAAGAAATGTATGTACAGGATTAATAATCCTGGATTATAAAATTTTTCCTAAATACTAATTTTCTGTTCTAATAAATCGCTTCTAAGTAAAGTGGACGATCAAGAGGTCCAAAAGTGACTTCTATCTTGTCAAAAATTGAACTGACCTGTTTGTCGGCGCTCCAGTCCCAGAAAAAGGCGACGTTCTGCTTGGCGGGCATTTTTATCTGCGTGTTATTCTTGAGTTGAACTTTTCAAGACTGACCGTTTTATGCTTTTTGTCGAAACAACAACAGCTGTTCTAGAGATTGGTCGTTTTTTCAAAAAATGTTAACTTTACTGAAATCAACGAAGACACCATTTTGTTCATCTTGAGAAATGCCCACCTGCCTTTCTTTCTTCTCTACATTTTTAACGTAGACTTTTAAAAATGAAAGTATTCAAAAGTTTAACCCTTTTCTTCGTCGCCTCGGGTTCTGCAGTTTCTCGAGAAGAAACTCGATCATGGTCCTGTATGTTTGACTGTGTCGGTGCACTTTTCCGGGGAGATGTTTACTGTTCGTATACCTGGGAGTTTGAGAGCGAAGACTACTACAGATGCTTGGAGCCCTACAAAGAGGAGTTTGATAGCTGCATTCAAGGTTTGGTCTTGTTTTCTTCAAGTTCTTATCATCTTCTATAGTTGACGGCTGCCTGACGCTCGGTCCATGCTGGGAAAAATGCGTCCCTCCGGCTCTTGAAGGCTCGTCTGACTGTGAAGATGGTTACGAAAATGGAGATCTTAACGAACGCGAGTTCCTTAGATGCCTAGTCGATTTATCGGTAGAATTTTCCTACATGTTCAAATTTTTAAAATTCTTCTTAGATGGATGCAGCAAAATGCTTGAGCGATTGTGACCCTTCAAATCCTTAATTTGCCCTGCATTTTCATCATGTGAAATGTTGAATGATATCAATAAAGACCAAACTTCAAGACTTTTACGTTAAAATCTTCAAAGCGTTTTTGGTTCACTTGGAATATCTTTATTTTACTTTGAGTCGAACATAAATGATTTGGGAAGAGCTGCTACAGAAGAAGAAATATCTGAGATAAGAATAAAACTAAAAAGAAATAAAATAAAACTGAAAATAAAAAGGTAGAAGCACAATGGTTAGGTTTTTTCGTAAACGAGTCAGGAGGAAAACGAGTTATTCGATTTTGAATATCAGTGGAATTGACGGATTAGAAATTGATTTTTTTGGAAACTAAAAGAGATTTGTTCCATCGAAATGAATGTTATAATTAAAAGCCAGATTTCGGTGATTGCCATCTTGCAGAAAACGCGTTTTAACTTCAAAACTTGCAATAACAAAACACGAATTTCAATTGTTTATGCTGTATTTTGTGGTATCAACTTTGAGGCTTTTTTAATTCCAATAAGTATTAGAAATTGGTTCACAATGCTGTTTTTGAGAAGACTAAATGTGTTTGTGTCGCAGTAACAATTTGTAGTAACATTTCGGCTCAAATATAACTAGTACAGTTTGAAGTACAGTAAAGAGTTCAGAAGACGAGGAGTGAAGCACGACTGGTTTGTTTGAGAAGTTGAACTGGAGATAGTGCAATAAACCATTAATAGAACATACATTTACATTTTTTGTAACTTTGCGCATTATGTACAGGTGGATGTTAACTTAGGTTTGCTCCGTGATTGGTTCTCTCCAATTCCTGGAGCTCGAGCTGTCCGCGGAGGAAGAGGAGGCGGAAGAAGAGCCGCTTTCGTTGGTTTTGGCGTTCTTCTTGCACCAATTCGGTAGTGCGTCGTGGATCTGACTTAGCCTGTCCACCTCGCTCTGCAGCGTTTTCTCCAGCGCCTTGTTCTTGCTCAAGTGCTGGAGGCTGCCCTGAAGATCTCGCTCCATCTGCTCTACCTTCTCTATCGCACCCGCTTTTTGGTTCTCAAATCTGTCTTTCAACAATTGATAAGCTTCCTGAGTCTTTGCAATATCGTCGCGCGTCTTTGACTCTCCAAATGTCTTGCTGATCTGGTCGACTATGCCCAAAAGCTCCCGATCCTTGATTTCAGCCAGAAGGGCATCAATGCTGTCCAAATTGAGAGCAAGCGTGTCGACTTGTTCGCGAGCGTTGGACGCCATCGATGCAATTCGCTTCGATTCAGCGAGTTTTTCGTCGACCTGGAAAAAACATAAGAGAAGATTCACGTTTTGAACTTTTTACCTCGTTGCTCTTGTCCATGAATTTTCTTTCGAAACTGGATCCATCTCTTTCGTTCAGGTTTTCCGTATCGATCAAGATGCTGTCTTGAAGTCGGGTCGTCTCGGAGACGACAGTATTCGCCATTTTCAAATTATCATCGGCAGTTTTGAGCGTATCAGCGGCATCTTCGAATGCATTTTCAGCTTGAGTCGCCATGTCAGCAACGTTGGTCTTGTAGCTTTCGATTCTGTCAGTGAGAGCGTCTGCTTTTCGATCAAGGCTTTCGACAGTGATTCCATCGAGATCGACATCGCCCGAAATGTCGTCGCCGTTGGTCTAGGGGAACGTTAAAAAAGACGACTCTGTGAAGAACTTACGTCAGCGAAATAATTCTTGATAACATCGACCAAGTGCTGCGACTTTTTGAAGAGTTTGTCGATGTTACTTCTGTCGCCCTTTGCTTTTTGCTGAGCCGCGTGGACTGATGCAAGAAGTTTGTCGGCCTTGTTCAAGTAAAATCGACCAGCTTCGTATTTCTCATTTGCAACGGTTGCTTCATCTTCGTATCTGTCCCTCGACTCCTGCAGTCTATCCTTGAGTCGATCAAGTCGTTTGCTCAAGTCCTAAAAACTGGCTAGCTTAAATTCCATATAAATTTTCTTACTTCAGCTTGAAGCTCAATTTCGTTTGCCATCTTTTTGATCTTTTGGTCATCGATTTCCGGGATACTCTCTGCAGTTGGAATGTTCAAAGCCATCACTTTATTTTTTGCTTCAGTTGCCTGCTTTTTAGCCAGTTTAGCGCTGTCTCGGAGAGCTGTGATTCGTTGCTGTGTGAGTTTAAGATCGTCGGTGACAAACGTATACAGTGAGCCCTTCATGTCGTTCAGCAGGTCTAACGAGCCTTCTATCTGTTGTCTAGCGCGCTGAGATGTTTCCATGGCTGCTTTTGCGGCGAATTGGACCTTCTCACTTTCTGTTCGGTGCTTGTCAAGAGCGCCCATCGCTTGAGAATAGAGCGATCGTAGTTCTTCGTGGCGAACATATTGACCTATCCAAGTCAGTAATGTTTAGAATAAAGAAATTGATTTTACCTCGAGAAAGATTTTCAGCGTCACTGAGCTGGTCATGAGCATCTCGCAAAGCACGCTCGATTCCGGAGAAAATAGACTCAATCACACTGATAGTTCCTTCAGTAGCTCGCTGTTGATTCTTCGAGTGGGAGATAGATCGTTCACATGTTTCCATCTGTGATTTAAACTGGTGAAGCTGGAGCATGACGCTGGAGAATGTCTGATTAGTATCGGACAAATCCTTCATGAAGGCTTCAAACACATCCAGAACTTCGTAAACATCTTCATCAAAGTTTCGAGAGGCAGAAAGAAGTCCATTCACAGCATCTTAGAAATATTTAAAAACTAATGTTGAAAACTGAAATCTTACGTTCGAACTCTTTATCATTGAGGAATCGGTGAGGATTGTTGACGACTTCTCCGGCAAGACGATCAAGCTGTCCAAGTTTAGTTCGATGACGATTCACGTGATTTTGGACGAGATCATAACAAGCCGGGCATTTCGTGCATTCATAATCGGTGCTGTCGTAGAAGTAGTTCTCCTCGCACTGATCACATCGCATTCCCATGACACCGTCTCGGCACTCACAGTGACCGGTGTGAATGTTACACTGGGATGACAATGATCCGTGTTCGTTACAGTCACATGGGCTGCAGCCTTCGGGAGAGTGTCCCCAGTGGTCAGGTAGACATTGATCACATCGAGTACCGGTGACTCCTGGTTTGCACTCGCACTGGCCAGAATAGACATCGCATTCTCCAGAAACAGACCCTAAAGTAAAATTAGTTAATTTGTCGTTTCAAATAAGAATTTCTTACCAATTGGATCGCAGCTGCAAAGCTGACAGCCCACACCAGGCACCAGGTTGAAATACTGAGGCAAGCATTCATCACACTTATCGCCGCCAACTCCAGGAAGACAGTGGCACTTTCCAGTAGCCTTATTACAAGTTGAAGATCGTGATCCATTAGCATTGCACTCGCAGGCAGTGCAACCCTTTCCATGTGCTTGCTCTGTCACTTGAGCAGCTGGATTACCATAGAAGCCATCTTTGCACTGCTCACAATGATCGCCCTCAGTATTATGGATACATTTAAGGCACTTTCCAGTGAAGGAATCGCAATTTCCGGGCTCGAGGAGGTTAATGTTACCATTGCATTGGCAATCCTGGCAGACTCGGTGCGAGCCATAAAGTCCAAGGGGGTCGCCGTAAAAGTTTTCTTGGCATCGCTCACAGCGGGGTCCTTGAGATCCAGGAGGACATCGGTTGCAAATAACAGCGAGACCATCAGTAACACCCTGGGGAACAGTTGAAGTAGCGGAACACTCGCTTCCAGCTGGACAGGGGCAGGCTTTACAATCATTCTTGGTTCCATCATACGGATTTCCATAGAATCCGGGGCAACACACATTACAGAAATCTCCGCAAGTGTTATGTTCGCATTTGCATTTACCAGAAACGATGTCACAAGGCTGTGCCGCATGATTGTTGCATTGGCAGGGCTTGCATTCTTGGTAAGGGTTGTTGGTGTTTGATTGGAAGGTGAAATATGGACTGCAAGCATCAGCAGTCGGAGTTCGCTTTGGTTCGTGGCAGACCTCGACCCAGTTGGCTTCATTAGCGGGAGTAATGGGGCCGTATCCTTCTCGAGCAGTTTCAAGTTCAACCTTGTCGAGCAAACCTTCACCAGGGAAGCTCAATTCGATAGAAGTTAAATTATTGAGCACGGAGACAAAGGGCACGGGCTCAAGTGCTGGTTCAAAGACACTTTCGTGAAGTCGCACGTGATACTCATCATTTTCCGTCTTCTGAAGTGTGCACGAGAGTTCCGTTGGAGCACCTGAGATTCCCACACCGACGAGGCTGAGACGCGCTGGAGCAATAAAATCCCCATTTTGGTCGGGAGATTTGACCTTGAGCTGGAACTTCAAATGCTGATTGTAGGAGTGTCGCTGGTTGGTCAAGTACTTTTGTGGAAAGCTGAAGCTTTCTGTCGATTTAACACAGCCGAGAACATTATCGTATTGGACTGCGAAAGGATCCATCTCAACCCAGGTTTCGCCGTCATGGTCGAAGTTAGAAGAGACGGTTGCCTTGACGTAGTTTTTGGCAGGAGAACAGCTGTTTGAATGTCCAAAGCAGAAACAAGCCGTGCATCCTGATGGATTGTTCTTGTCGGGGAAGTTGTTGCCCAAACTAGAGGCCAAGCCCATAAAGCCATTTTTGCATTCTTTGCATTGTCTTCCATGCACGTTTTCTTTGCATAAACAATCGCCGGTCACTGCGTCGCATGATGGCCTATTTTTCGGTTAAATATTGAAAGAAAGAAGAGAATTACCTATTGTTGAGAGAACCCTCGATGTGACAATTGCACGGTGTGCATCCGCCACGAGCGAGATTGTAAAAATTGTCCTTGCATCGGTCACACTTATCGCCATCAACGCCATAGTGGCAGTAGCACTTGCCAGTATCATCGCATTGTTCGGACTGCGATCCATCAGCGTTACATCCGCAGGGAACGCACCTGCCATACTCATTCTTGAAAAAGCCCTTCTTGCAAGTTTCACATTTTGGTCCGTCAGAATTGTCCTGGCAGTCGATACAGCGGCCATGCCCAAGTTGATCGTCGTAAACACATGAGTCTGCGAGACCGTTGCAGTCGCATTTTTCACATTCCTCAGCGTGGAAAGACGTTGCACGAGTCCAAGGCTTGTTGTTGTAAAGAGGAAGGCACATTTCGCAATCAGGACCCGCAGTGTTGTGTTGGCAGTCACAAATTGGCTTGCCTTCGGCATCACGAAGAGCTTTCTTGGCGTGGCCATTGCATTTCATACGTCCACCGACAGCAAGATCCGAGATGGCGTAGTAATACGACTGGAGAACCTTCGTTCCGCGGAAAATTTCATCACCGAAGGTGTTGAGTCGAACAAGTGTGATTCTGATGTTTGTAGCAGTGACCCATTCTTGTAGAACTGGAGAACGTTCGAAGTTCGTCTTGGATGGTCGACCTTCAAGGGAGGAGAAAATCACGTCGCCACCAGAGATCGGAGTAATCTTGGACATCTTACTCTCGCAGATAGCTTCGCGTTCGTTTTCTGGACGGACGTAGCCACCAGCAGCGAGATTGAAAGTTTCAACACAAGTTTTACTGTAGTACTGGAACTTCGTCCACGGGCATGTTTCGCAAGTTCTCTTCTCGATAATCATCGATTCAGGTCGAGGAGAGTGGAAACGAAGTCGAATGTAAGTGATTTCATAAGCCTTGTCGAGATCAAGAATTAGTGTGACATTGTTCGGCGCGTTGATACGAGACTGGAAGAGTGTCTCAGACTGCCACCAGGTTGTCTCGGGCTCATTGTCGGTGAGGAATCGAGTGTTGTGGCCGTTTCGGGGGGAGCGATCGTCACAAGTAAATCGAAGATGGCGAGAAGACGAGTGTGAGCGAAGAGTCGTCGTTGTTTGTCGATAAAAGGTCTCGGGCCCGTTCAAACCGCAAGTATTTGATGCAACAACCTAGAAAGATTACTTTTACACACCTGGTCGTCTGTTTATAATTAAATATTGGAGGCAAATAGAAAATTCAATTGTTAAAAAACGATCAATGGGGAAATTCGTCTTCTATTTGAAAGGGAATAATTTACAAAGATGAATGGGGACAAATTTGAGGATGCTCGTAAAATCATAAGATCGATGCGTGCCGCTTCTTATTTTATTATTAAGGGGAAAGATGGAATTCAAATTTACGAAATGAATAAGAAAATATTCAAACTTACAGGTTTTCCATAAGCAATATTGTGGAAATCTGGCGAACATCTATTCGCAGATCCATCATCATTGTAGCAACCTTCTGAGTTTTTGAGTGTGTACCCTCCATTTTGAGGCAGCTCAGCGCTAGTTCTGGCTATCAGCCCAAGTAGCAAGCTAGCAATCTTCATTTTTCTATTTTCTTATTTTTTCGATTTCGATCTCTGTTTCTGAAGTAGAATTTCTGGTTAGCTCTCTTTTTTTAGGAAAATAGATAGTTTTAGAAGTGTAGAAAAATAGAAGTAAAAAATCTCTCTGCTCGCAGCGGCGAAAAAAGTGATGATTGACAAAAGATGGTCGGAATAAAACGATGGCGAGTGTCTTTTGTACTGGAGAGGCTTCACTTGCTTTGAATGGTCACGTGAGTGTACTCGTCCCAGTTTACGTCGAGCAACTGCGAGGTACAATCGCGCACAACTGACAGGAAAACGGCGGGCAGGGCATCGGCCAACCTCTGGCGCCGCAGCTCCAGCTGTTCGCACTCGCCTGGCAGGGCGCTAAGAAAGCGGGCACATAAAAAATGCCACCTTCCGGTGAAAGTGTGAACTCTGCATGCAGCTTCTTTTGAAATCTCTTTTCGAAAAAATAGGTCAAGTGGGGGTAGAAAATTAGAAGATCTATTTTAATTTCTCGGAGTTGTTTGAAATTGAGCGAACGCGCAAATTGAGATAGAACATGCCCTGCGGGTCGCGGATAATCGCTGTTAGGAATCTCAAGAATTCTAAGTGCGTCTACTTATATATAAAAACGGGGTATTTGTAGGTGCAACAAGGCTAATTGGTGATTAGAGCAGGTGTGAACCAGGGTTCCAATTTTGGCCGAAAAAATTTTGGAGTGGAGTGGAGAGATGAGTGGATGCCCAAAAAAAATGGTTGAGCGAGTGGAGTGGGTGAGCGGAGTGGATTTTGAGCGGATTTTTAGGGAAGTTTGAGCGATTAAAAAAAAATTTTTTGCATTTCATGCACCGTACAATACACTCAAAAAAGGGTCGAGAGGCCGGGTTTTTTTTTAAACGATTTCATTCTCATATTTTTAGTCAATTTACAATTATATTCTCGGAAGCATTGACTAATGGAAGATATATTCTTAGCAACCTTGAAGTTCAGGAGGTACTGAGGAACAAACAGGGTCGTTTTATTCTTAAATCCATTATAATTGGTCGTTGGGGGGAGGGTTTAATTATTAAAAAGGTTGAAAGAGAGCAGAGGAACAAAAAAGGTTCGACCCCCACGAGCAGACAGAAACCGAAGTCATCTTTGCACGCCGTGAGCAAGCTTTTCCTTTTCTGAAAAAGGGGTTTTAAGAAAGAGGGGGGTGAAAGGAAGAGAAAGAGGGGGCGTAAAGAAGAGAGGTTGAAAAAGGTCGAGCCCCCACGAGCAGACAGAAACCGAAGTCTTCTTTGCACGCCGTGAGCAAGCCTTTCATTTTTCGAGATAAAAAGGGTTTTAGAGAGGGTCTGATCATCAAACTTTTATGAAGAAGTCGGTCCTAAATTAAAGGTTGATCCTGATATTATATCATTGATTTATTCTCTTGATTATCCCCTGAGAGAATTTGATTCTTCATTTAAAAATAGACAAAACTCGGTCTCCAATCAGAATACGAGAAAAGGGGCGCTAAAGACAAAAATCCACTCCATCCGCTCAAAATCCACTCAAAATCCACTCCAAAGTCGATTTTACAGGTTGGAGTGGAGTGGAGCGAATGAGTGGACACTAAAAATATAGGCTGAGCGAGTGGAGTGGAGTGGATCCACTCCGCTCACGCTCCACTCCGCTCAAAATCCACTCCATCGCTCAGCAAAATTGGAACCCTGGTGTGAACAACCGGGCTAATGTTATACAGTGGTCCTCCTTGATTTCAGTGTCAAAATTTAGTGTGCCCTTCCTAAACTTCTTATTATCGTTTTCTTCTAGCTTCAAATCTCTAATTTCATGTCGGTAAGTGGGTAAAATTGACTGGCAGCTATTGATGGAAGTGAAGAGGGTGGTAGCTTTTTGGATTTCCGCCTCGGTTTTTGTCGATCCGTTGATTTTCTTTATGCTCGGTGACTAAGAATATCATATTTTACCGACTCACCAAAAATGTTTGATTCTAGCTCTTTACTAACAGATAATTCTTTCACCTTTTGGATCACGTAAAGTCGCCAAAATTTGAGTTTTGTGACTGGATTACACTGGTCAACGTTGAGATGGGAAATGTTGACATCAACGAGCTTATCGAACAATACCATTTTTGAGAGGCCGCATTCACTGAAGAAAACTTTTGAAACTACTCAACCGGAGAACTCCCGCGCCTCTTTTCTTGAAATTCTGTCACGTAGTTTCCAAAATACACGACTGCTAGTAGATTTAGGGGAATTATTTATAATCGTCCGGTGTTTAGGGAAAATCAAAAATAACCGTCAAAATTAAGCGTGATTCAACTACAAATAATTATTTTCAAACACACACTGAAAAGTGAGCTAAAAATTATTTACCCGAACGTAATTGAATCCAAGCCGGGTATCTTCGATCTTAGCCTCGGTAACTTGTCTAAAAACGCGGCACCTGCAGCGTAGCGAAGATGAATCGAGAGAATCTGGCTTCCCAAGTTAGCCGACGCTTTTAATCGGGTCAAGCAATCATAGCTTCAAATATTCAATTTGCTCCTTGTTGACCTCTTTCCTAGGACTTTATCCGCGTGCTGTATTGATTCAGTTCCGAAGAAGCGTATTGTTTTGCTCTCCGGCCAGAATTCGATCAAATGAGAGTCGCCGATATCAAGGACGGTGACCTGACCCGAAAAGGGGCTCAAATCGGGACTGACCATTTCCGCCGCATTTTTACGATCTTCGCTTTTCCATAATCTTTTGACCGGGTCACCAACAAGCAGATCTTAGTTGAATAAAATCTCAAGCTGTGGTCACCCTACCTGACAACATTATCTATTGCGAGTTGTCTTCGTTGACTCCTCTTCTTAGCAAGCTCCTCATTTCTCTTCTTTTCTAATTCTTTCTTCAACAAACTAGAGGCCATTCTTCTCTCTTCGTCTGAAACCCTTTTGGTATCAAGCATTTTGAGTTTGACTCCTGATGCTAGAATTGTGTAGCGGTAGGATGATTCAAATGTCAGTGGATTTCCGTCTAAGGTTAGTTCTTTTAAACTTGTCGAGTCGCCTAAACACCAAATGTCTTCCCACTTTCGATTTTGTTGTAACTGAGGTACACTTGACAAGGGAGACACAGATGAAAATATTTCGATGACAATTTCTATCTCGCTTTCCTGAAGCCAAAAATGGCAGCTTCTCTAAATCTTGGACACTGACTACTTGATTACGGCTCACGTTCAGCTCGGCCAGACTCTCTTCAGAGAAAATGATTAGTTTCACGGTTGAGGAAAGCCCACCTACCGAGCTTTTGGAGGCCATGAACCAGTGAAATTTTATTCCCCGCCAAGTTGAGCACGCGCAAAGATGACTGTTGCGCCAGACCGGAGAGATCCGAGATATTGTTCGAGTGCATATCCAGTACGTCCAGTTTGGTTAAAGTATCGAGTCCGTGGATTCGGTCGATTTTGTTCTTTCCGAGCATCAGTACTCGTAGATTGATAAGGGGCTGTAAGTGAAAGAGATTGGAAATCTCATTGTCATAGAGATCCAAAAACACCAGGTTCCACAAATACTTCAGATTCGTCAGGTCGGTTATTCTATTCTGCTGCAAGTTGATAAGCTTGAGCGATTCTTCCTGTCGCAGATCCGGGACTTTCTCTAGTTGACGATTTTCAAGATCGATTCTTTCCAGCAGTTTCCGATCTTGATTGGATTCTCTGGCAGCTCTCTTTGAAGAGCCAGGACGGGAGGAAGTTCTTGATGGACGGGTTGAGCTCATTGTAGAGCCATCATCTCGCAAATCGTCCTGGTAGGCTGATCTTCTATCTCTAACAACGAAAGCGGCATCAACAAGTCCCGCCTGGCCCAGTCTCTGATTCTGATTGAGCTCATAACTCGCTCCGCCGCGACTCGATGGCTCATTGAATCTATGCTTGGGATCACTAAAACGATTCATCAAGACTTTTTGATTTCCGCCACGTGCGGATGAAAAAGATCCCGTTTCTAGTAAATCCTTCAAATGACTTGTCGCTCCTGCTGCGGCTCGGCTCTCGTCTTCAAAAAGTTCAAAAACGTACATGTCAAAGAATTTTATTATCTCATGTTTTGAGGCTAAATTTCGAGACGTTTACAACTTCCTGTAAGGCTCCTGGTACGAGCGATTTTGGTTGCGATCCCGTCCACGAGATCCATCCTGGGGCGAGTTCTGAAAGATTCTATTCATCCCTCTATTCTGCAGCGTTACACGATTCCCATAATTATTCGCAGCCGCCCTTTCTTCTTGTCTTATTTCGAAGCTGCCCTGGCGCCTAGCGCGTCTGATAGACTCCGGCAAATTCTGGGCTAGGAAATGTTCGTACGCTTTGGGGATGGTTTTTCTATTTTTACCCGGAAGTGCTTGTAAATTGAGATTTATATGAGCCGGAAAGACCGATTTGGATGAGCGGTTACGATCCATCGCTTCGTCCGATTTCGTGCGTTGGCTCAATCTGAAAAAATGAAGCTTTAGACATGTAGCTTGGTATTGTGTAAGAGTTTTGAAATATCCAAATTATTACTGGGCAAAATAAATGAAAAATATACGAGAGAAATAAAACTGGAATGTAAATCGAGCGGCACCTTACCTCAAAATCAACTTCCGGGCAATTTTTTCTGGGTTCAGCTTCGCATTCCCAGAATTCAGAATCGGAGGGTTCCCAAAGTTTTCACTGCTCATTTTTTGAAGAAAAAAGCGTGACGATAAAATTTTTGGTCTGGTGCCGCCCGACTGTGTTTGTTATCAATGATAAGAGGGAATAAATGAACTGTATTTACCAAACAGACTGTCACAGTACACCCTCGAGGGGGTGTCAATAAGTCTTTTCGCAGAATCTTCGTTTTCTTGAATTCTCTAACGCCACAAAAGAGAAACTTTGACAAGGGTCCGAAAATTAGATGAAAGAAAAGTGCAAATACTTCAATTCATTCGTGAAGTTTTATTTTTGTGAAAAAGTATTTTTGAACCCTTTGCAATACTCCTTGGGCCAAGTTTTACTTTTATTCCGCGACCGAGGGAGTCAGTAAACGCTAATTACGGATTAATAAAAAGTGTTAAATTAATAAAAGTCAACTTTTTAATAACCCTGTCAAGATCTGTCTCGATTTCCAAAGAATTCACCGCCACTGCCGTAAAGTAGCCGTCAGGGCGCATGCCAAAGATCGCACGTGAAGAATTAGAGGGGAAGATCTTCGTGCCCGGCGAAAAGAATTTGCTGAAATGCGCCAAATGGTAAAACATCGGAAGTCGGTAAAACTCGTCTTTCTCCACATCGACCAGTGTCGGTGCGTTCCGATGATTCTCTGCCCAATTCGGGCCGCCGGACATATCTAGCGCCAGATTCCAATCTACCCAGGCAGTAAAGCCGATTTTGAAGTTTTGAATGATGTCGAGGGAGTAGTCTTCTCTATTTCAAGGGTCTCAAAGGTGCCCAAAAATACGATATTTTCGAAAATTTCAAGACCCAAGCCCATGCTTCCACGAAAGTCCCAATTCTCTGCCTTTAACTCCTCTCGATGTACAAGCTTCTGACGCGATAAACTCATGATTGGGTAAATTTTTCTTCAAATTTTGTGACACCGACGCAGGAACAATTTTGTCCCAGTACCAGTGAAGCGCAATTCCAGTCGTTTCGTTGCGAACTACTTCGCTGGTCATGAGATAATCGATGTACTGCCTGAGGATTATTCTGTTGTCGTCAAACAGCCAAATCTTTGTTGAGCTGTTTCGGAATTCCGGAATAAGATCGAACTCGAGCCAATCTCGAAGGTCTTTGGGACTCCAGCCGAGCGCGTTCCACGCCGAATCGATGAAGAGGCCCATTGTTGGCTCATTTTGGCTCGTTACAGCAATTATCGACACATTTTGTTCTCTCATTTCATCAACGTATCTTCTGTAGTATTTCGCAAGAGTTTTGTGATAAATGTCTCCAGGAGATCCACGCAGCTTTCCGATGCCGTTGAACTTTCCGTTTGTTTTAAGCCAGACAGGAGGTGACCACATTGACGCAAAATAATCGATACGATGGGAAGTAAATTTCTTTGCGGCAGTAATCACGGGAATACGCCACTGCAAGTCGATTTCAGAAAGCTGAAAATTCTCGAGTTCAAAATCTGGGCCCTCGTCATTCAAAGTATACGGATATTCGCTGAAATCTGTACCACCGATGGGTAATCTGACGAGAGAGAATTCACTGCCATTTTTGCCAAACCACCCTCGAAGCATTTCGTTTTGAAGAGCAGGGCTCAAATTTGCATATTGCAGCAAAGTTGCATCTGTCAAAGCTCCTCCAAATCCCCTTACTGTTTGTTCTGGTGCCTCCCAGCTGACTTCTGTGTTGAATATGCTTTTCTCATTGAACTCAGCGTCAAAGTCAATCGTCTCGCTAATAAACCTCGACTCACGCCGGTTACTCCGCACTGCTAGAATTTTCCCATCAGGTGGGTTCTCTACTACCAAATCGTCACAATACTGACTGGAGCATCGACAAAGAGAAGTATCAGACGCAAGAAGGAAAACCGGATCACAATGGCGGGCGGAACTCTGAGCGATGAAAACGCACCCTGCCAGTCCGATTTTCATTCTATTAAATATTTTCTGTATTTTCTTGATATTTTCTTTTTTTATTAGCAGCGAATTGAAGAGTGCAAAGGCCACAATGGTAGTGAAGGGATATTTCAATTTTGGTAGTGATAGAGTGATTTTTTTTATTGAAAGAATTATTTTTTTTCTATTTTTTTGTGATTTGATTTCTTCCAATGGTGAAGCACCAGTTTGGTGAATTGTCGATGATGCAGATTTTAAACCTTGGGGTTGGTGACTCGACCAGGTAGAAACTTAGAGCTGCTGATGGATGCAGTTTCGACGTTTTCAGATTTGTGGCAATCACTCTCGAATACAGGCTCATCGAAGACGCTACTTCCTGCAACGAAGGATTCGATTCGGGAAGGTTGAATCTCGGAAGTTGCATTGTCCACCGGAATCGATGAATTGCTTATATGATTTGAGCGAGGATTGTTCATTGTGGAGAAAGATGAAGTGACATCTCGTGCTGTCCCTTGTAAATTACCTCCTGGAACAAATCGTGAATATCCAGGAGAAACCCCGCGACGGCCACGACCTCCTCCGCGCCCACGTCCAGCACGTCCTCTTCCTCCTCTATGACTGGCGTATTTAGTGTTAAAGAAGCGTTTTGATCCTTCCGACTCTTCTCTTTTGAATTCCAAGTCTTCATAATCAGGCCCGAGTTTTGTGACGTAAATTGTGGAGGTCTCTTTGGAGAAGTAAATCAGCCGTCCATCATCGAGAAGTTCCAAACCACAGGGGCTGCTGACGAAATTGTGCATGAGAAGGCCAAGGAAATCACCAGTCTTCGTGAAGACTAAAATACTGAGTTAATAAATAGGAAAAAACGCGGCTTCTTACTCTTTATTTGGTTGTTGGTTTCGTCTGCAACGAGGAAATTGCCGTGGGCATCAACCGTGATAGATCCTGGCCTGCCAAAAAGCTCATGTTTTTTCGATGGTTGGAGGTTTTCAGAGCCGATTTGCCGACGCAAGTTTCCTTCCAAATCTGTCAAATATAGTTGCCGTCGTCCAACGTCGGAGATATAAAGCTGATCTCCCCAAGAGGTCATGTAGCCAATTTTAACGTCGTCAACGATAGGAGTCTCTCCCGATTTTGACTTATCGAGCCATTTGAGTTCGAGCAACTTCGGTTTTCCGTACATTTCATCGTCTGCAACCCTCCACCGGATCAAATACCATTTCGCCTTGTAGTGGCCGTCCGTCGTTTCTAGCATCGCCACCGTGCACAGTCGAGCCTCTGGGCGATATGGATCGCCAAGACACATTGTGACGCCTCCCCACTAACACATTCAATTCAATAACCTTTACTTGAATCATGACCTTTTACCTTGCAGAAGCGAAGCCCCTTCTGCTTGATTTCCTTCGGGAGTTTCCAGTCTCGCATCTTTTTCATTTCCTTCGCCTCGAATTGTTTAATGTGGCTATTTTCCGGCTCTTCCTCATTGTGGCAGAGTAGAAAGACTTGAGTCACAGGCACGATTTTCTCTTGTTTGGCGTTTCTCAAGCCTTCATAAAACTGCTCGACTTTTGGACATGTGTACATGCACATGTTAATGCCCCATTTAGCGATAGAAGCAGAGGTCGAAACAACCCCCGTCGTTGTTCCGCTTAAAAATTGTTACAAGAGAGTTGAATCATTTCAGATTTCATACTTGTAAATTCCTCGACTTTCCAGTATCTCCTCAGCTCCATAGAAAGGACCTTGATCTTTGAGAACTTGCGGGAGGCTGAAACTCTGGACACGTCTGTTTCCTCGCTCGTAAACGTAGTAATAAGTTCCATCACCCTCTCGAGAGTCGACGATCGCATCCATCGGTTGGAGCATTGAGCCTCTGTCATATCCCTGGTTTCCTCTTGACTTGATGATATTTGCAATGACAGGGAAGTATTGCTTCCCTCCCATACTTGGTGTCCAACCATCAGAAATCACCTCTGAATCTGTCTTCATTTCTCTATTCACCCGAGGAGTTCCAAGTTTAACCAGATTCTCCAAATCAACCTTTTTTAACACTCCGTATGGGACTTTCTCGACGTTAATGTAGTCACAATAATCCTATGAAAAAAATATGAATAAACTTCAAATATTTGAAAGGGCAAAAACCTTGATCGAAGTGAGAGTCTCACGAGCAGGAGCTCTGTGTTTCCAGCTCGCTGGGATAAGATCGTCGTCAGTTGAATCGCCCTCAGAAGTTGAACCACCACTCACTTCGATTCCTTTCTCTTTTAATTTCTTCTTCTTTTTCCCCTTTTTCAAGTTTCTCACGGGACCAAGTTTTCTATTCAAGTAAATTCCGCTCGGTTCCACATCAGGAATAGCATCAAGCAGCTTCTTTACCCGGAACATCGATTCAGCCTTTCTGGCTTCTTGTGCAGAAGCTTGCTGCTTACCTCTTCTTGCCTTACTTATCCGGCTGAAACTAAATCGAGATTTGAAATGAACAATGAGCAATAAACATACTCAGTGACAGATGAAGGAGCGTACGAAATAGTTTCTGCTTCTTCATCTTCGCTCTCTTCCTTGATTTCAGATTTCGGCATTCTTAACTTCCGGCCACTTCTTGACGACACTAGCGCCGGAGACTTCCGTGAACGCTTGGATATTCTGCTAAAACTGAAAAAATGCTTTATTTAATAATTTTAGCTTCTAAAAGATCTAACCTGGAAAGAGTTGATCCCGCGAAGGAGATATCTTCCATGGTTTCAGCTTTCGTGGATCCTGTTGTCGACAAAGTCCGCGTCGCCTTCTCATTGTCGCTATTACCAGAAGAATCATCATTCTTCGATTGCTTTTTCTTACTTGAGGTACTCTTGTGAGAGCTTTCACGGCCTTCTAGCCGGACGCTATCAACGTAAGAGCACACGATCTCATCCTCCTCTTCTGAACTCGAAAAGTCGAGATCAGGGCAATCTTCTTTCACTGGGAATGAAAATCTGCACACTGCATCTTTCACGTCTCCGGGCGGATTTTTGATCAGATCGCTGAAAGTCTTCTCGATCTTCTTCAGTCGTTTCTGGGCCTGACTCTTAGCTGTGCCACCTTCGTCTTCCTCCAGCAGCTTGATTGTGGCGTCAACATGCTTATGGACCTGTTTCGCCTGAAATAAATAATCATAAGGTTTTATAAAAAAAAGAGTACCATCTTGAGCTTTGCCATAGCTTCATCGATGGCATTGTCGCTGATCTCGTCGAGCTTCTTGCGCGCTTCTTTCGGATCGAAGTTCTCGAATCGTTCGAATTTCTTTTTCAAACCACGAAGTTTCTTTTTCACTTCGTCACTTTCCTCCATTCTAAATAAGAATTTGGCTAAACTCGGCTGAAGAATATTTTCATTTATTATTTTTCTTTTCTCGTAAGTGTGAAGCATGTATCCGTGAGCTTTTGTCTGATAGAAGAGTTTTAAATCTCAAATGTCTACGCTAAAAACAAACCTATGCCATAAGTTAGAAAAGAGAAGAATGAGGAGATTGACGATAAATTGTTTTCAAGTCAAGATCACTCTCCGACCGACTCCGTTGGTGGCATGGCCTCGTCGATGGGCTCTTTAGCCACACAAGAATCCTGCCCTGCAATAGAATCAGTGATTTCTGATTCCTCTTTTTGAGATATAGAGTCCGACTTGGCGTCTATGTCAAGAATAGACGCCTTTAACGGCTCACTTTCAGAATTAGGCGGTAAAACCCCGTTATCGTCCACTCTAGGACATGGTTCAAGACCTTGGGATTCATTTTTAGTGTTCTGCTTATCAACAAGACTAGTTGTCTCGCCTAAAGCTGTCTGGCCGTCCTGGTTAGACCCTGGCTCAACAACCATACTCGATGGCTGTTCGAGAGTCTCTGGCTCCGGAAGATCCGGCGTTTCACAATCCATAGCAGCCGGCGGATCTGATGCTTTCGAGGGCTCAGATGGAGGGGCTTGATCCGAAGTCGGGATTGATGATGGTCGAGGTTCTTCGCCACTTGGACTCTTTCAAATATTTTGAGATATTTTATTCGAAATCAAATGTTTACCTGTTCGCGGGAGCGTTTTGCGACTGAGTGCGAGAATTCTTTCAATCGCTGCACTTCGTTTCTTTACTCTTCCGCTGCCCGGGCTTGACTTGTTGCTCGTGTCTAAAGATTTGACAGAACTTTCGTGGGACTCTGTTTCAGCTCGTTGATTGTTTCCAGCTGGAGAGGTGTTGTTTTGTTTTGGAGGAAGTTTATCTCTTTTAGGCGAGACCATGGAAATCGCAGCCGGCAACTGAAGTGGCGCAGGAGCAAGTGGTAGGAGAGAGGAGGGCGTGTTCTGTACAATTTGTGAAGAAGGTGATTGAAGTTGTGAAGAGTTTATCTTTTTGTTAGCACTGGTTGGGCTCGAGTTATTGGAGCCTGATTCTTCTAGTTTTCGTTTTTGCTCGCTCCGACGTTTGATAATTTTTGCCTTTTCGGCCGCGATCAAGTCTTTCTGACGCTTCAAAGCTTCTTGAACCATTTTTAATCTAAATTGAGCTTAAGAAAATATTCACAAAATTTAAATTCAACCTCTTTTGCTCATAAGTAGAATCTTTCGCCTTCATTTGCTCATATTTTTCGTTGTGATGATCACCCAAGAAATGCGCTGTCATTTCGGCCTCTGTACGGATGATTTTCTCGCAGAGTTTGCATTTGAACGCTTTCACGGGAATGAAGAATTCTGATCCTTGCGCGAAGGGCGGAGTTTTTCGGAGAGCTTCTTGCATTTCATCTCGTTCTTTGGAGAGTTTAACAATTGGTGGAAATAGGAAGATTACCTTTGATTTGTTTCTGGAGAACATCTAGTCGTTTTTCCCAAGGTTTCTCGCTTTGTGGAAGTTCTTTTGTATAAGCATCAGAGTGAAGATGCTTCAGCAACTCTCCAATCGAGCTGACCCATGTTTTCGTTACGGCACAGTAATGGCGATTCGGATCCCTAAAGGTCATCAAAGACGCTTTTATCGGCAAAGGAGCCCCCTTTGCCGGTTTGGGATTATTCTCTTTCTCCATCTGGCTGTTTTGTTTTTCAGTGGTTGTGTTTGTGTTGATAGGATCGTCAGGGTTGCCAACCTTTCTTGGTGTTGGCTTCGTCGCCGGCGTGGGCGTGTTTTCGATTGATATCTGCAGATAGGGCTCTTTCTGATTACGCTCTGCCGTGTGAATCTGCTCCGATTGTGTGTTCTGCGCCGCGTTATTCGATAAGTTAAGCTCCGCATCGACGATATCGGCCGCGTTATCGGAAATGTTCGGGATTTCGACGAGCATTTCCTCGCGTCCACCCTTCTCTCGCATTGTTTGTTTATACTTTTTGAACTCGGCGAAGCTCCCGAAACGTTGGCTCTCTGTCTGATCGACGGAGAATGTTCTTTTCGTTTCAGCACTTTTCATGGCGGCTTCGCGAAGTCTTCGGGAAAAAATTATCTAGAGATTTGAAAAGCAGCCGCTTACCGGTCTAATTCGTCGTCTTCGTCGGGCTCTTTTGAGTGATTCTCGGTGTATTCAGCTTCTTTGGCTTGAAAATACTGCTTGAACATTTCGTTTAGCTTCTGGTTCATTTCCAGGCGTTGTCTTTCCATCATTGTTTCAAGAACCTGAACGGGACTCTCTCACCAGCTCTATTTTTGTTTAAAAACCTGTGTCATGTATCCAGTCACTCTCTGGAACTCTTCAGGGATGCAGAGTTGATTCTGTCTCTGTCCAAATTGATTGGAATCAGTTGACATTGCCGGTACGTATTCATCCTCATTTTCGATTATTTCCGGTTCATAAGGCTCCTCGTAATCGACTACAACATCACCCTTTTGGTGATCCTCCCGTTTTCTCGAGTCCCGATCCCTAGAACGCGATCGGTCCCTGCCACCTCGTCTAGATTTACGAGAGGAAGAGGATTTCGGGTGGTTTAATTCATCGAGAGGATTTTCCACAAGTGTTTTTTCCTGATTAGACCTTTGAATAGAAAAATGAACAGGTTCCGAATTCGGATCATAGGGACGCGGCGGGGGTGGAATATCGACAATCCTGCCTGGCTGATCGACAGGGTGGGGGTGCCAACGCTCGTTCGAGTTGGGATCAGAGTAGCGCGGGCTCTCATTATTCCCGGGAAGAAACACCGGAGAGTCGGGAATAGGATTCGACTCCTTGTGCGGAGAAGTCTGATAGAAGACCCGAGGACTGACGGGTCGACGGGTATCCAAATCTTCACCGTGAGGATTTTGTTGAAGAATCGACTGGCGCTTTTCTAGCTCCATCTTTCTTGGCTTTTGAAAACATTCAGTTAAAAAATGAAATCTATGAAACCAAAAAGGCCTGAGAATGATGATCGTATCGTGGCGGTTGTTCTTGCTCGTAATCGTGCACTTGTGGGTATCGCTGGCCAGGCATGACTTCTCGCTGGACGTTACTTGAGAAGCCATATCTGTTAATATCAGCTTCGTGATGTTGAGACGACCAGTTTTGATTCGGCTCCCAGGGCGGTATTCTTTGATCTTCAAGATGATAATTCTCCTGAATATCATAGAAAAGTGACTTTTGAGAAAATTTCAATCAAAATCCTGAATTTAAAATGAGCTCTATTCAATAGCACATAATCATGCTCGACTAACATGTTGAGGACCAGGATTAGCCGGCCTACTTGGCCCCATTGCTTGATCTCTCCCTCTTCCCTGGTCGAATTGAGGCTCCCTCTGTTGCCAATTTTGCTGATTCGAGTTTCCATTATTTCTACTTCTTCCTCCTCTGTTGCTTCTCGAGTTGTTCCGATGGCCCCCTCTGTTCCTCATCACCGTGCTCTTCTTTCTAGAATTGTGTGCGACCATGGGTTAACTTTTTTGAATTTATTCCGAGTGCGCGCGCAGCCCCTGGCGTAGGCTCTTTTACGCGATTCTATTGGCCCTTACCTTCTTCGCCAGAAAAAGAAAGCTTTACTTCACGTGTAATTCTCTTTTTTCTCTTCTCTTAGAGCGTTTCAAGAAGAATCAGTTCGAGGGAAAGTTCCAGAGAAAATGGCTTTACCCGCCGATGCGCTAGAATTTAGCGTCAATCAGGAAATCAAGGGGAACAAGCACAGTGGCAAATTGCGGCTTACCAGTCAGTCGATTTTGTATAAGGACAGCGTCACTGGAAGAGTAAGTACACTTTCTTTCTTTTAACTTATCAATTGATCTCAAGAGTTTATGCTCAAAACTGTTTTTAGAGCGATCAGATTTCGTTTGATGACTTGGACGAAATCTCCTGGCGCCGGGTTGCTGACGGAAATCAACTAAAAATTGAGCTCCTCAGCGGAAAGATCAAGAAATACGATGGATTCAAGGATGAACACTTCAAAAAACTTGAAAAATATTTCAAGAACAACCCTGATAAAGAGATCAATCAGGAGGAATTGAGGTAAATTCAAGCTGAAATTGTGCTCTTTTAACTCTTTATTGTAGCATCAAGGGCTGGAACTGGGGCAAAGCAGAGGTGAACAAAGACGAGTTCGCCTTCATTTCTGATGATGGAAAAAGGGCGTTTGAGATTCCGCTTGGGAATGTCTCAAACTGCACAAGCAACAAGAACGAACTGAGTCTCACCTTCCACCAGAACGAAGACGCAAATGCCCTGACCATGATGGAATGTCGTTTCCACATGCCAATGGCAGACGAGAACACAGACCCAGCGGTAGAAACAGCGGCGCTGATCACTTCCAGAGCCGACGTTCTTGAAGCCAAGGGCAACGCTTACCTTACGCTGCCGTCGATTCAGTGCCTCACCCCTCGAGGCAGATACGATGTCAAGCTCTTCGAGAAGTTCCTCCATCTGCACGGTGCTACTCACGATTTCAAAATCACGTACACCTCCATTATCCGACTTTTCCTCTTGCCGCACAAGGACCAGCGACAAGTCTTCTTCGTCATCGCCATTGATCCGCCAATCAAACAGGGTCAAACTCGCTACCCGTTTATCATCTGCGTCTTTGACAAGGTAAAGATAGTCCTTATTGTTCTCAAATCTTAACGAAATCCCGTTCAGGAAAAGTACGAAACCATCAACTTTGACATTGACGAAGCTGAAGTCGAAGAAAAATTTGACGGAAAGCTGCAGAAGGAGATGCAGGGCCCTCACTTTGAGCTCGTCTCCCGCTTGATGAAGGCCGTTACTGGTCGAAAGATCACCGTTCCCGGCAACTTCAAGTCCTCCACTTCGCTTTCTTGCATGGCTTGCTCTTACAAAGCCCAGAGCGGAGTTCTTTTCCCTCTCGAACGCGGCTTCATGTACCTACACAAGCCGCCAATGCACATCCGCTTCGACGAAATCGACAACGTGAACTTTGCGCGAGAAAGCACCAAGCTCCGCAGCTTCGAGTTCCACGTCCAAACGAAGCAGGGACAAAAGCACGTCTTCGGCACTATCGATCGGGCGGAATACAACTGCTTCTTCGATTTTGTAAAAGAAAAGGGACTCAAGATCAGGAACATCAACAAGCACGAGGAGCAGCGTGTTGAGGACTTCTCTGACTCTTCTGGAGGTAAAACTGCTCTTATCTTCATCTATTCAATCCTCATTCAGACGAATATCCTGATCACTACGCCAACAAGCTGAAGGATGAAGTCCGAGGCATGGAAGACGATGACTCCGAATCAGACGATTCCGACTTCGATCCAGGTATTGCCACTTTTATTCGACTATTTCTAAAAGGTTCCCTCAGACAAAGCTGATCCAGAAGCGAAGGAAGGCGGCGATGAAGAGTACGACTCTGACGCTGCCGACCGATCCACCGACTCAGAAGATCGAAACTCATCGGTAATTAAAGCTGTTCTCTCGCTCAAAGAGTTACCAATTTTCAGGACGAGTCCGAGGATGAAGAAGAAAGAAAGCCCAAAAAGAAGGAAAAGGAAAGAAAGCAGCCAAAAGAGAAGAAGGCTCGAAAAGAAAAGGAGCCCAAGGAAGGAAAATCTCGCAAAAAGGTAAACATCACTCTTTTATGAAAATTTCTCACCTCTCAATTTTGCAGAAGAACAAAGATGGCCCCAAGCGAGCGATGTCTGCGTACTTTTTCTTCATCAACGAAGAAAGAGAAAAGATCAAGGCAGATAACCCAGGAATCAAGATCACCGAAGTATCCAAGATTGCTGGTCAGCGCTGGCGCGAGATTGAGTAAGTTAACGTACTGGCGATCTTAGTATAACTGAGTATTCTAGTGCCAACGACAAGGCGAAGTACGAGGAGAAAGCCTTGAAAGACAAGGAGCGGTACGAACGCGAGAAGCGCGAATTCATCGCTGCTGGTGGCGAAATGACCGTCTCCAAGTCCTCGCCAGCTAAAAAGGCGAAGAAATCGTCCGCCGCGCCGGCCAAGTCACCAGCAAAAACTTCAGCCAAGTCCGCTGAATTCGTCGCCTCGTCTTCGTCCGACTCCGATTCCGACTAAACTAGACCAATTCCATCTGCACTGCCCAGTTATTCACTCCCAGTCCCTTATCACTGCCCATTATTCCTCCAAACATATGTTTTTGTTCACCCAAGCTCATGCCTAACCCTTGCCCTAACTCAGACCGTCATTGAGGATACGAGATGTCGGAAGCTGAAGTTGCCCCAACCCCCGCCGCTGCCCCAGTCGCTGCCGCCGCTGGTTTCACCGTCGAGACCGCCGTCCAGGAAGTCCTCAAGCAGGGTAACTTCCAGAACGTCCTCTCCCGAGGTTTGAACGAGGCTGTCCGAGCCCTTGAGCGACGAGACGCCATCGTCTGGTAAGAAATCATATTCTTTCTCTCATCTTTACGCTTCCTCTAGCCTCTTGGCCGAGAACTGCGACGAAGGAAACTACGTCAAGCTCATCGAGGCTCTTGCCCGAGAACACTCCATCCCAATGCTCAAGATTGGTGACAACAAGACCCTCGGCGAGTGGGCTGGTCTCTGCAAGCGAGATCGGGAGGAGAACGCCCGAAAGGTAAGATTTCTTGTCAGGTGTTGGTTCTAACGATTTACAGGTTGTCGGATGCTCTTGCGTCGTCGTTCGATCCATCGAAGACTGCGAAGCATGGGACTTCCTCCAGGGACAGATCCGAACCCAGGCCTAATCAAATCGACTCAAACAAAAACTGTTCAAGTCTGCCACTAACGCTCCGATATGAATAAAATATTGTGATGCTGTAAATCTTGTTTTCATTTGCTCATTCATTATTTCAATTATCGATGCAGGATTATTTTAAGATTTCTTTATTGACAGGTTTCGAAAGCATTTTACCAGCAATCAGTTTGGCTCTCTTCGACAAAAGGTCGATCAACGGCATTGAGTTCAGTTGTATCGATCCACTCTTTTAGTCTAACGAGCTCATCCATGTCAGGCTCAGGAACTCGTGAAACAAAATGGATGCAGTAGTCGATGCTACCATTCTCATGTTCATCGCAATCGTACTCAATTGCCCAGTCTTCATCGAGGTAGATGACGTTCCAGCTGATTCCTGGAGGATCGTTCCATGGGAAGCTCTGGTAAAAGTTTCCATCAACCATTTCGTCGTTGGGATCGAGTCGACCGGTTATATTTGACCAGCGTCCTTCGATAGGGTCCTGCTTTCTTGATGTGTATGACACGCGCGCAGAAGAACCGATAGGCTTGAAATCGAATCCTGAGCAAACTGAGCCAAGCTGGAAAAGCCCGCCGCCGACAGTTTGATATCTAGCTTGCTCGTACCAGAAGCCGGACATGAGCTCCTGCGAGTAATTTTCTGCGGCAAGGGGATGTGAACATTGCAAAGCTAACGCTCCTGCGGTCAAAAAAAGTAAAGTTTTCATTTTGAATATTTCTGCTGAAGGAGCGAAGAGTTAAATAAGTTCAGTTAGGAAAACATTTTGTCTTTTTCGCACGGAGTAATGGTCGCGTAATCACGCTGAAATATTATGCAACTATTTATTCATCCGAGTTGAACAGATCGGGAGTCGAAGGCTGGGGTTATCGGTTTTGGAGCTTTTGAGTAGCGACGGAAGTTTGGATCCAGAGGAGTTTTTGCGAGAGGCTATTGATGGTTTTATTTATCAAAATCACTTTAGTTATCTAAGGTTATCATTTCCAACTTGGCAATCTTGGATTTAACCATTCCTTGAAAGACTCTTTGACAAGAGACTCCCGGACAAGCGACTTTTCAGAAGCGTGCTGAAAACATGAAACTTGACCAAAAGCAGCACAAAAGATCCGCGTCTTACCGTAATGTTCTTTGTCTCGTAAACTGCGCGGTGGTTCAGTGATGAGTTCATCCGTCGAGTGCGCTGATTATCGGGCCCTGCTTCTGGACGATTATCATAAGCACTGCAAAGAATTATTATTGACCTTAGGAACTAACGCAAATATTTGTGACAGTTATTAAGGCTATCGTTTGACACTTTTGACACTTTTGAGATTATTTTTCAACGTAAAGAAAATCAAACTGGGTGGTCAATTTTCTAATAATATTGTTATTATAACGTATAAAAATGACGTGATGAAGATTTAAATATTGATCGAGTATTGGTCTGATTACATCGAACCTGAAGGGATTCTCGGCGCTGTATTGTGGTCGGATCCGGTTTTTGAATCTTGACGGAGTTTTCGGTCGTGGCGATGGAAAAATCTCTTGCTTTGTTCCAGGTGCAATCTTGTGCCCAAACCAAGAGCCTGGCGGTTCTGGAAGAACTGGAGGCTTGCCGCGCCCTAAAAACTTAATTATTTCAATCGCTTCTCTTCAAAATTGAACAAAAACCAGTAGCTTTTTACCTTTCATATTATTGCATCTATCTCTCTCGGCTCCTAGCAACTCTGATGCTGAGTCAAAGTTTGCGACAGAACAAATTGGGAGCTTCAATTTGGACAAGTAATCCAATTTCGGAAACCATGCTGGAGCCATTTGCGCGCACAACAAAGACGCACTGCCATGCCTCCTTTGTGCGCCTTCTGAGCTTGTTTGTCAGAGCACTAGAAAAACAGTGAAGCTACAGGCTTTTCTTACTTTCAAGGAAGTTTTTTTATTACGTTTCATTTTTAAGTCGGTGCGCAGTATCTTTAATGCTCACAAATAAGCATTTTCGTGATCTCAAGACAAATTTTAACAAAAATACCCTCAATTTGCTGAAAAACTTTTCAAAAATGACTCCTTTGAGCCTCAAAGTTTGAGGAAATATTAAAGAATAAAAACAATTTTTTCATTCATTGTTCCGCGAGCGTCAGTAACCTTTGATGTAAGATATTGTTTCAAAATTATAATTGCAGTAATTAAATTCCCAACGCTTCCAGAAAATTTTCTTATTTTCAAAGCTGAGATAATGCACGTGTTTATATTTTTGACGAGTTTTTGCATGGCGAATCACGATGCGTTATGGGAAAAATATATTGTGGAAATAGAGAACACGAATTTTGCTGATTACGAAAATTTCGTTTCCGCTGAAGGCTTCACTTCTGAGGCATTTAGATATGGACCCATATTCACACGCTTTCTGATTCGTGGTGATCGAGATAAAATCGTCCAAAAAGACTTTGTTAAAACAATCGTTGATTATGAATCCTGTCATGTAAGTCAAAAAATTGATCGCTAAACGTAGGATTGCGGTTTTAGTATCCAGAATATCGGACAACTTCTCAGTCACAAAACTGCTTTTATGACAAAACAAATGAGAAAGAAATCAACCCCACCATTGTCTTATCTCCCCTTGTTACTTTATATAACGCAGATTCTGAGATCGCCATAACCCCGGCAAACGCATTTGACTTCAATGGACAAGCTATCGTAGCTCTCGACAACGTCTTCGGGATCACCTGTGAAAGTGCGCTCTCATCGAAATGGCGCCTATTTCAAGCTGACTTTCTGAAACTACGGAAATTGATAGAAATAATTACCGCAGATCCATCGTTGGGAATATTCAATTATCCATCTTACCGCTTCAAGATCGACTCATCTTTTACACATTGTCTCGAAAGCACTGGCGAGTTCTGCGAACATGCGTTTCCCAGAAAGCTTCTTTGCGAAGAGGTTGAGCCTTCCTTTGGCGCTGCTTGTGATCAAGAGAATGAAATAAATTTGTCATTTTCTGAAGATTCAGGACTAAGTTGAGAAAATTAAGACCATTGAGCTTGACTAAATTTCGATAACTTATAAAAGCGAATCTCACTTTACCACTCTTTGGCATCAACAATGACACGTGCTTCAATCAAACAGAAGAAATCCTTACAACAAAGAACTTTCAGCATCGTGCCTTCGGAGAACTAGAACCCTCGCGAAAAAATGTTGGGAACGGCATTAATATCAATTTGACGACAACTGATCTGCTTGGAGAGTGCGAATGGGCGTGTTTTGTAACAGAATCCTGTACTGGCTTTTCAGTATCAGCAATTTTCGAAATATGCGAGATCTTCTTTGAAGAGGATCTGCAAAGCACAATTTATGTCGGTTTCGAAGGTAAAAGAATCATCACTGGACCATATTTTGAATTCTCAAATCCTTGTTCGGGTTCGAAAGGCTCCGATGTAAATTATGACGACGATGACGATGGCGATGGAAGCGATCGGAATAACCAAACTTATGGCAATCATATTTCCGTGGACGAGGATGAGTTTTTCTTTGGCGACTTAAAAATACCAGAAAAGATATTTACTGATTTACTGATCCAAGAAAACAACGAGAAAGACGCGGCGATCATTTTTTTTAACGGAGAAAAATTTGATGCGGTCAACGACGACCTAAAATATCTTTGCATAAATGGCTTGAAACTTGAGTACATCAAAGATATCAATGGCATCTATGATTGTGACTGGTTCTTTGGAATCGGAGAAAATACAACTTTTACAGATGGCGATGAAGAGAAGGCATATTTCTTTCTTTCGACGGTGGTCGATTTTTTTGGCGAAGGTATTCTCGATTGTCTGGACTCAAAGAACTTTGTTTACGCCTGGAACGGAATAACAGGCGGCTATATTTGTGAAAATTACCATTTGAACTTCACCATCGAGTTAGAAAATCCATTTCTTTCCGAGCTCCATGTTATAACGCCCAAAAACGAATCAGCCGCGAATCTAACGAGCTTCATTAATGAGTTTGATACGATTTTTTACAAAAAAGACGACAATATTTTCGTGAATGTTGGCTGGCTCGATTTCGAAAGCGGAAAAGAGCGTTGTGATCAGAATGGAATGAGCCTCTTGAGCAAAATCAGTCAATTGGAAGACGTTATAGAACTTGTAACATCTAAAAATCTTGATGAAAATCGACGAATTTGGCTAAATCTGAAAAATGAGATTCTTGCTGACCCTATTTCTGGATTCAATTTGAATTCGAAGAACATTTTTGTCAACTACAATCAAAGCTTTTATTACCCAGAAGAGTCTGATTTCTCTAACTCCTGGTGCGTTGGCGCCTATTCGGACAATCAAGTCGATTTAGGTGTTGCTGATGGACTCAGATATTCCAGAACAGAATTTCTCTACAAACTCGATGATGCTCTGGTTCTTTCAGCGTCTTTGGGTGTCGATATTGTTACCGAATTAGAAGTTGACTTAGAAGATTTAAAGCTGTTTCTTGAGAAGAACCCTGATCGAGTTTATAAAGGCCAGGAATTTGAGGGATACAAATACTTCATCTTCAGCAAGTCAATTGAAGGCGGAAATTCTATTCAAACTGTGAGTACGAGTCTTCGACTCACTGATTTCGAGGGAATTGAAAACTTCTGCGGGGATTCTTTTGGATGTAGCCCGGATCCCGCTGACGAACAAAGAATGAAGGACGAAATTACAAATTCTACTCTCGAAGCTCTTCCTGGCAGAGACATCACCATCGATTTCAAAAGCTGGGCGCGTGGCTCTGTTGTTTGCGACTATGATATTGTCGAAACTGTTCCGCTTGCGCTAGTTACTGACACTTATGTCTCCCCGATGGATTCTTTTCTAGCGTCGATGTCGGTTTTTGACAAATTTGGAGTCGATAAAAACTTTACCGAAGGATTCACTCAGGCATCAGAAGTAATCGAGTGCAAGACGGGCTATTTTGCTTGCGACTTCGGAAATATTTTAAAACCCGGTGCACAAGTGAAGAAAAAGTCTGCTTGTTTACCTGATGTGCTCAAATGCGATGGAATCTTACAGTGTCCTACAGGTTTTGATGAAGACGGCTGCGCCAAAATAGAATTCCTAACTGATTCAATACCTCTCAAGCCCGAGGGAGAGTACGTTCTTTACGATGGTTATATTTGGCTAGCCTCTACCGATTTCAGCAACGCACATTATCCTGGAAGTTCTTTTCAATCATGGAATTTAAAAACAACTCCAGGGCTTGCTTTTCTTGCGTCATTTATCCACTTCAACACGGAATATGACCGTCATAGTGGATCTTGCGCTGATAAACTGGAATTCAAGCTTCTAAATGGAGAAGCTCTGTCTTTTGTTTACGAATTCTGCGGTGATATGGAGAGCGCATCTGTTCCATTTGTTCCTCCAAGATCTCTTCCGATTCTTTCGACTGAAGTAGAAATCGAATTCGAGTCTGATGCATTCACTGACTACGACGGTTTTCTCGTACGAATCGATATTGTTCCAGCGTCTCTTATTCAAGCGATGTTTCATATCAAAGGGTCAAACGGGGGAAAACGATTTGCGACAATCGACAGATTCCTGTTGAATGGGCGTGTGACGGTGAAATTGACTGTTCTTCTGGCGCTGACGAATCTGGTTGCTCGGTTGGCTCCCATCCCAAAAGACATCAGCACTGGTCAAACGATGGTCTGGAGAAACATTCCTTCCTTTATGGAGATTTTACCCCCATCGATTTGATTGAAAATGATCTTGAAGCGCTTGCTATATCAGAAAGAGCAGAAAAACTTGGACTTTCTAATGATACCTTCTCTTGTGGTAATTACACGATGCATGGCATCTTCGAATGCGACGGATTTGTTGACTGTTTACTTGCTGAGGATGAGCTCGCATGTACTGATACATTTCAAGAAGAGCTTGTTGACCTGGCTGAATCGAATTCGCTTCAAATGTTGGAGGGCGTCAGTCGATTGAAAGTGAGCTCACCTTTGACTTCAATATCGAGCGATGGTTTTCCAAATGAGAATCAGAAGAATTTTCGCTCTCTTCTATACTTATCTGGACCAGTAAATAGCATCTTCATCATCTACCCAATTCATTTCTATCTTCCGAGTGTAACTGGATGTCTCTCAAATCGTCTTGACATTCACGATGGTGGGTCTTTGACAGAAAACCTTATTTGGTCATTTTGTTCTTTGCCATCGAACATACCAGCCAAGATTACGACTAAGACAAATGAAATTGTTTTGAATCTCAAAATCGACTATGGTGACTCTGGAAAATTTCTATTTTTGATAAAAAATATCGAAGTCTCAGGCGCTTACAACGAAACAGAGCCAAGTTGTGAAAGTTGGCCTGTTCAATATTTAAGAGCTTATCCGAATTTGTTTATTAACTCGGACGATTCGACTTGTAAACCGTTTGCTGGAGATGATTATTGCTTCCAGAATGGAACGCTTGAATCCTGTTCCCAAGGTGTCTCGTTCGATTGCCCACCGACAACACATCAGTGCTCATCGGGAACACAGTGCGTTCCCTTCAGCAAGGTGTGTGATTTAATTCCAGATTGCCCAGCAAGAGATGATGAAGAATCCTGTCAATTTAACTCTGAAGCTTTTGAGATTCCAAATCTCGTGGACTCGGACGCTCGATTGAAGGCATTTACACCTAATGCTCAACAGAACGAGTTTATTCTGCTAGCCCTTTTTGATCTTTCAGCGAGCAATTCTACTGGAGAGCTGAATATTGACGGACAAAATATGAGCTTGAATAAAAACCTATTGTTTGTTAACGGAAATATTACATCTTTGGACATTGCTTCAGACGGTCATGAGCATATTCAGCTAATCAAAACTTACGAGAGCTATACCGTCCTCGATAATGTCTTTACAAACTCACTCACTGATCAGATCATGAACTACGAATCCGGGAAAACATATCTTTATAGCATTCAAAGAACACGATCATTTACTTTGTCCTTCAATCGCTACAATATTGAAGCTGTGAAATCATTCCGGGGAAATTCGGAATTTTGCGTTGACCAATTATTAGTTTTCGATGACGGAATACTCGTTGAAACCATCTGTGGCGAAGGCGAGGACTTTGAAATAGATATTTTGTCCGGCCAGGCGACAATTTTGCTTATTTCTGACAGGCCTGGCAAATATGATTTGAGGAACACGGATATGGATAGATTCATGTCTCTCGTTTTGAAAAACGAGCTCAATTGCTGTGCTGCGGACTGCGCAAGTAGAGTCACTTGTAGCTGTCCTGATGACACTGGGTTCTTTGTAGCGTCTGTTAGTGAAAATCAAGTGAAAAGAAGATCTCTCCAAAGCCAATTTGAAAGCGTTATTCTCAACATGGATTTTGTGAACTGCACACTTGGAGTTCCTTCTGAAGGCTGGACAAACTGGATGAGCGCTGTTACTCCAACAGGGATTCAACTCGCTGGCGTTTATGTTTCCGGCGGAGAAGAGGAGTCAACTTCTAACTTGCGGAATTATTATTCTTTTTGTCCATCCTCGAACATCATCAATGTTGAGTGCAGAGCGAAGAGTGGATCCCCTCTTCATAATTCCGTACAATGCTCAAAATCAGGTGTCTTCTGTCTCAACAGAAATCTAGCCGGAAATCTATGCGATGACCATGAGATTCGCTTCTTCTGCGTTTGCGATGTTCAAGCGACTTTTGAAAATACAACATCTTGTTCTGCAGGATGGGACACACCGCAAACTACCTCACTCGACCAATTAAGAACAGAGGATTTAGAATCAAGGCTAAAATTTCTTAGAGGGATCAATTGCATCAACCAAGCGGGAACTGATCTTAGCGACCTTGATCAAACTGGATTCAACCCGTCGTTTTCATGCAATCTGGCTGATGGATACAGATGTGCTCAAAAAGCTCCATGTCATCCATGCCCGCCTGTGCAAGTTAAACTCTGGAAAAGTTGCTCTGATGACGCAAATTTTACATATTTTGATGATCTGATCATATCGAATGAAACGTCAGTTGTCACTCAAGAAACATTTCTGGATCCAAAGCAATGCTACTCTTTCAGCGGCACTGATAGACTTCTTGGGAATGTTACAAAGGAAATTTGCGATGGAAATTGGTAAAAACATAGCTCAAAACAGATTTACTAAATGAATTTAAGCTGGGCAATCAGCTATTTTGACGACAAAAAGGGCCATGTTTGGGACGAGTTAGGATGTCAAAAGTCTGATTGTGTTCAACAATACAGTCAAAGTGACTGTTTCAGAGCAACTTCCGCCGGCAATGGTCAAATTTGCGTTCATTGCTGTACTACTGATTTATGCAATTACAATATCAGGATTGGTTTCATTTTAATTCGCAAAATCTGATTTTTTATTGTTGAAATTTCAAACTTGGAACCCAAAAAAGCTTCGATGATCCATTTTTGCGAAGAAATTCATCCTTGAAAACGAAATATCTGAGCTGCATTCTTGCTATCTTATATGCTTTGGTTTATAAATAAATATCTATAAAAATGAAAAAAATATTAAATGTAGATTTTTATTCGCGCCTCAGAAGAGAGAGAGAGAGTTCGAACAGCTAGAGTCTAGAATATGAATTCAGTCTTTGAACTTCGCAGTTTCTTGTCAGAGTAGGTCACAGATTGAGGTTAGACGGATTTATCTTCTTTGAGGTTAGGGGTTAGAGAAGTCTGTCGAGGATGAGAAGGGATCAGATGAAGAGAATGAAGACTAAAATAGAGTTCTTTTAGAATTCAAATCAACAATTTTACCGATGAAGAATCGTAGGCCATTCCGCATTTGTGCTCGCATTCCTGGAGGAAATCGAGCTCTTCCGCAGCCCAGTTTGGTCTGGTTCGGAGAGATTTGATCATCGTGCTATCTTCTTGCCAATCTTCGAGGTTGTGGAATTCGCGGTTTTCCCGAATCTTGACCACTTGAACCATGTCGAAAGTTTGCTTCAGTCGGTCGATTTCCGTCTAAATGGAACCTATATTTTCAAATAAAAAGTCACTTTACCTGTTTCTTGCGCCAAGCATCACGATGCTCGCCATCAGAAATCAAGACAAGAACATTGTATTGATTCTCGGAGAGCTGGGCGAGATTGTCGTCGTGGAAATCCATCATTGCGGTCGTAGCCTGAACCATCCCATGAGCATGTCTGTATAACGCTAACCTCACCTTGTATGTATTAGTTGTGGTGTTGAACTGTCGCCAACGAGCAAGTTCGTCTCGAAGCTCAGTTGAGGATCGCCTTTGAGGATCACATCCCATCGGCCACCATTTTTGTTGAACGATTTCGTGATTCGCGGCATACTTGAAGGATCATAGTTAACGAGCGCCAAGACTTTAATAAGCACCTGCATGACAGCGACGTTGGAAATTCCGGGGCGCGACTCAAGATCAAGCTCGTCAATCACCGCCGAAACCCAGTCTCGGACAGTTTTCCATTCTCCTCCATTTGGTCGGCCCGTAACGGAGTCTACAAAGAACATGATACGAAGATGCTTGTTTTTTATACCTGATCCATCAATAATAAAGGCCAGATTCAATGCCTTGCACGGAGAATCGTAAATTTCAGATGGGTTGCTTGGATTTGGCCCATCGACATCAGTTCTATCAAAATCGCTCCCCATTTCAGCGGGGTTGATCGGGTTAAACTCGCCGAAAACATTTGGGCAAAGTGCAGGCTCTGGCGAAGTTTCAAACTCTCGTTCTTCGAAAGGACAAGGATTTTCGCATCTGATGTCGTCACACTCCATGTCCATGATGAAAGAATCGATAGCATTGACAGCTTGTTCTACTGAAATTATTTTTTAACTCGTGATATTTTGTTTTTAATTACATTGAGTTCCATCCACAAAGTTAGAAAGTTTTTGATCCTTGATTCGGTTCAAAAAAACAGCGTCAGGGGCAGTAGGATCATGCGATTTGAAGCTTGGAGCATCCACTGATACAGGAATGACTTTTACTTCAAAGTCTTGCTTGATTCCATCAATTGTCTTCATGATTCCGACTCGCGAGTCCATTGAGTGCCCATTAGAGTGCAAGATGAGAACTTTTTCCGTCTACCAAATTATTAATTTTCAGGATAAAAAAAGTAAAAACCTTATTGGTGAAAATTCCAAGCCGATCACGGTCGGACTGAGACATCGATTCAAATTGAAAAGTCTTTCTTGCTTCATCGATACCAGTAGTTAACTTTGTGCCCATGCCCTTAAACTGTTCAAATGGCAAATTCTTAAGGTTTTCCTTGAAGTCATTGAGGCTTTTATTGGGAGTGTTTATAAGCTTAGTCGATGAAAGGTCACAACGGAAATAATTGGTGTGACCACAAAAAGACCCGGACCGGTTACCGCAGGTGGCCATATAAATCCACTTCCCTAACTTTATCGGCTGCGTCTCCGTTGAACTCGACAAAATGAGTAGATGTCACGGCAATTTCATTGAACTAAGTGCGGTCTAACAGTAATTCTGACAACTTAATTATCGCTAAGTAGGAAATTACGCCCTAGCTAAAGATAGAAACGCAATAAAGTATTTTGTCAGGAATCTTATTAAACTGTCCTGAACAACAGACAGTCTGACTTTTTGACCGCGAGCGTCAGAGTCAGGAATGAGCTTGTCAGCAGTAGCAGCGATGAACTCCTTGGATATCTCCATTCGGAGCGGGTCGCAGTGGCACATGTCGATGGCAAAGATGATGTCCACTGGGCAAGGAATCTTCGGGCAGTTCTGACACTCATCTCGGGTAACTCCTGCGAGAGCCTCTGTATTTTCACAGGAGAAATCGCAGTCACAGTCGCACCATTCACAAGCTCGCTCATGGCAGACAAAAGACTCTTGGACAATTTTTCGGATTTCCTTTGCAGCCCAAAACTGTTTTCGTCCACTACCATCAAGAACCATATTGTTAGTCATGTCACTCAGTAGCTGCTTGTGGGGGCAGAGAGGTCCGTCGCAGTTATCGTAAAGAGCATCAGCTGTGACGGAAACGACTTTTGGCCCCGGGAACTTGTTCACGACGTCAAGCACTTCAGTGTCACTGGATTGCGAAAGACCATTCGAGTACAAAACCAACAATGCCCTTCTCTTCAGATCGTGGTCAAATTGTTTCATCGCGAATTCTACCCCGGTATGGAGGAAAGTTCCCCGCCCATAGAAGTCGATGAGGTCGTGATTGTCCAATATTTGGTAAACATCCTCCAACGTCCATGTCGGATCCCAATCAGCAAGTGAAAATGCAACTTCCGAGACCTCATTGAAGAGCACGACGCTTAATCGGAAATCATCGACCTTTTCTTGGAATTCTTCAGTCAAGTGCGTGACAAACTCGATTGTCTTGATCCATCGGCTGTTATCACAGTGGCAGACATCAAGAGCAACGACAACGTCGACCGGACACGTTACTTTTTTCTCTACACAGCAGTTTTTGCAAAGACACTCTGGTGGTGCATCACAGCTCTCCCAACAGACATCAGTGTCGTCTCCAAGATCTTTTCTTTCGCCAGTGACGAGAGACATTGGCTTGACCTCGCTCTCTCCGAAAAAGTCATTATCATAAGATGGAGCATCATTGAGAAAATCATCTCTGTCGAAGACAAATGCTTCAGAATTTCCGACTCGCTGAGGCTCATCCCCCTGGTAGTCCATAAAAGATGGGTCCCAATACGGCCCCTTATAAATGAATTATATTTAATGGATGTAATTTCTCATACCTTATCAATGAGATCCTTCCAGTCGACTCTTGCTCTCCTGCTTATCCTTTCAAAAACATTCGCCGAGCTTGCAACAGCTGCAAGCAGCGCGTACTTCCTCATCTTTCGTCGGTTCAAACTCTTTCGTCCTGATGCCAATGCCTCTTACAGAAATCCTTGTTTATAAGCAGTGCAATGCCAAAACAAAATTCACCTTGGCCGGCTGAATGCAATCGGTAGGTGGCGCGTGGAAAGCTGCTCTCGTAAAATGCACTTTCTGCGAGCTCGTAAAGCAAAGTGATGATTTTTGTCTCTGGAAGGACGAAATCGACGCAGCGGTCGCTGTTGGCAGTTTCGGTGAGCTTGGCAGGCTAACAATGAACGCACACATTTCCCACAGCCACTTTACAAAGCCGAAATTTTCACAAAAGCGGTCGAAAATGACCATGACACTCGTCCGCTTAGCTGTGCAAACCACGCGTGGATCAGAGTCGAGCACTTCTGATATTGACAAAAGGCTTTCTTTCGAAAAATGCCCTCGTCTTCGATATCCGTAGTTAAACACGGGTAAAGAGGCTTTTGCTGATTACACTTCCTTTTAGGAACTTATAGTTAAAGACTGTAGTTTTCTTCATTTTTATTTTCACTTTATTTACAGAAATTTAAATAACATTCTATTTTGGAACAGTACCAAAAGCACCAGTGTCTGCGATGATTGTGATAACAAGAACGACTAAATAGCATCCAACGAATACTGGGCCAACCCACTTCGGGAAGCGGAAGTTATAGCAGATTAGCACACCTATTCCCATAAACAGAGATAATTCTACCGCGGCTGCCATAGAAAGCTCGATCGCTGTTAGATCGAGTGGAACTGGTACACCGTTCGTCAGATTGGCGATGGTGCAACTATGATAGTGAGGCGCAATTCAAAGCAAATAAAAGCATACCTCAAACCAACACCTATCAGGAGGTTCATTAGGGGCCCTGCGTAAATTGCACCCATCGCTGTCTCAACCTTTCCAATTTTGCTGAGTCCGAAATCGGCCACAAAATCGCCGATCGAATTTGCTGGCGCGAGAATGAGAATACCCATTATCGTTGTATTTACATTCCAAAATACGCCGAATGCAGTCAAAATATTCACGACTAGAAAGAAGTTAACATAGAGTTTATGAGACAAAACTGTGGACTTACTTTCATTTGCCTCTACATAAATCCAAAGAATGCTCATCACAAAGCCGATGAAAGAGTAAATTGGATAATAGACAGGAGCTGTGTCGAGCTTGGCAGTGAAAAAGACTGCAGTTGTTAAGACAATCGAGACAAGTAAAACTATCACAATCACAGGCATCGGTCCAACAAAAGCCGTCTTATATTGATACGTGAAGAGCCAGATGAAAATTGGAATCTAAAATAATTTTCAAAAATTGCTACTTTATCAAATCTTACCAAAAATGTTTGCATCAGAGTGAGGGGCAAATTCCAGCTTTTATTGAGGTCATCGCCGTCCAAAATCGGGGTCGTCATCTTCATCAGCCAAATAACAGGGGAACACACTCCGTTGAAGATTTTCTGCATGAGAGAAAATTCTTTCCATTCCTCTGCGGGAAAAACTTTGAGGGCTTCTATTGCTTCCGATTTCCACGTTACCTCCATGATATCGCTAATGATGTCATCGTCTGAGCTGTCCTCGTTGATTTCATTTATTTCCACTAAGTTTACTCTCAGAGGAGGTTAGTTGTACATTAACTTACCCGCATCGATTCTTTCCTGGTCATCATCTATTTCTGCATCTTCGTCATCAACATTCCAAACAAGTTGTTCCTGATCGGGCGCATGTTTACGCTTCCACACGCTCATGCCAATAACCGTCAGAATATAAACCCCATAAAGACACAAGAATCCGACAGAGTCAAGAAGACGTATTTCACGATTCCAGAGGCAAATAAACAACCAGTAAATCGCCCATATACTGAAAATGATGTCGCGGAAAGTTGCGAGCGGCGGGAGACGACATCCTGACGCAATCTTTATTTATGTTTAATTATTTTCATTCTCAAAAAGATTTGAATCGCTAAAAAGCAAAAACACTTTCCCAAACACAAGCTCCAGTTACCAAAAGTCGGATAAAAGCTCCAGCACCAAGGAGGGCTCCAATCGCTAAGGAAGAAGATTCTGCAGTTGCACTAGTAAAAGCAGCCATTGCTCCAAAAATATCAGGGGCTCCGTTCCCGAGAGCAACAAAAGTGACACCTTTTAACTCACTTATGACTTTTCTAACGAATGTCTCACCGGCAATATTTTCCGAAATCTTCAGAGCTTTAGATATCCAATCTAAGCAAGGAACAAAAAAGGAGTCTGCAGATATCCCTATCATCGCGAAAAGATACATTAGCCACATTATGTAGATAAAATAAACTCCACCAAGCCATTTAGCAGATTCGGTAGTCGGAAATGCACAGAAACCGGTTGTTATATAATCAACGAAACCTTCGTCTTGATCGCATGATGGTTCTGCCAGGGAGAAATTGCACCATTCTTACAAAAGTTTTTTTGGCATATCATCTGGTTACCTACCTGTATGATTATGATGACGAAAATCTCTACAATCGCTCATTTCCTCACAAATTTCAGATGAAAATGAATTCAGCAAACGTCTCCTTGAACCTCAGGGGCCCTGAGAGTCTTTAATGATATCGTTGTTAATCTCGTAACGAGATTCTCTTTCGTCTTCTTCTATTATCTCTCGGTGTGTTTATGCGGCGATTCGCCCGGCAAACTTGTGAAAATTGTGTTGTTTGGTTTTACGCAAAACCAGAAGAAAACTTCTCAATAAAACGTATTGACCATCGCTGATTTCATTTCGGCAAAAATATCAATTATTTTATTCAATCGCTTTGAACAGCGGGGAGTTCTTGAGATTAAATTAATAATCTCTCAAGCATGAAGCCTACTGAAGTTATCTTAAAATACACATAAGTAGGAATGGGAAAAGTCTTTCTTTTCGTAGGACAAAGGAAACAAACTCTGACTGGTGAGTTTTTTTACGAGGCCAAAGAGATGAGTATAATCTGTTCTGAAGGCCTTTTTACGAACTCGAACTCATAATTATAGGCGGCCACGAATTTCCATGAGATGAGGTCAAATAAAATTAAAGCAGAAGACATTCATAAAGAATAATTTGTTTATTGAGAAATAGAATCGATCAGTCGTTTCAACAGTTTTTCTGCGCGTTGCCCTTGAAAATCCATTTTGCTCCCTTTTTAGTAATTTTGCACATGATTTGAGTCTTGGGGTGGAAGCCGTCGCCAGAGTTGCACTTTCGTCTTCCCCAAAGAACGATCTTTGGATCAGAGCTTGTCTGCGAGAAGTCAAATGCAGCCGAGAAGTCGATGCCATTCCATTTAGCGTTGTCGGGTGCGTTTTCCTGAGATAAATAATTTTCCGCATTTGATTGATGGCTAGAGTTAACTAATAACCACGCTGTGCTAGGAAACGATAGAGCAATAAAACTTGAATTGGTATAATTACGTATACAAAACCAAGATTCAATTACGATTGAGCGCATGAATTACCGTGACAAGGGAGACGTCACAAGGTCCGACCACCGGCTCGCATGTATTTTCTTCTTGCGAAATCTTCGTGTTGATCGCGAATGCTTGGTTCTTAGCAACGATGCACTCTGCGAAAACAGCTCGTTTTCGGTCTGGGCAGTTTAACTGGCAAATTCGTTTTGCCTTCTTGTTTTGACAGGTCCAAGCTAATGAACTAATTTAAAAATTATCTAGCGATGTTACTTACTTCCATCGGTAGGTGTCAAATCGGGTCCAACTTCTTCACAGAGCGAGCAGTCAGCTTTAGCCTTTACTTTATCGCTCGGAGCTTTCCAGTCGCCTGTTTTTTCAGCGAGGCATTTTGAACGAGCTCCAGTGGGGATTCCATAGTCGCAAATCCATCGACAGTTGTCATCTTCTTCATTTCCATCACAGCTCCAAGAACCGTTTGTTAATCCGAAGCTAGAAGTCAGGGGCGGACATGTTGGGGAAGAGGACGAGGTTGTTGTCGTTGTTGTTGTTGTCGTCGTAGTTGTTGTAGCCTCCGTTGTCGTAGTCGTTGTACTTGTCGCTTGTGTCGTTGTTGTCGTTTTTGATGTGGAAGTTGTGGTAGCTTCTGTTGTTGTTGTAGTTGTTGTTGTACTCGTCGTTGTTGTAGTTGGCGAAGTTGTTGTCGTTTTGGTTGTAGTAGCTTCTGTTGTTGTCGTCGTCGTTGTAGTTGTGAAAGCTTAATTCAGAAACGTTTAATATTGACAATATTATATTGTCAAATTTTTTAGTAATATTTTTCCAGAACAAATATCTCTAACGCGTTCTCTTCTTGAAAAAGAATATCAGAAGGCGCCAGAAACTCTATCTTGTCGTATTTTCATTTCTGAGAGAAAAGAAAAGTGATTTTTCTAAAAACGGAAACTTCTTTATATAGGGGGCAAAATTACGCACATCGTTAAAGCTTGAGATTTAATAGCTTGCGTCACAAAAATCAAACTATTTTCCATTGAAAATAGCGCTTTTAATATTTTTTCTCATATCGACTATTAGATTTCGATCGTGCGATGGACACCTGCATTTAAGGTACCTTAGATTCAGTTGATAACACCTTCGCACCTGTTTTTACCGTATAAAAGTCGAGCTGCACTTCTTCTCACCAGAACAAAAATATAAACAGAAAATGGTTTTCTTCAAAATTATTCTTCTCCACTTCGCAGTTGCCGTGATAAAGGACAGGAAGGAGGTCGAGAACACGACCTCTACTACAACGACATCGACGGCTACTACGACAACTACCACTACAACGACCACAACTGCGACTCCCGTTAGCTTGGACTCCCTCTTCTCAGCCCTTGATGTGCCAAAGAAGAAGTTCTCTTCATTCTTGGATCGCTCAACGAGAGTATCGGCCGCGATTTCCCTCGAAAATTACTCTCACTGGACTATCCACAATCTCGGCCACTTCCGCGTGTCCGGTCGTCTTACATCTGATTCCGGAAATCTCAATCCAGGTAGCGCGTCATTCATTTCGGCAAAGAAAAAATGGGGTCTCTATGGCGCCCAGATTCAGCTCAAGTATTTCTTCGACCCTTGCGAAGCTACCTCCAATGATGTCGATCTAACTGTTTGCTCTAAGAACGACCTCTCTTATTTGGACATTATGTTCGATCTTCCGTACAATTTCAACTTTTACAGTAACGTTCTGGCAACCATGCTCTGCAAGAAAACAGGAGAAAAGAACCTGTGTCCTCGAGATGTCGACAGTCTTGCAACAGGACCTGGCTACATGCTCTATCACAACCACAATCGACTGTCTCGTAAAATTTTCAAGAAGAAGAAGGAGGCCTTCCTCAACGAAGATGATCATCTTATTCTTCGTGCCTCAATGACGCCAGAGCACAACTCCATCATCAAGATTCAAATCTTTCCGAAAAAATACCACGCGCTGGATACCAAAATCATCCGAAAAATTTCAAGCGAAGATTACTTCGAATTTTTAGAGAGTTTGAAACAAGTGGATGGTCCCGAAGAAACAACTCAAAAACCAAAACGCACAACTCGAGCGACAATGAGCCAGTCGGAAATGCCAAGAAGTCGTCTTGGTAAATAACCTCTGAAAACTTCTGAAAACCTGTAGAATCATTCTTTCCTTCAATAAATCAATGCAAAATTTCATTGACTGGGTTTAACTATTGAAACAGTTTTGCACTAGGCATGAGAAATAAGCGCGAAGATTTCGTGTCTTGAAAAGTGACAACGACTATTCTTTCGTCTCTATGAATCTGGGAGAAGTGAGTTATTTCTCTCGTGTCAAGAGCGGAAAACAGTCGTTCTTCACCTCGACCGGAATTGGCAGATATTTATTCGGCCCTTTATCACGTGGTATATATCAGTTATGTCTGGCTAATCAATAGACTGACGGTAAAAATCACATTTTATATGAGTAATGACGGCTTTTGTATCAATTATCTAGCCAATTCAAGATGATCTGATCATCATGATCATAAGTTAAATCTTATAAAAAATTGAGCTGTACAAAACCTTGGATGAATTTCTGAAATGCCCTTGATAACCAACTGCGCGGCTTTCCTTTTGATATTGAAATTACAGTACTCCTAATCCGCAACCTTTTTTTTCGAGGCGCTAAAAAGGATTCGGAGTCGTAAAACGTGCGAATCTTCCGTTGCATTGAGGGAAGTTGGCCCATTTGCACTCCACAATTCTTTATTGCAAAGAGATAAAAGTCAATTAAAAATTGATTGCTTTTTATTGTTTTTTATTGTTATCGTGTAATCTCCGTTTATGGAGAACCTACTTGCCAAGGAGCACCTGCCGGAGCAGACTAATTATAGTCACGCGCCGAAATCAAATGCTTTCTATTCTGGAAATGTTATACAGGTAAATTTCCCCTTCTGACTTCCAAGATAATAATATTTAAAGCCTTTTCCTTTTCGTTCAACTCTGCCGCCTCTGAATTCATCATTGCAAGCGCCAAATCCTCTTATGCAGTCATCTTTCTACTCAAATTGGCCTTATCCAGTACGTACAAAAAGAGGATAGTAATCTAATGAATACCAAAAGCAGTACCCCGGTACGTATGGTCCAGGGATTTTTCGACTGCGGCCTGATGTTGCGAGATATACGAATACAATTGCAAAGAAGGGCGAACGAAGCAGACAAAGAAAAAAGCAGACGACGGAGAAGACTTCAAAAAAGGATGACGAGGGAAACGAGGACAAAAAAGAAGAAGAAAAGTCGACAAAAGAGGTAGTTTTAATTCAGTGATAACAAGTGAATGTTAATTTTAGGACGAGACTGAAGACAAGGAAGACCCAACCAAAAGCTGGCTCAAATCAACTGCGCAGCGAAAAAAACGCGTGCCATATTCAAGGAACCAACTTCTTGAGCTCGAGAAGGAATTTCGCTTCAATCAATATGTATGCACTCCTTCTGAACTCATCAAAGCAACAGTATTTTAGCTATCTCGAGATCGCAGACAAGAGCTTGCTAATTTGGTTAATCTAACAGATCGGCAGGTACGTCAAATTGTGCATTATTAGATGAGTTCAAACTTCTTTATTCATGAGTAAACTTATAAACTCTTATTTAAATATTTAGGTGAAAATATGGTTTCAAAATCGACGTATGAAATGGAAACGCGAAAGAAGATCTGACGGTATTAGATTTATATTCGAGTCAATTTCCTAAAGACTCTTTAGATCTATCGGGAGACACAATCGACGCTGCCCTTGATCCAGATATGTGGAATCAAAGTCAGTTCTTTTTCTAGCCTGCATATCAAAATTCAATAAATCTAATTTATTCAACAGCAGTTCATTCAAGCATCCATTTTTGAATCTCTGGCTCGAATCGGAAAAATGTAACGTCGAGAGGGTTGGCGCCCATTTTCTCGTAAAAGCACAGCGATTTTTTATTCCAGGCTAAAAAGAACCTAAAACGCCTAGATAGCAAATTCGATTACCTAAACAAACCCAGTACACCCCCGCCGCTCCTCGAGACTGTGAAGATTCGGAAACTGAATTTAACAGAATCGAACCAATTCCCTGTCCGCGGAACGCTTCTTTGACGTATAAATCTTCGAGATAGGTTTCTTTCCCATGCGAAGTCGTGAAAAAGTCTGAAACAAGTTGAACCTCAGCGAACTTGTTAGAAACTGACCGATGCTGACGGTGTATCCAACTACTTGCCCGTCCAACTTGGCGATCGTAGCAACGCACAGATTCCCATCAAACTTGCCAAACTTAGGCCCAGCGGAAAAATCCTCATCCAGCCACTCTTTCGTCATTTTACATTGGTCGAGCATATCTTCGTAAATCGCCAACTCCTGGATCATCGCCAGAATATTGGAAACATCGCTTGACTCGACCTGCGAAATTTCTAATTTTCGACCTGTCTTCGCTAATTTTTCACTGCCACGTGCGGCCCCTTCTTGAAGCAGTTCAGGTCGGTTCAGTCTCAGCCAAACCCAGTCCTCGTCTTTTGTCAAGTTACAAGGCTCGAGGGATAGGCTAAAATATAAGTTGCGATGAAAAAAAGGCAATTTACATTTGATCATTTGTTGATGGATTTGTAACGCGTCCGCGGAAGAGTGTATTCTTTTTGGCCATTTTTATTTGCGTCATGACGATAATTAATATTGAAAAGTAAATTAAGTTCTCATTGATATAATCGGCATTTTCATTATCCTTGGCCGTTTGCGTGAGCCCTAGCTCAACCAAAAGTGGCTTTGTTCATTATTCACCATGTTCTGACTCAAATGCAAGAATGACCGACCTTAGGTAGTTCTTTGGCAAGAAATTTGACGATTTCTTTGAGCACATTAGATTCTCCAATAGCCAGTTCTATGAAGGCATTGTAGCGGGTCCAGGTTGAGTACATGAACGAGAAAACTTATTTTTGGTTGTCCAAAACTATGTTTCAAGAAGACTCCAATTTTAGACACACGAATTTAACAATTAGAAGTGTTTAGTTTGAATAGTTTTCTAGTTCTCGATTAACCGTTGATTGTTGAACGTTAAGGGTGATACCCAGTCTCGGAGACAGCTGCCAAGGACAGCGGTCCCTTGACGAGTAATAGGGGAGTCGGCGACTCGCCCTTAGGAAAGGCCACTATCGCGCTGACCAGGTGCAGTTTGGATTCGCCAGACTCGCACCGAGATCCGGCGAGGTAGGAGCTCAGGAATCCTGAGGCTAGGCCCGACCTTGATTAAAGAGAACTGTCCCGACCAGTACTAACGGAACTTTAGGTTCAGTACCGCCCGTTAGCCAATCCATCCGCAGAAGACCGCTTGGACCGCTCGACTGTACCCTTGGAAACTGTGCACGCATAATAAACGGGGAAACCCGGACCGAATCTCGAGTTTCTGTATCTATAGCAGGGAAAGTTCAACGTGGTGACTGAAGCTCAGTTACTGAGCGGCACGAACCTTACTTCCCCCTGCGTACTGAACCTCGTCTGCTAGGACGTTTTCCTGAGCATATGCGATGAGCTTCTCGTCGCGCATCTTCGAAGATGTAAAACCCTTCGGGTTTTGTGCGGGGGACAGCAAAATCCCTCGCCTCGCCTTTGTGGATTCAGATGGACACACAAGGGCGAGAAAGGCCAAAGACTGGTACAGGGAGTTGACCCTCCATCTAAATGAGACCGTAAGAAAACAGCTCCCAAAGTCCCCGATGCTAGGACACGAAGATAAAGTACCGCTGCTCTGGGGAGTTTCTGACTCAGTCACGGGGCCAAATTGGTCGGGAGACCTTGGCATCCCGATAAATCTGGAAGAGTTTGAATCGTTCCAAAAGGAAGGAAGATATGTCGGGCTGGATTGCTTAGAGAATATAAAAGTTAGTGACGATAAAAAAGGGTTTGTAAAAAGCAAACACTACGATGAGAAGGATTTTACCGTGCAAAAGCAGAAAGAATGGTTCATGGGAACATTTTTTCCATATCTCGCCGTGTCGGACTTCTCGAACGTGTTCAAGCCAGCAACGGATGGAAATAAAACACCAACTGAACACATGAGAGATGTCGTAAGATGCGTTGGAAAGATAATACTCGTGGCGGTTGAGCCGAACAGCCGCAAGGGGGTGTGTGACGGGGAACAAGTCAATTTGCGGGAATACTTACGGTGCCAATTGGAACTAAACTGCGAGGATACGAGCGTTAATACCTTCGTGCGAAACATTGAGATCTTACGCAGCTTCTGTTTCGGCAAGTTCAGTGGCGCCAAGGCTTCGAATTGTTTTGATAACATAAAATCGTGCCTGGCAGAGTTTATAGTCCGGCATGAAAGAAGTGAACGTTTCCCTAAAGGGACGACACTCGGAAACACCACATCAACTCGTTTAAATGCTTATTATAATGTGGAAGGATCACCTTCAGAAAAATGGACGCCGTTCATGGATACATTAGCAGTTTTCTTTACGATTAGCTTCATTGGTAAGAAGAATCTCGATGAGATTACACAGAAGCTTGCGAAGAAAGCCGGCATAGACTTCGCCGAGGTAGGCCTAAGAGACTTCTTATGCAATAAGCGTTTAGTGTTTGATGAAATGGATAAAATCACGAATGCCAAAGGCCACGTGATGCTGGAACACATCCGCTTGGCGGCTGACATCAGTGACGGTGGAGATATGGGGAAAGCTTTAGAATCGGTTTATTCAGAATGGAAAAGGGTTTCACGGAAGAAAGAAAAGTACGACAAAGTAAACGTCTTAGAGGATCTCAGCAGCACTTCGTCAGTCTTCGGATCAGACGAGGAGGAAGTTAATGCCGTGTTGCCCAACCGCACCAAGAAGCTGGATTCAAAGTTCGCCCTAAATAACAGTAAGTTCATCGTAGACACAAAAACGGGGGAGGTTTACTCGAAAACAAGCCTTACCCTCACCGCTAGTGAACTCAAGTATGCGAACGAGAAGCTCACGAAGAAATGCTTCCATTTGTTCCCAAGACCGAGGAACCAAGGTAACCGAAATAATAGAGTTAGGCAGACAAAGAATGCGTTTAAAAAGGCGTTCGACCGGTCACATAAAGTGCGGGGAAAAGGCCAGGATTACCGGGCATTTGTTTTAGACCAGGACGACGGAGAAAGCTCGGTTCTCGTAGCGCTGATGGAAGACTTACTTAGGAACGACATGGAAGAAGAGACGGATGAAGAATCACTGGAGGAAGTTCACGTAGTCGACGAATACTCTTCATGCGGCATCAGTAAGGCGATCACTGAAGAGAATTCATTAACAAATTTTTCTAGAATAGATGAGTGCAGAGCGGCAACGACTACAAATAGAGGTCGATTCGACATCCACTTTAAAATTGCGAATAAATCGAACGAGTTAGAAAGCTATAAAGTCTTAATAGACTCTGGCGCCACGATATCAGTAGTTCCAGAAAGTTTCGTGGAAATTTTAATGCATAGATGCAGCCGAAACGTTAAACTTACAGATTGCAGCCCGGCAAGCGCTAAAGTAGCAAGCGGCGGCAGGATGCATTTCGAGAACTATCTTGCAGATTTCGACATAGAGTTCAATGAAAATCTAAAATTAGAATTTGAAAATTGCAGGGTCTACGCAGGCAAAGGCAACACGATCATCCTCGGCGTTGATGGATTCGTTCGAAACAGAGTTGAAGTGAAGATAGGCGGCAGGAATGACGACGACTTAATAGTCGAGGTCAGAAATAAGAATATACGAGATGTCTGGGTGAATTCTAATAAAACCCCTATAAACAGCCAGGATTTAATGCTCATGGAATCGGTGGAACGGAACCCTACCTTGCACGACCATATTTTTGATCGAAGCTCGTTCGCAGGCATGGAACCAACAAAGGCATACGACCCAGATGGGAACCGCGCTTGGGCTAGAAAGCTCGAACGAATTCACGCGGAGAATAGGGAGAAAAACTCACGGAAAGATGTACAAATTGACCCTTTTGGAAACGTCTTGAACGATTCCGAAAAGAAAGAGATGAACGCGCTGTTGGATGAGTTCACACCTTTGTTCGAAGGCACGATCGGACACGTTGCCGACAGAGACTTTACAGTACATGCTAAAATTGACGAGGGTAATTCGGACAGAAGCCCGAAAGCGGCACCAATCGGTTATGGGAAGAACTTACCAGAGAGCGTAACACGAGCTATCGAAGAAAAACTGGATCAAGAAGCGGCGGAGGGCGTGCTGGTAAGGTTGCCGAAGCACATGACCGCTGCAAACTACATGAGTTTCTTCGGAGTCTCGAAGAAAGGTCCCAACGGCGAGGCGAATGTCGAATTAACCGCGTCGAACGTCAGGGTAGTCGGAGACTGCGCTAGAAGTGGCATTAATGACAAGACGGAACACGTGGCAAGACAGACAGACAGTATTGAACGGATCTTGCAATTATCTGCTCCGTTTACGAGGAAGGGTTACGTAGTACAGGTGGATATTAGTTCGATGTTCCACTGTTTTGACATTGAGGAGGAGCTCTGGAAGCACTTCGTCATCCTTCATCCGAAAGTCGGTGAATTAGCATATCGAAGACTTCCGATGGGCTGGGTCTCAAGCCCAGTCCTGGCCCGCGAGATGATTACTAGAATTATGTACGATCACCTAGAATACACTAGCATTTACATGGACGATTTTTTAATAGTAGCGGGTAATTTCGAAGAACTAAAAGACCGACTAAGAAAGGTTTTCAAGACATTAATGTATAGAAATTTGCGGCTCAAAGGCTCTAAATGCGTCATCGCGTCCAAAGAAATAGTACTTCTAGGTAGAAAGGTCAAGAATGGTCAGATTTGCCCGTCGAATCACGTTTTGAAGAAAGCGCTAGCGGAGAACCCAGACACAATTAGGACAGTAAAACAGCTAAAACGCTACATCGGCATCATAAATTACCTATCTATAGGCCTGCCAAGACGGACGGAGTTGATGTGGAAGTTGAACGAAGCAGCTTCCGGCCAGAAGAAGTTGAGCGATGCGGTAGCGTGGACTGTCGAGCTGAAGGAGTGTTACAACAAGTTGGCAAGAGCAATTAATGACCAGATGATTAGCTTATATCCAATTGAAAAAGACCTAGATACGTATTTAGTCGTGGACAGCTCGAATCTAGGGTCAGGAGGTTATCTCTATCAAAAGAAGGGGGATAAAACGCAAATCGTGAAACTCTGGTCACGAAAGAGAGGGGATGCGCAACTAAAAACGCAGTGGAGCTCTTGCCAGTTGGAACTCCATGGAATCTTGTCGGCAACTCTCGCATTTTGCTGGGAAATCGATTTTGTGGATAAACCGGTGGTAATCATTACTGACTCTCTCAGCGTGAAGAAGCTTTTCGATAGAGCCCGCATGGGAAAGGAGCTGAGCCTCGATAAACGAATAAACGACCAAATCGTCAAACTATTAAATTTCGACGTCGAGGTGGTGTACGAAAAAGGTGAGTCTACCCAGATTGATTTAGCGGACTTTATCTCACGCACGGATTACCTGTTGAAGGACTGTGACAACAACTGCGCGATCTGCTCGTCCAGCGATTCATTGAACTGCTTGTTCGAAGAAGGGTTGGATATTAGCAGCTTCGTATCGATTCCAGCGGTGGATTTTGAGCGATTCGAGGAGGTCTTCGCGCTCGAGGACGAATTGGCGTTCCGGGCCCTTCAAGGATCCCTGAAAACACGTTTAGTTAGCAGCTGGAAAAGAAGAGCGGCAGAAGTCGACGCAATTGTCACGCGAAGCAAAGTTAAAAGAGACGTCAGGAAGTCGCAGAAGAGCCGGAAGACTGAGCAAGACTTCGAAAAAGAGATACTGGCATTCGATGGAGTAGGATTCCTTCGGGATCGCCACTTGATCAGGCGTATCCAAGATGGGGATCCGATTCTCAGCAGGGTGATCGAGTCCAAGAGTCCGAAAGGAAA